CACTAAAAAGACCTTGAATTGCGTTCTCTTCTTATTTTTTCGATTTGATAGTGCGCGAAGATGATTTACAGTTTCCTGCAAGGACATTCTTCACCATTCCTCCCACACGTGATTTTTGAACGTATCTGTAACGTCACTTTGCCCAAATAGAAATCTACATTCACACTTAACTTTTTAACAAGTTTCAACTGGGACCCTCTCGTGGGCGACTATTCAATCTTGAACTTTCAATCATTTTTGAATACCCGCGAAAAATCCCTTGAGGCCATCGACCCTGAAACTCATTTCTTCCGGACCCTTTTTTTTATGAGCTGAATGTGCATATTGGTCCGGGGGATAAGTTGAACCCACACACTCATCTGGTTCACATAATATCAAATATCAAAAGTAGTCCTACTGATATTTGATCGTTTCATGAAATGAGTTTTTTTTGCGATGATCTTCATGACCTCGAAAAAAAACCGTCAAAGTGATCCGAGTTATTCGAAGAGACAGCATGTTGGCAGGTCATCAGAAAGTAAAATTGAAAAAAAAGATGTGATGCATTTGTTAATACGGAGAGAGAACAGTTGTTAATACTGAGAGCAGGTGCCATTGCAGAGAGGTTGAACCGAGTTTGTTGCTGTCTTCTGGTAAACGTTTTTCGGAGATCTGTGATAAATGATAATTGGTTGCGGGATGATCAATGAAACAGTTATCACACTTTTAACAAAGAATCTGGACAACCAGAAATGTCACTCTATTGTCTAATATTGTTTGAATGAAACTGTTGTGACATTGTGAATCATTATCTGGACAGTAACACATGATTTTTTTGCAAGTGCTGACACATAATCAGAGCTGCCCCACCGCCGGCAGCACTAAAAAATACCCGTTAACACACTTTAAAAAGCTATCGTATGCTTACCCTTTGAGCTCAATTATCTCAATTCTTATAAGAGATAACAAAGGTATGTCAACTAATAAAATTTTTATCATAATATCAGCAACAATTCATTAGTTGGCACATTTTTAATATCTTTTTATGTAACATGAGATAATTGAGCTTAAAGTGCAAATATAGGGTAACCTTCTAGACGGTTTACAGTAAGTCACAACTTAATATTTTTAAACATTATTTTCGCGTTTTCTCTGAATTTCGACCGGTTCTTTGACAAATTTTGATCAAATTATACATAATAAGACCATAATTTGAAAAATTTGAAACGTTTCAAAATTTATAATGTAAAAATTATGTTAGTTCTCTCTCTACTGTTTTGCTATAGCTATAATAACAATTATTTCAAATCTTAGTCGCTTCTATTCAAGTTTTTTAACGATTTTCCGTATGTCTTGTGAATTTTGAAAACGAAGGCTGCGACCAATCGGTTCTTCTCCTTTGGCTCACCGTTGATTTTGATAGGCTTGAGTAAAACCACGAATTAAAGAGAAAAATTTTTATATTTTTCCTATTTTCAGATATTTCTAACTTCTCTACTTAATGCCATACATCAACAATTTTTTTCTCAGCTGCATCATTTTTTGGAACCCTAAATCTCATTTTCCTTGTTTTTCAACAAATTTCCTAACACCCGTTTTCCACAGCTGTTTCCATACATGATGCAATTTCTTCCTCCCCCTCTCTTCTCGCAGCTATTCTGATTAGCATTAATCTCTTCCTCCTGTTTCAGGTGTTTTTACTTCCTGGTTCTAGAAACTCTGAAATATTTCCTCCTTCTTCTGCTCTCTCCTCTTTCACCAACACCCACTTTGAACATGGGAAAATGTAATCTGCTTGAAAGCTTTTTGAAATACAATACATACAATCATCGTGTGTCAGGGAAAAAAAACCACGTTGGAATTTTCAAATCAAACTGAATTTCCTCTTTCGCTTGAGTTTTCTCCTTTATCCCTTTTGATCTAACCGCCAATTTTCTGAAAAATGTTAATGCGTCGTTCCCAAGAAAACATCTAACGGACACAAAAGCTGGCACTGACATGCATTTCGTAATAGTGCACACGCCTTCTTCTTCTTCTTCTCCTTCTTTCTCTTCTACATCCCATGATGCAATTTCTGCCTATAAATCCTGCCCACAACCGCCATAATTCTTCAGTTTAGTGGCTCATATGTGCTCCAGAGTTTTCTGAACAAGTTCTAAGCGTATCTTGAGAGGGATGTAAACAAATTTTGGTAATGAGTAAGCATTCTCTGTTCGTGATGTGAAACTGGAGACAAAACTTTGAAAAATTCAGGTTGTTTTTTCTTTTTTTCCTTGTTTTTCAAGCCGCTTTACATTCCTTCCCTTGCTTCTTGACTCACTTCTCACGAATTATTCAGATTTCCAATTCTTTTTCAAGCTAAAAAAACATGTCATGCACTTTTCCGGTTACACCTCCTCTTCTTGATTTGTTCACCTTTGGCAATCTCACGTTCTCACTAATGCACGATTGAAATAACATTCAAAATTCGTTTCATTTCTTTTCTCGCTCTATCTCTTTCACACACAACTTCTGATTGAGTGAAGACGTGCGGAAAGGAAAAATAGGCAAAAATGTAGCTGGCGCTCTTGTAAAAAAGAGCACCAACTGCTTCGCGCCGCGCATATCTTCACGTACACTCGCTTTCTCAACTCAATTACTCACAGTCAACTAGACATTAGGCCTCCTTTTAAGTAAAGAATAAAGGATGTGTTTGAGTTGTGTGAGCGTTCTTTGAAGTCAAATTCGTAAATTTTGGAGAACAATTATTTTACAAGGGAACCTCAGCACCTTGTACTCCCAGATTTTGGTCAAATTTTTAAGGATAGGTTGAGAATATCTTATCCAGACTATTTTCAGAGCCGCTCGCCAGTTTCAGCCAAGTTATATCAGTTTCAGTACCAAAAATTGCCGTTTTAGTGCAAAACCAAAGATTTTCGAAGGCGCTCTTACCAAATTCTAGGACCTTTCAGAACATGAGATTTGTTGTGCTAGACTTAGAGTTGAACGAAACATCATATATCGGATATTTTCTCAAAATTGTTTTTCCATTTTTGAATGAGACCCCAAAAGTGGGAAAACTCGAAAAAACATGGAACATCCTAGAATTCAAGAAAATCGTCTTTAAATGGGGCCAGACAACAAAAAGTTTGTAGGACAGTTTGAGGGACGAAATTGCGCCGCGTTTATGTAACCATCGCTCGGCAGTCGCATTCGCGCCCCCGTAGCTCCGCCGGTAGCGGCGATGTACCCCTGAGCTGTCCAGCATGATTTTTTGATGCCTGGCCTTTTTTAATCATCTCTAGTCCTAATTGAAAGTACGATTTTTGGTACTGAGAGTAATATAACTCGACTGAAACTGGCGATCGGATTCTAAAATTTTCAGAAATCAGGAATAAGCTAATATAAACTTATTATGAAGTTTTCATTAAAACCTTGATTCAAAAGGTGTAAAATTCCCTTCTAACATTGGGAAAGATAAAATAACCCAATTTGTTGAATGGCTTCTGAAGCTCTATAATTTAGGATCTTTGGCAAAAATTGTTCTGACTAGAGTTTCTTTTTTATGCCATGCATTACTATCCTGTTGCACTACCAACCCAGCAAAGTCAAAACAATTCAAAGCACTTTACTAGTCGCCAACTGATCATTCTTTGTATTATATTTCTTTCCGCTACTTTGCACCTACACACAGGTTGGGATATGATCACAGCAATAGAAAGAGATAGAAGAGATGAGGTCGACCGTCATTGCTCTCCCTCTCTCTCTCCTTGAAGTTTTTTTTGTTTCACATTCTCCTAGGCCAATCGTCATATACACTTCTGTTTCATCTTCACTCTTTTCTTTCTTTCCCCTCTTCTTCTTCTTCTTTTTCTCATTTTTTTCTTCTTCACAAATATACACATATATCAAATTTTGCCGCTGTCACCTATCGCACCTAGAAAATCTGCGAGTTTTGTGAAAAATCAGATTTGAAGTTTTTGTTTTTCACTTATAAAGGAGATTGCTTTTTAGATAACCTTAACTTCAATTGCATCATGTTTTTCTTCAAGTTCGGCTAGTCTTGAACATAAACAACGTCCACGAAAAATTTTAAAGTTCAATAGTCCGGATATTAATAATTTCAAAACTGCCTTTTACTGACTACTTACTGAAATACGTGCCAAATGCATTTTCTTGACATCCGCTTTTCCCTCGGGAATCCATTCTAAAACGGGGCGAGCTATGAACTCTAAGACCCGAGAGTCCGTGTGTTTTTCCTTTCCCTCCTTTTCCAGCTTGACTTCTTTCCCCTTCGATTTCTGGTCGTTTGCAGTTCATTGTGAAACAGAAAAAATATTCGGTCCGAGAAAAAAGAAAAAACCCCAAATTTGGGATGTTGATTCGGTGAAACAAGCATGATTGGTATCGTTGCTCTGTGCCCAAGTTTTATTAGCAAATCGCATGTTGTTTGAAACATTGTCAGCTTCCGTCCGCAGGGTTTGTGTTTCTCGTCTCGTTAAGGGAGTGGCAACTGATGCCTCCCAAAAAAAGCCAAGTTTTCTTGGGGACGGCGCTATCTGATGCCCCAAACCAAACGCCCCCATCTCTTTCATTTTGCAGTCCTAGATCAGTGTGTTTTTGTGTCAGATTCTGAGATTCTATATTCCAAAGAAAGGAACAATGTCCTCGCAGCAAGGAGTCGCTATCAATGTTCGGGTATGATATCGGTATAGTGAGGTGACATTAGAAAGTTGTTGTGTGAATGTGTGTATCTGTCTCCTTCCCCCCTCATATCTTCTCACATTTTCTGTTCTATGGAGGTTCTTCTAACTTTCAACGCGTCCAATTCATCATTTGCAGCCTATGATTTCAACCCCTCAGAAATTTCTGACACCCTCCAATTAGTTCCGCTTCAACTCCGCCCCTTTTACTTTGTATAGCCGCCACCTGCCCAGAAACTCTCTCCATCATTCAGTTGTCATCAATTTCGTTTCAATTTCGTTTCCCTATCCCCCTCTGCCCTTTCAATTACGTTCCCTAGTATCATTTCTACTTTTCAGATGGCGGTGGAACTTGAGAGAACCGAGCAGGTTCGCTCGAAGATTCATATCAAGAATCCACTCTTAAGAAACGCCTTGTCCGAATTCTTCGGAACCTTCATGCTTCTTTTCATCGGAATCGGAATCGTGATGCAATTCATTCTCTCGAATGAGAAGCTCAACACCTGGATCAACGTATGTCAAAATAGTCCTGCATGAGTTTCTTAGGGTTTTATTTCAGATCAATTTGGGATGGGGATTGGCCATCGCCTTCTGCGTCTACCTGTGCTCCAAGACATCCGGAGGACACTTCAACCCAGCTGTCTCCATTGCCTTCCTCACTCTTGGAAAGCTCCCACTCAAGGACTTCTTGGTCTACTGCGTCGTCCAAACCATCGGAGCCGCTCTTGGATCCCTCGCCGCCTTCGGACTTTACTACGGTATTTGTGATCATTACTGTAGCAATAATAAGTTTATTTTAGACCAAGTCAACAAGTTTGCCGGAGCTTACCGCACTATCATCGGAAGCAAAGCCACCGCTGCTTGCTTCTGCTCGTTCCCAGCATTCCATGTCTCCAACACCACTTGCTTCTTTGATCAAGTGAGTTCGAAAGGGAGCTGAAATTTCAGATTCGTTGACAATTTTTATATTTCAGTTCGCCGGAACCGCTATTCTCGTCCTCTTCGTCTGCGTCATCATTGACAAGCGCAATGGAATCCCAGCCGCCGCTCACCCACTTCTCTTTGGACTCGTTGTCATGATGATCGGAACCGCCTACGGAATGAACCTCGGATACCCAATCAACCCAGCTCGTGATCTTGGACCAAGAATCGTCACTTTCTTCATCTACGGATCCGGTGTCTTCAGCTACCACTCTTACTACTTCTGGATCCCAGTCATTGCCCCACTCTTCGGAGCCGTTGCTGGAGCCTGGTCCTACACCTTCTTCGTCGGAGCCCATATTCCAGAGCAAAGAGAGACCACCTACGTTCTTGTCGATGAAGCCAACCAGCCACTCAAGCTCGCGTAAGACGGAGAAAAACAGACAGTTTCTCGAATAAAATTGTACTTTCAGCGCCGATGCCTAAACTCAGAATCTTCTCTCCTCTTCATAGCTGCTTTCATTTTCAGCCACCCGTTTATTCAGCTAATAAACACATAATAAAAAGCATAGTCACAAAAACTCACAGCTCCTCATAATTTTCGAAGTAGATATTTTCATCAACTTATCGCTTCCGCTTTCAATTGTCATAAAATATTTTTTCAATCAAATAAAGTTATACAAGTGTAACTATTTTTTGTGAAGTAACGTCTCAACACTGAAAAAAGGTGATAATCGCAAAAAATTGAAAGGGTTAAAAAAGATAAAAAGATATTCCGTTGCGGGGAATCGAACCCCGGCCTTATGGGTGAGAGCCATAAATCCTAACCACTAGACCACAACGGAGACATTCAAACACTAATAGACGCAGGTTATATAGTCGGCGCTGGCGGCGGGGAGAGAAACAAGAGTATGCCGAGTGTTGACTTGTCTTCATCACTTGAAACGAGTGGGGAGGTTAATGTGTGCGTTCGTGGTGTAATGGTCAGCATGGATGCCTTCCAAGCATTCGACGGGGGTTCGATTCCCCCCGAACGCAGTAATCTTTTTTTTTGTGTTTTTTTTTCTATTACAAAATAACTTTGCAAATCTTTTTTTGCCTCGGACTGCGCACAACGTCCGGGTTTCTTTCTGATTTGGACAGTTTTGGTTTTTTTTATTGCGAATTTCGAATTTTGTTTGAGACGATTATTCCAGGAAATCGTAAACTGCAAACTCATAAGTTTTCAATTTCATAATAATTTCAAATTAGAGATATGCCAAATGAAATAAAACTTAACTACCGCTGATGTTCTCATGGAATTTCAGCTTAAACTTTCATTTCAAACTCAATTATCTCTGTTCCTATGAGAGATATTTGAAATCTGTCAACTAATAAAATATTGGTGATTTTGTGATAAACAATTTTTTAGTTGCAGGTTTCTCCATATCTTGCGAGAGATGCGAGATAATTGAGCCCGGATCGCAAATTTATGGTGGTGATTTGATACATCATTCACCGTATGTATATTAAATATGTATGACTAATAGAAAGTATTGTTTTCAGAAAAAAAATATTGTTCAGCAAAACTCTCGAACTTCAGTGCTTCTCAATAATTCAACTTTAATGCCACCCATGACTCGATAACATTTTCCGGATCACTTGTTTTGTGTGTCTTCTTCCAAACTTTAAACAATAATTCCAAATGTTATCATAATTTTCTACGCACAATTAGTCAACGACATTTTCATTCTGTTGAACCACACCGAGATAATACTTTGTCGGAAAGATCAAACTCCTCGATGACGATTCGGAAATTAAAATCATCATGCAGGCGCCCATTGCGTTTCTTGATAACGAGTATATAAAACCTCACTGCTACCTACTGTCATCATCAGAGGCAAATAATGTCGCCAACTTTAATTTCTGCTCTTCTTTTAATTGCTTCTGTTGCTCAATCAACTTCTTCCGCAAGTTGTCCAGCTGGAACCAAAATTTACAATTCAAAGTAAGAATTTTGGAAAATATCGGTACCATATTAATGTTTTCAGATGCTATGCTGCGTTGGGAATGGATATGACAAGAGATAATGCTCTCGCGTACTGTCAGAAAACATACGGACCATATACCCGACTCACAACACCTTTGTCCTATGCTGAAAATAATTTTGTCACTGAGCAAGTACAATGTGAGTCTGACATTTTTTGAAGATTGTATTCATGAAAACTTCTAGTGCATGCTAACTGGCACACCTGGCTGGAATTTGTCGCTGATGGTACCTACATTGTTGGGGACGATGGAAAGCCACCAATCTATACAAACTTCGCTGTTGGAGAGCCATTCAGTGTCGCTCTGGGTTACTGTATCACGATTGGAATGAATGGATACTGGTATGCCCAGCCATGCACCGATTCCCACAGTGCTCTTTGTGAGTTCGACTTGTACCCACAAACTCCGAAGCCAACTACGCCTACTCCAAAACCAAGTGGATATCCAAGTTGTGTGCAAAAGTATTTGAGTGAGTTTTATTCCAAAATTGGAAATGAGAAAAATTTTACTTTCAGACTTTGTTCCATGTCAAGCAGGATGGGAGTACTACCCACCAACTTGCTCCTGCTTCAGAGTGAGATTTCAAATATGAAAATAGATTTTACTAATTTATTTTAGATTATCAGTAACACCACCTACTACAACGCAATGAATACCTGCAGAAGCATGGGTGGAACTTTGGCTTTCGTTCACAACTCTGGAGAGGCTGCATTCATTAACCGTAAGCGTTATTTTTCTTCGGAACCTGACATACCGTATAATTCAGGTCTTGGAGTACAAGCTAACAATTACTGGATTTCCACCGCATCCGCCAGAGATAACATCATTGTTGGACTTACCTACAATTCAGACCGTGGCTATTTCCAATGGGACGACTCGACCACATTCGACTATTATCAAGGGTTTGCTCCAGGAGAGCCAGCTGATTACAATAGTCAGGGACAGGTATGACTTAATTACTCTGATTAAATTCTAACTTGATTTTTCAGATCATTCTGAGCAACCCTATGGGATACACCACGTATATGAGAATGGGTAACTGTGCCTCTCAAACCTGCCGCTACGCTGCATGCAAACGATATGTTTACTGAATGATCAACATATAACGAGTCGGAGCAAAATGTAATCTCAAATAAATGTTCAAATTATTGTATAAATATTTCATTGAATAGCAGCATACAAGAGGATGAGAACAGAGAAAAATATGCATTTTATTATAGATTCAGACGACTTTTGTAGTATTGTGAGTGACAATTCAAGAATGAAAACTGACTTTCGAACAAAGTCGAACGATTATATAAACAAAGTAAAAATAACTCTTTCAAAGTTATTGATCCAAAATATGAGTTTGATGCCAGTGAAACATTAAAAACAAAAAAGTATGATTGATGAACTAAACAAGAGAATATCAGCAGTTTGACCTTAATTATCTTAGTTCCAATAAAAGATATTAAAATTACGTTAACATCCAAAATATTTGTCATAATGTGACCAATATTTCAGCAGTTGACAACTTTCTCATATCTTTTAGAAACCGAGCTACGTGAGCTCAATAAGAAGTTTGTTCCGTAAGAGAAAATACAAAAATTTACCAGACTTTGTAAGATTTTTCGAAAAAGCCGGTGATAATATTACTTGCAAGATTACGGAATGATAATAATACCATCTGCATCTAAAATACAGTCTACTCCTGATTCGAAAATCCAGTGAAATGTAAGGGATGATTATTTCCGGAGAAATTTTTCTAATAGTTTTGAAGGATTCAAATTTTTTTAAAGTGGTGTCTGCAAACTTTTTATCGCTTGCAGCCGCGAGTGCGAATTGAAAAAAATTCTTTTCATCATCGTTTCTGCAGTTTTTCAACGGTTTCCGAGACAATTTTGAAAACTACTTTTCCAAACAATTCGTCATGAGCAATATCACTTTGACATCATTTTTTCAAATCATGAGTGGGTTTTGTTTTGGAGTCAGATGATTTTGTGTCTTTTTGTACTTTAACAACTCGATACAAAAAACAATCTCGAAGAATTCAGAAAAAAACGTCATGACAAAGGATAGCTGACTTTCGATTGAAGTCAATCTGATTCTTAGTTTTTGATTCAAGCATACATAATATTCAAGTGCAAGATTTGAAATAATTTTGGGTTAAAGAAAATGTTGATTTGAAGAGAAAAACTATGCTAACAAACTTGGAGGTTAATTGAAATTAGATTTGCCGATTTAAAAATAACTTTGCGTTGTCTGCTGTGGTGGATATTGTAAATCAAAATTTCCAGAAAAACCCGGCATGTAATGGTTTGTAGTTTGGAATGAAAACTGATCCACAGACGAGCTACGGTAGTTGTTATACGACCAATCACCAGAAAAAGTTGAGATGAATTCCTCATCCAGTGAATATCTTCCATAGAAATTGTTTGAGGTCCCGGTTGGAGAATTTCGCTATAAATAAATATATTTATTTCGGTAAAGAATTTCATCTAACAAATCATAAATCAAACTCAGTGAATCAGAAAAGTCTAGAAACAAGCCTTCATAAATAAAAAATTTGATCTGTGAAAAATTACCTCGTATTGGAAACCTTGTTGATTTCCAAAGCTTCCATTGCTGTCGAATGATCCATAATTATCAAACTGACTACTTGTTGGTCCGTAGGCTGATCTTTCCAAATCGTTGAAAATGGATTGAAAACCATTGGTTTCCGGGTTGAATTCGTCCAAACTTGGGAGAATTGCCGCGTTGACGGCATATTCGGTAGAAAATAATTCCTGTAAAACCGGAAAGTTTAAAATTTTGTGTTTTTGGAACAGCTCCCACTAGCTCTGGCGGATCCGGTAAGTCTATAGAAATCGTTTGGGGATTTTCTCTTTCCTCGTCTTTCTCATCGAAAGTTTTCAAATCTTCTATCCGCTTCACAACATCGCCTAACTGCTCAATGCTGAAACACAACGTTTGCTTATCTTGAGATAGTAATTAAAACAAAACCTTTCTGGGACTGATCCGGATGTCACAATCAAGTCGTTTGTGGTCTTGTTTCGGTTGCGTTTTCGAATTCGTTTGTTGGGATCGTTCTTATCTCTTTCTCTTCTTTCTTCCCTTTTCTGGCACAGGCGTAAATGTTTTTTAAGGTAGTTAGCCGTTCTGAAAATTTTGAGAAATCAAAAATTTTGGGATTATGTTTGTATATATTTCTTGTCCGGCGTCGATGAACCTTGTCGCCAATTTTATCTTTGAAGGCGCATAGCCGGTCCTGGAGAGAAAACGGCTACTGCTCTTACAAATAACTTCATGCGCTTTTATTACAGTATACTTTGGAATAATTTATTTTTGCCTAAAAACTGCCTAAAATGAGCCAAAATAATTCCTAAGTATACAGTATTAAAGGCGCATGAAGTTTTTTGTAAATACCGTAGTCGTTTCCTCCTCAGGACCGGCTATACGCCTTTTTTAGTAAATTAGGCCAGAAGGTTCATCGGCGCCGTACAAGAATAATACCGTATTTTGTTTGATATTCAATATTTGATCGCTTGTGTAGGGACCGTGATTAATATAAGGTTCAAAAAACAGTTAATTCTATGTACTAAAGCATTCACTAAAGGTCTACGTTTCTTCGTTGCTTACGCAAATGGTTTATTGCATATTGGGCACATGTGAAGATCTTCGCTATGACATGAAGATTTATGTTCCGACAAATTTGGACTGTACGAAAATCGTTTGTCACACTTTTTGCATTGAAAGTACGGCTCATCGTTGTGTGACGGACGGTGTTGCCGGAGACCTTGAATTTGTTTATAAAAATTTGATGAAAAAATTCGATTTACCTGCAGAACTTGTAAACGTTTTATCACATTTTTCACATCTGTAATCCTTGGGAGTTTTATGTTTTTCAAATTCCTCCATCTGAAACAAAAAAGGCTAGAAGACAAGAAAACTGAAGAAAAAAAAGACAAAAGCAGAAGATCTTTTTACAATGGAAAACTGGAAGAAACTAGAAAGACTTGAAGACATGCTATCCAAATCAGAAATGGGTTGTCTGTTGACACCAAATGAATTTGTATCCTTTTGTCCTCAGACAACTCAATACAAAAAAACAATCTGACTAGAAACATAAAACGTCATGAGAAATAAGGATCAAAAATTTTTGAGTAGAATTCAATTTTTTCTTATGATTTTGAATTTCAAATTATAATTTTCTGAAACGAATTCTTACTACTTTTTTCAGGGTCGCGAGAATTTTGAAAACATTTGAAACCATGAAAACTATGGAAAGAAATAACCGAAAATCTTACCACAACCACGGATACCGTATCTGCGCCTATGAAAGCAGACCAACTACATGCAATTTGGGCTCAATTATCTAGGTTTCTGCACGAGATATCGAAACATTTGCAACTAACAAATTGTTTATCATAATACCGCCAAAATTTTATTAGTTGACAGATTTTTGATACCTCTCATAAAAACCGAAATGATTGAGTCCAAAAGGCAAGTATTGGTGGGCTTCTAAATAGTAGAGAAACTACGGTACATTGAATGTTCTCATGTGACACCTCTATTTGTTTTTTTAGGGCCGTCTATCTCGATTCTCAGAAAAGATATTAACATTTTGTCAACCGATAAAATGTTTATCATAAAAATATCAGCAGTTTTGTTGTTGGCAAGTGTTTGAAACCTCTTGCAGTAATTGAGATATTTAAGTTCAAAGTACATGTAGGGAAGTTCGGAAAAGATTTCGGAATTCGAAAAATTGCGGAAATTCCGACCATTTTTGTAATGAAGGGGAGACTGGAAAATTTCTGAGACAAAATTCGGAATATTTACAAACGTTTTTTGCAGAATCAAATACTAATCGAGATTTCATGATGTTTTCCTTCGAAATCAATTTGTAAATTTTCACTTATTTTCCGCGATTCTACCATGGAAAAGTGAGATTACCAAATTCCTGAAATTTCAAACTTCTCAAAAATAGGGAAATTTAGAAATTCCAAAATCCAGAAAATTTGAAACCCGGAACTTTACATTTCCCGAAAAATTCCAAAAATAACATTCCAAACATCCCTGAGTGCGAGTATGGTGTGGCCTTCTATTAAATCACACAGTAGTTAGTAGTTTAGGAGGTAGGACCAAAAAAAGTGAAAGTCTCGGCTTCTTAAACAAAATGACAACTTTAATCTCAAAATAAACATTTTGAAACCTATTCAAATGAAGACCAAACTCCGTGATTAACGTACTTTACCAACTCTAGTGAAACATCTTCGTCATTTTTTCCAGGTGTGTGGTTACAATTACAAACCTGCATGAATGGAGTCCGCGGCCAAACATTCAATCGTCATCAAAACAAAAATTGAGAAAAAAATTTCAGAAAATTCATCGTGCAATAAATAAATGAATTATAATCGTATATACAACGTAAGTGATCTGAAGCCACAGAAAAAAGAGGGAGAGGGATGTATGATAACCGGATGAATAAATTTATTTTTTCACAGTACATAAAATAACCGGATTAATAGCCCGTGCACAAAAATTGCATAGATAAATACATAAGAGGGCTCAGGAATCCATGAGTTTTGGAACGCGACTAGCGCCAGCTACAACAAAACTTGGGGATGGAACCCGAGAACTGGGGACAGAATTCACAAAAAAAAATTGAAAGAGTGGAATGAGAAATTGATCAATAAATGAGAAAGATTGGGGATAATATAATGCAAGTTTGGACCTTATAGGAAAGTGAAATAAGGCAACCTAATAAATGGGACGAAGAGGATTCTGTGAAGAGATCAGTGATACCAGCTATTCTTCTTCTTGCTCTTCCTGCTCTTGTTCATCTTCATTTTCTTCTGTTTCGGCATCAGCGATTTTTTTAAAATGGCACGTGTCATTCTTTGGCAGCAATTTGACTGTTTCACTCTCGCTTACGGTGCGCAATTTGACACTTCCGTTGCGAATGGGAGTGGAAGTTTCCTGAAAAACTTATTGTTACATTTTTCATGGGAAATTCTTTAGCCACGTCTATCGGGGGAGGTAGCATGACGTTACTACACTTTGGAACATAAAACAATGTCGTATATGGCAAAATAAATAAATCCTCATTGGAGAAAATATCACACATTATGTTTAAAAAACCAGAGAAGTTCAAAAAACGAGAGATTCGAGAAGTACACACGTCAACCTTACCGGAGAGACACTAAACATAAGTGCCTCTACGTTTCGAACGGCCCATTAACAATTTCTAAATGTTATGTAATGTATCCAAAAAATTTTGGAAATTAGTTTTCAATTGATAATAGGATTTTGGCTAGCTAACCTTTGGAATCTCCTCAATCAAACTGGATCTCGAATTGGAACGGACCACTTGGACTTTCGAATTGCTGAAAAAATGGATCTTAGGAATTTCTCATGTTTTCTTTGATTATTACTTTTGCATGATTTGAGAGGAGTTGTAGGCGAGCAGAAGATCAGGAGCAGTAATTTCGCAAAACTTACATTCGTAGAGAATCACTGCATCAAAGTCCGGAATGAACCCGATGGTCTGAAAAGAGGGAAATTTTTGAAACCAATGAGACCAGTTTCAAATTCAAAACACAATGTTATGTTTTTCCTCTTGCTGATGTATTTATCTCTAGTTTTGCAAAAAACACTTGAAAGGACGCAATGAGCATTGAACCAAACATTCCATTGTCTTTACATCGAACTCATAAATTATTCCGGAATAATTAGCAGAATTTCTTTTCCTCTCACTATTTTTCCCACACCAAATTCTCAGAAACCGGGTATTAATAGAACCTCTTTAAGAAAATTCATTCTGGAATTTCCAAACTCACATTATTGGTCACTTCTGTGTTCAGAGACATCGTAGAACGGCTGGTCGTTTGATTAGCTGATCTATCAATTGCCTCCACCATTGCATCCAGAACTTCGGTTCCAAAGTTGTGCCATGCTCCCGCTTCTAAGCGCATTTCTTCTTTTCCAATTGTGACTACAGCACGCCCAGTGAGTATCATAATAAATTTATTACTGAACTCTCCCTTTCTATATAGAACTGCTGGCTTTGGCTGAACGATTCCGGCCTCTTTGAGACAAGAGAACTGAGTTGCCTCGACCTAAAACAGAATGACGTGGTACGAATAGCAATTGGGGAACTAATTAAAATTGGACAGCATGTATAAAGGGCACATGTCTTGACTAACCTTTTTACAGTTTTTCCTGATGAGCTTCTCAAGGATTGTTGGGAGGATGTAGGTGGTGGAGAAAATCTTATGACAGGTGCTCATCACTTGAATGGTCACTGCCAGCAGCTGTATGTTAATTGTGCTTTTCGCGTGCGCCGTGTTCACAATTTGGCTCATGTCATGATTCTGAAAATAAGATCATTTTATTTTAATCAGCCCCTATGACTCATTTCTAATTTTCGATTCTTTTTTATTCTTCCAGGCAGCAGCTATCATAAAATATTCAATTCTATGTAGTCAACACCCCTCGACACTACAAAAGCTGGTCCTCGAACTGTCGAAAGTCAAGACAAAAATTTTTTCTTTTTTGCTCTTCTCTCTACCAAGACAAAAACAGAGCGATAGACTCATAAAAAAAAAGAGGCCGTCCGAAATCGGATTTTCTAAAAGACTTGATTCTATCAACTAGATTGGTTCACTATTTGTGCTGCTTGGCCAAACATTCAAACGTCGAGGTGTTACGAAAAGAAAAGTGTTCCAAGTTGGAAATGGAATCAACAAGGATTAGATGTAGGGATAAGCTTGGAAGACGGCGTTTGAATTTTATACCTGAATGTCATTCAGTCCCCAGAGACTTGATGAATATTGTAATGAACATCCCACTAGAAGTTAGGAATATAAGGGTGATGAAAGCTATCAAACAGTGGCAGTAAGTACTATCCATCTGTCGAATGGGAGTCCTTATATAGGACCCCGCCATGGACACATCTCGGATGGAATAGCATGACGGTTCTCGAAGAGTCCGTCCAGCTGATTGTCCTGGCAGTTGTAGCATGATGTCTTCTACCTTCTAAACAGAAGATCGGAGCCAGAAGAAGAAGAAGATGGAGGGGAAGATGAAGAAGAAGAATCACACAAGACAATGATGTACGACCGCGTGGCGGCTCCGGGGGGAGGGCCTCCTCCTCAACCGACGTGAGGAGTAGGAGAGAAAAGGCAGGCGGAAAGGCACAGGGAGGAGCACACAACGTCTTTTGGGTGAGCCTCTCTGGACAGATATGCCCTCGAGATATATGAACAAATTGTCGACTTCTGCTGGGATGCGGGGGCGGTGAGAAGTTTTTTTGGTGAGGAAATGTGCAGTATGGGAAAATGAAGAAAAACGTTTGTGTGTTTTCCAAAGAGAGAAAGCACTTAGCAATCATTGAAGAAGACGAAAAAAGCTGTTTTGAAGGAGTTGAAATGAGGGAAAAAAAGAAAGGAGGGAAGTCTATTCGGGTGAAAACCCCTCAAGTTCGTTTACAATGTAAATTGCTCTCTGTTCTTATTCTCGTTTTTTTTTGTGTTTTTTGTTCTTTTCAGGTCCTTAAAAACACAACAACTCATGAGAAATGAACCCAAATGATCTATAGAAAAGGTCAACTAACCTTCTTCCTTTGTCGTTTCTTTCTGTGCACATTGTCACAGACTGCATCCGTTTCGTCGATGATCTCACACTGGATGATCTCTTCGATAATGTCCTCAAGCGTGATTAATCCGCAGAGTTCGTACACCGGATCCTTATCTTCTTGTTCGACGAGCCTTTCCACCAACGCCATATGATACTCACCCTGGATAAAAAATCTCAGATTAAAACAACTTTCGCACCCAGATGAGAGAGCTTGATCGAGGAGAGAGATAGTCATTTATCTTTCTCTTCCATCTTTCTCAAAATAAATCTTTCGAAAAATCTAACCCGCTTGAACTCCTCGAGCATAGTACGGAGAGGCATGTCTTCTAGCACACGGCGTACTTCGTGGTTATAGATGTTGGCGATTTTCATGACGTTTTGTTGATCGTTAGGATCAAGCAGCGCAAGATCTTTCACGAACAGAAGCGCAACCACGTTTTTCACTTCTTCATCAGGTCCAAAGATATGCTTGTTGATATTGAGCTGAGCAGGTTTTCCACCCGGCCCTTTGTTTTCAAAGACTGGAATTCGAGTATATCCCATATCCAAGATTTGTTGAACCATGTCGGCACTGAGATTCAAAGTATCCGGAAGCATGAACATATCCTCGTAACGTGTCATCGCTGTTGCCACAGTTTTATCGTAGAGCTCCAATGCTCCTAGGACCATCTTGAACTCGTCCGTTTGGCCGCCGATGATGGTTTTCTCGGACAACTTGAGCATTTCGACGAGTTTATTTCTCTCCAAAGAACAAGTGAGCTCTTCTTTTAGGAACACATCCAGAAGCTGAAAGCATTTCAGAATTTCACATACACCTCTCAGTAGTGTCTTACTTTGGAAATAGGCCATGTTAAAGGATACATTAGGAAAAAAAGCACTTGAGTGATTGGAATAGTATGCGCTCCGATAGGAAGTCCCATTCTGAAACAATTAGAGTTTTTTACCTTGAACACAGAAACATAAACGTGTAGCCGCTCGTATAGTCCGGAATATGAGCCGTGTGGGTTACCGATAACATATCGGTGAATTTGAGATTTTTTTCAAATGTTTTAACCTCGTACTAGAACTGGTCATTTATCAACAGAGACGTTTTAGAACCGACCATTTCACAACTACGTGGTTATAGAACCGCGATGTTTCCAAAGTGTGATGTTCCGAAATCGCGACGTTTCAGAATTACGTCATTATAGAACTATGACATTTTAAAACCGCAACTTTCCGAAACTTTCATGTTTCAAAATCGCATCATTCAGTACCTTACGGTGAAACACACTGAGTATGAGCTTACCACCCACCGTATTTCCTCTAATAGAAGCCCATGGGATTCTATTTCATAACTCATTTCTCAGGGTGAGCTTCCTTTAAAGGCGGGGTTCAATAAGAGAGTAGGCTTCTATTTTTCGATGATTAACTTTCAAAAACAATTTTATTCAAAAATTTAGAAATTAGGCAATTCGGAAGTTAAGAATTCTGAAATTTAGTGTTTTGGAAAATGCGAAATTTTCATTATGGAATTCAAAATTCTGAAATTCCAAATTCATGAAATTCTGAGATTTCAGGATCCTAAAATTCAAAATTCTGAAAAACTGAATTTCCGGAAAAAATTCAAAAATTATAATAATCTGAAATTCCGAAGTTTAGAAATTAGAAAAATTGGGCTTCTATTAAAGGCGGGCTTCAAATAGATGTAAACTTCTATTAGTGGAAATACGGTATGGTTCCCATCGTGGCATCACTTACTTCACACATAGAGCCTGTGGAATAATCTCTCCGAAGACGACGATTGCAGCTGTAGCTCCGAAAAGAACCCCGAGGCCAGTTCCAACGATCATGTCCATCAGCATAGATATTCCAACATTTACAATAACGTTTCCGATGATAAGAGTGCAGAGCAATTGATTCCCCTTCTTTCGAACTGGGAGTATTTTTTCGGAGTATCGTTTTTCGGAGTTCGTTCCACTTGCACGGTACAACTGAAGCTCGTAAGGTGAAATTGTCATTAGACCGATGTTGAGTCCCGAAAACAATGCCGAGCTGCATAACAAGAACGCTAGACAGATGATCTGAAAATCCATAATTGGGCGAAAATTTTGTGTAGAAACTTACCGATAGCCACCTTGGCATTGCATGCTCGGGTGGGGGAATTTCCGTTGTCACTGTAGTGAATGGATCTTCAATAACAGCAAATCGAGGTTCCGCATAATATTTTTCTGAGATACAAAGTTTAAATATGTCGGACTCCGCTGCTGTTCTAAATGTACAATTTTTTATTTTATCGAATTCTGTAAAGATCATACTTTGGGAAGGTAACTTCTGCTACCAGACGCAGATCCGTCATGGAAGAAAAGTCAGCCTCGAAAAAATGCCTCATATCCGTACAAGTTCCATCGGCGGTGAAAGTCAGAGCTCCAATATCTTGGAAGTTCTGACCAAACAGCACGACTCTAACATTTTGATTTGGAGCGATCACGACGTTGTGCTTTCTAGAACAATTCATGTCAACTAGATTTTTTAAAATGAGCAAACCTGTTGTGTCCCATAACAATTTTATTGAAGGTTCCGACATTTGCTTCGAGACGCAGACCAGACACTTTCACCTTTGTCAGATGGTGAGGTTCTGGCTTTGGAGTTGCGACGATTCGTGCAACTGTAGCTTCGGCTTGCTTCTCTGCTTCAGTGACAATCTGCAAACCGTTGATTGAAAAATATAAATTTCCAGAACTTTTTGAATATTATGAGCTCTGAGTGAAGTGACCACTTTACAACGAAATCTCCACACCTTGTGAAGCCAGGTTATCATGTCCATTTCAGGATAGGTTGAAAAAACCTATCGACACTTCTGAAGGTTTTAGAACTCGCCCTTTTACCAATAATCGCGTTTTCCATGCAAACCGAAATGTACAAAGACTTGTTCTCAACTTCTAGGATGCTTCAAAACATGAAATTTGATGTGTTCTACTTAGAATTGAATGAAATTTCATATTTCAAATTATATAAATATTATTTGAGCTTTTCCACCATGTGCATTTATTCAAAAATGCGGAAAAATGGTTTTCCACAAAATTCCTAAAATGTGGAATTTCGTTAAGCTATACGTATAACAAAACAAATTTCATGTGTACTAGAATTTAAGAAACTTGTTTAAGAAATTCGTTCAAAATCGCTGTTTGCACTGAAAACGCGATTTTTGGTTTTGAAACATACATATAACTCGGCTAAAAATAGAAGACGGGTTCTGAAATCTACAGTAAAATTTGCCTAGATGATTTTTTTTTCTATTTCTTAACCTATCCTCAAATTTTTATCAAATCTGGGTTTACAAAATGTTGAGGTTCCCTGAACAAAAATGCGAACTAAATTGTTCTTTCAAAAGTCAAAATATGTAGTGTGTGTGATCTGGTAGAAGCCCACTCCATACGTGCATTTTAAGCTTAATTATCTCCGTTCCTTGAAAAGTTATCAAAAAATTGATAACTGATAAAATGTATTTTGTGAAATTACCAACATTTTCTCACTTGACAAGTTTTTGATATCTTTTGAAGTAATCGAGATAAATGAGCTCAAAATATTTGGTGGGCTTCTCTTACATCATTCACGGAATTTTCATCCGGCACAGATAAAGAGACCACAGTACTTTCGATCACATGAACTCAATTTTTATCACTTTTTTGTATACTTTCTCAACTTGACCCCGCGGTCAGCCAATGGTAAATTTAACTAAAATGTATTACGATTCTCAATCAGCGAAATATTTTCAAACTGATAGAAAAGTGACAATTTTGTGACTTTTCTAGCACACTACTTATAATTTCTTTCCTGAAACTTTTGAAATCACAAAATCGGAAAGGCATAATTCAATTTCTGATAACGGTTTTCTCCTAACTATTTCGGACAATCATGCGGTACAATGACGTCATGCGTTTTCAAGGAACTTACCGGACGAGAGTAAACTGAAGCAACGAAGAGCAGCAATGTCAGGAGGCCTAGAAGCCATTTTTTAATGAACATCGAGTTGTGACTCTGAAATGACAAAAATAAATTTAGAGAACGGTTACAGTGAGTCAGCAAGAAGAAACAATGAAAGGACGAGAAAAATAACATTGTTTACACAAAAAAATTAAAAATGATTGAACGGAAATTTCTGGGGAAAAAATATGCGTCACGTTGCTTTTTCGTTGGCAAAAATATGAAAAAAGAAAAAAGGCCAATCATAAAATCTAATTATTGCTTCCAGACTGGTTTCACTTTTTATCATACTCTTTTTCACCTGGCATCTGATAAGAAAAATTGGAAAAGTTTGATGCACAATGTGCGAGGTTTCTGCACCGAGAAAAGAAATGCAAATGGTGGAAAACGAAGCCGGTGAGGGAAATGGGAGAAAAAACAATTGTTTTGGCTTCTTTTCCTTCTTTTTTGGCGTTTTTATTTCCCCTCGTTCCCATCCAAAGTGCTGAAAATCTTTCGAGGCACTTCAATTATTTTTTTTCACTGAGAAATGAGGTTCAATCTAAGGAAAGTGGAAGCCGAGAAAGTGGAGAGCTCTACCCCACAATTTTCTTTCCTAACAGCTCTTTTCTTCCAAGCTTCTGAGATGAAAATGAGCATGGAAAAGAAGAAAAAAGAGAGCCAAGTGTGAGAACGGTAAAGCAGCGTTCTTCCAGTATAGGCTTCTATTGACTAATAAACCACGAATACACTACCGTAGATAACTAAAATGAATAGAAAACGATATAACTGATAGGCCAGCTCCCCTTTTATAGAGGTTAATTAGAATTGCAAATTATTGCCACAAATTATTGCCACAGGGGCAGAACGGGAAAAATTTAGAATAAATGAATTAATATGTTTTGTTCTTTCTGATCTTTTCCACTCGCCGCAATCTTCGGTTTCACTCGCGACACTAAGCTAAATTTTCCCAGTGTCTCGTGGAAATGTTTCTAGGATCTCCTGGGAGATGCACCATGTATATGGAAAGCCATGACACGTCATTCCGCCTAATTCCGAGGTGGAGAGTTTGTAGGGTAAGAAAATCCACAACACATCTGGAATGGATATGAGAGAGGAGTAATATCAAATTGGAATTTAGAATAATACATATCTGGAGCGAGTTGTCCCTATTTGTAGTAGTCAGACACATATGGTTTATTAATCAGAAAAAAGAACAGCAAAACCAAAAACTGTAGAAGTGTCCCAGAGTTTTTTCAGCAAAAAAATAGGTAAATTTTAAATTGAAACAACGCTAGAAACTCTATGATATACGTAAATATTCTATGAGCTTTGTCTGAATCTGAAAAGAGGTGAAGGAGATCACAGTTATTCTAAGTATCGGCATCTCGGAATAAAACGATTTGTTATGAAAAATATGCGCTCTGCATGGGAAAAAGAGGAAAGAAAGACTGTGCAATGGAACAGAATCGTCTCGAGACCCCCATGTAGTGATCAACAATCAATCGAAGACCAAGAACTATGAGTCACTGGTCATCGCACATGCAGAATATTGTTCTCATAAACAAACGTTCCACGAGATCGTTACAGTATCCTAGGTTAGATTTTGGTCGCATCACCAATCGTGTTTCGAAATTCAGACGACAAGACAAAAGCATATGATTCACTAGAAATATGGAAAAATAAAGCATTAGAAAGAGAAATAGGAACATTGTTTCCTGGAAACGTGCCAACCTCCTGGGAGATGCACCATGGATGTAGAAGCCACATCATGTAATACTGCTAAGAATAGGTGAAGATGTTTATGAAGAAAAATTGATAGAAAACTTTTAGGAAAAGGGTTGGAAGGGGAACAATGAGAAAATGGAAATTCCATATCTTTAGCCTGTTATCCCTATTTGTAGTAGACAGATACAACATTGAAGTATCGTTTCTTGATGGGAAAAAAAGAAACCCAAGAACAAAAAACTGAAACCAGTGTTCGAGACCTCCTTTCAGCAAAAAAATAGATGTATGTTAATTTGATATGCCCCTAGAAGCTCTATACATATTCTATGAGCTCCGTGAGATTCTGAAAAAAGTTTACTAAATGTATGGAAGATCAAAGTTACTCTAAAACTCAAAATCACGGAATGAAACGTTTGATCACAGAAAAATACGCGCGCTGTGTGGTAATAAAAAGGGAAGAAAGACTGTGCAATAGAACAGAATCGTCTTGAGACCTCCCGGCTGTGATCAACAATCAGTCAAAGACCAAGAACTATGAGACACTGGTCATCGCACATGCAGAATATTGTTCTCATAAACAAACGTTCCACGAGATTGTTACAGTATCCTAGGCTAGATTTTGGTCGTTTCAACAATCGTGTTTTCAGACGGCAAGACAAAAGCATATGGTTCACTAGAATTATAGAAATAAAAAGAAAGAAAATTAGAAATAGAAGTATAGTCTCCTACCAACGTGGCACCTCCTGGAAGATGCACCATGGATGCAGAAGCCACATCATGTCATTCCGCCAAGAATAGGTAAAGATGTTTGTGGAGAAAAAATCGATCCAAAACTTTTAGGAAAGGAGGTGGAAGGGGAATAATGATAAAATAGATTTTCCATATCTGGAGCCCGTTATCCCTCTTTGCAGTAGACAGATACAAAATATAAGTATAGTTTCTTGATGGAAAAAAAGAAAACCAGAAACCAAAAACTGAACTGAGTGTTCGAAAACTTTTTTCAATATAAAGATGGAAATATGTAAATTTGAGATACCACTGATACTCTGACTGATATATGAGATACTTCATGCATTTTCTTTTAGTTACGTGGGAATCTAAAGAAGGTACACAACATTTATGGAAAATAGCAGTTACTCCAGATTTCAAAATCTCGGAATCAAACGTTTCGCCACGAAGAAAATGGGCGCTGCGTGTGAATAAAGAGGAAAGACAGGCTGTGCAATGGAACAGAATCGTCTCGAGACCTCCATGTAGTGATCAACAATCAATCGAAGACCAAGAACTGTATGATTCACTGGCCATCGACGTGTTGTTCGCATAAACAAACGTTCCACGAGATCGTTACAGTATCCTAGGCTAGATTTTGGTCGCATCACCAATCGTGTTTCGAAATTTGAATGACAAAACAAAAGCATATCGTTCACTAGAAATATGAAAATAGAGAGAAAGAGGAATAGAAATAGAAGTATAGTTTTCTGGCAACGTGGCCATCTCACGTCATTAGCCAACTTTTGAGGAAGAGATGTTTGTGGAGGAAAAATCACTTCAAAATTTTTTGGAAAGGATGTGGGAGAATAAAAAGAAAACGGAGTTTCCATATCTGGAGCTATCCCTATCTGTAGTAGACAGTTACAAAATTGAAGTATCGTTTCTTAATGGAAAAAAAGAAAACCGAGAACCGAAAACTGAACTCAGTGTTCGAGAGCTTTTTTTCAGTAGAAAGATGGAAATATGTAAATTTGAGATAAAAGCCACGTGTGAATCTGAAAAAGGTTCACGAAATGTATGGAAGATCGCAGTTACTCCAGAATTCAAAATCTCGGAATGAAACGTTTCACCACAAAGAAAATGCATGGGAAAAGAGGAAAGACTGTGCAATGGATCAGAATTGTCTCGAGACCTCCATGTAGTGATCAATAATCAATCGAAGACCAAGAACTGTGAGTCACTAACCATCGAACACGCAGTGTATTGTTCGCATGTTCCAGACGATCATCACAATAGTCGAGGCTAGATTGTAGCTTTCTAACCAATAGCCTCATGAAAATTTCCTTGTATATGATAAACTAGAAAGAATGAGCCAGGAAGATATACTCATGTTCGTCATATAAAACGGAAATAATTGTCTCGAGATTTCCAAAAAAAGTGGTCTAATGGATATGAGAAAGCATAAATAACAACACAGAAACAGTGGGAATAAACCAGCTGAAAAAGAGGTGATATAAAAAATGGATTTACATGATTTTCCTTGGGACAAGGAAGAAAAAGGAAAGACATGGCGATATCAAGGACTAATACGAAATTGAAACTTTTTGTTAGTTTCTCTTTTTTTCAAACGTCTCAAATTACATTCGGATGTCGCCCGAATAAAAGGTTTTTCTGAAAACTTTGAAAATGAAAGAAAAAATGGAAAAGATAATTTGGGAGTGAGAAAAAAAAATTTTTTGAAAAAAGAGAAAATCAGGAAAAATAAGGAATCGCGAAAATCTTAAGAGCTACGGTCTGCATTTTTTCGTGATTGTGATTGCTGCAGAAACTACAGGTGGAAAATTAGTGATCAACAGTATGTACAGTACTATTCCTAGTGTTTCAGCTATTTGCTAATTTTTAAGGGACATATGGTTTTCCAAATTTTCAGTACAAATCTGGGGGGGGGGGAGGGGCTTTGAAAAATCAGCGAAAAAGCTCAAAAACAAGGAGTTTCGCAAAATCTGTGATTGAAATGTTAATCTTGGTCTTTTTTACACCCTCCGAAATGTGATCGGAAACTTGACATCCGAACTCCAGACTCCGGAAAATGATCAAAATGACCCTGATAACTCTGTTTTTCAAACAAACATTTTGAAGACAGCGATTTAGAAATTTAAAAAATCAATTTTCCTAGCTCCCAAAAAATTCTTGAAATTTAAAGTACACTCTAAATAGACTGAACGATCATTAACCGTCGCTCCTCTAATCAATCATTATAATAATTGTATGTGTGCATTTTGATAACCACCACCAACCCATCCAACAATCAAGTTTTTTCGCCGCTGCTGCAAATATAGTTCAACAAAAGCAAAAAAAGGAACTACGTATTTCTTTGAGTGAAGAAAAATGATAATTGCACGTTGGTTGAAGCGGGAAGAAAGAGGGAAAAGGAATTATTCACGATGAGGTTGTGCAACCATTCAAAAGACGAGACAGGCTCCTTTTTCTCAAGATATTTAAAATGACGGAAAAGAAGAAGAAAAAGAAAGGAAAAAGGTCTCTGTCAACCTTTTTGGAGAGACAAAGGGCGGATAGGGGTCCCCAAAAAAAAAAGACCAAATGTGACAGAGACGAAAGTAGAGCTATATATAAATTATCATAGAATATTCTACAGAAAAAGCAAAAGAAAAAGTACTAGGTCACCAGATATGACCAATCGGACAAAAATAGAGGAGAGAGGGAGGGAGGAATAGAGGGAGGAGGACTAAAAATAGGAATCCATTAGGTCCTCGGAGTAGACAAATGGGTGGCAGCAAAACGCAATTATGCGTACAATTCTGATCAAAAAGAAATCATTAAGAAATCATCGAGATTAAGAAATCGTCGAGATAAGAGAGAAAAAAACGAGTCTAATTATGAAGATGAAAAGAAATTGAAAAAAAATGAGAGAAAGAAGAAAAAGTGCATGAGTATGCTTACTTTTTGAACAGATAGGAAGAGCAACTGTCGTTTGGGTACATTTTTGAGTGCAAAACAGAGGGAGAAAAGAAAAATGACTAGACTTAAAAAATGGGGAGGAAGGTATCAATCATAGCAGTTAAGGAAATCTAGAGAGAGAATTTTTCTGAGTCTGAATACAAATTGGGCAGGATTATGTTCATTTTAAAACACTTTGAATCCGAAAAAATACCGGAATTCATGTTTTCAATAGACTTTCGATTTCCAAAAAAAAAAGAATAGTTGAAAAAAATAACTGAACCCCATCAACTACAAACGACGCGATTTCCCGGGCCATATCATAAACGCACACATATAAAAATTTTGTACTAACATTTAAAAAGCTTGGAAACCTCTTTGCAAAAGTCGCCAGTGAACAAATATGACCCCCAACCTGTCATACGTGGGAAAGAAAGAACAAGGAAAAGCACAAATGAGAAAAAAGAAGAAATAACTGATGTCATTGAGAAAGTCATTGCGATAGCCCATCGGGTGGTCTGAGGAGCAAAATGTTGAAGAAAAAAGTGGCGCCAGCTGATTTGTTAAGAAGTGGGGGTGTGATTTTTCGCAAGGATTGTCTTTAGTGCTCAAAAAGTGGTAAATTTGTAGTTTTGAAGGTATTTTCTATTTTTAAAATTTGTAACACAGTTGGTTATAGTCAAAGCTTCTGAATATTAATCACATTGTTGTTTTTTTTCCCAACTCGTTCCGCCCACCTTGTCTTATTCAGAATTCCGATTTTTGCGTTATCTCTTTTAAACTGCTGAAGATCTCAAGTAGTCAACAGCATAGAACAAGTAAATGATGAAGAGAGAAAGATATCAAAGTTAGAGAAACGAGCCGAAGAATCTAACAAGAGTGAGAGAGTGTCCTAGCTGTACTGCAGCAGCACAAGCGGCAGAGCAAACGAATTCAAAATTGAGAAGAAGCTTTGGTGGTGGGGAGTGAGAGAGTGAAAATTTTCATGAAGACGCAGGAAGAGAGAAAGCTCAACGGACGTTTTGCGGGCGGCTTGCCTGACGGAAAAATTGCATGGCACAGTGAGAGAGAGAGAAAAAGGGGAAGAGAGAAGCAGAGGAAAAAGGAGAAAAAGACAAAGTAGAAGCACGATTTTTGTCAAATGGCTTATCGAATTTTTCCCGGCTTCATGTTTCTTGACCGTTGTGTAGTTATAATTAATTTCACAATGAAAATTTGTAGGAAAAAGAAAGATTGATTTAAAAGAAAAGATAAGAACAAATTGATGGGGAAAAATCTTGAATATAATGAATGTTTTCAAAAACGAATGCACTATAAATTTTGCCTCTGAAAATGATTGAAATGCTTTTGAAACCCTAAATTTTGAATAATCTCCAATCAAGAATGTCCGCAATGAACTTTTCGGATTTTGGAATTACCAAGGATCGAAATTTTGAAATTTCGGATCTTCGGAATGTTCCGAATTTCATACTTTTAGAATTTCTCATCACAGAAGCGCAAAACTGGTAAAAAACTGGCAAAAAATTACGAAAACTTTTCGCGTGCATTTGTCATACAGTAGTCAAAAAAACCTAAAAATCTGAAAAAAAAACCTTCTGAAATATTCCGTTTGTAATTTGGTTCCGAAAAAAGAGTCTGTCAAAAAAAGGGACAGAATTTTCGTGTTTCCGAATTCTGTTTTTATACAAGGTGTTTAGTGCTAAAGGATGATTTCTGATTTTCTGAAAATTTTTTACAGTGTGTCAAAAAAATGCTACGTTTTGGGCCAAATATTCAATCTATTTGTCTGGGAAAGAACACCTACTGTACGGTTTGACACACACTGTTTACAATATCGTGAAAACTCTAATGGAGTGCCAACCAAACCGAAATTTTTGAGCCTATTTATCTCTGTTACTTTAAATGATGTATAAAATTGGTCTACTCACAAACTATCTATCATAACATCAAAATTATTATGGCGTTTAACCATTCTTTGATAGCTCTCGCAGAAACAGAGATAAATTGGTTCAAAGTTGAAATTTAACAGTGTAATTCTAATGGAGTGTTTACAATAATTCGAAAAAATGATTGGAAAATCATTTTTTCAAAACTGTTTTTAAGCAACAATACAACCACATACTAACCATGTAAGCTTCTTTTTTCAAAAAAAAAAACTATAATTTCGATACTCGTTTTCTCATTCTTCAAGTATTTATAACAAAAAGTCATGAAAATAGCAAACAAAACCTCATCGAGAAAAAAAAACACCAAATATTCCAATAAAAACAAGGTAGTTAGGTAGGTAAAAGATGCGAACATCTGCTTGGTGTTGCTTCCACTTCACTCGACATCGCTCTCTTCCGTCTCGGCCGAGTCTTCTCTTTGGAACGGAGAGGTGTTGGCGCGTCCTCGTGGTCTACAATAAAACATTTATATTTCTCTCGATCATCAGTTTACCCGAAGCTTTGTAAACAAACCCATAATGTTATGCAACATTTTATTTCTAGATGTATTATGCTATGATTCAAAAATCAAGAAAGGAATACGGTACCATGACTGTTATTAACTTATGTATTTCAGGCTCAAATATGTCCCTTGAAGGAAGTATGTAGATATGATAGTAATCAACGAGTTCTACAAGCAGGTACTTTCTTTTTATAAAACAATGTCACCTTGTAGTTCTCGCCGAGTACTGTTTCCTTAAACCCTCTAACAGAGTGACCTCTAACTATATCCAATTTATCCAGTTTCTTGACAGATATGTCAAAAAGAGGCTTACTGGCAAAATATTTTTGAAAACATGAACAAAATTTGGTTAGTTGACCACTTCTTGATATCTTTTACAGGAAATGGGATAAATGGGTTCAAAGCTACCGGATTCGGGGACTTTATATTTGTGCTTATAAGCAGTATGTTCATTTTAGTTGGTCGAGAAATATTGAGCCTTCCAATCAACAACCTATCTGGCCCGGGTTCTCACTTGAAAAGATTCATATCGAAGCCACCAAACGCTCCCAACGTCGGTGCACGTCTTCTCGCTGCTACCGCTGCATCATCCTCCGACATCTCCTGTTGCCGTTTCTTAGCCCTATTTGCCATCCAAAGATGGAAACCATCGTGTGCGGGTATATCCGACTCGGTTCTTGTTCGCAATTTGATTTGCTGCAAGTAAATGGGTTCTTGAAAAAGAAAAAAACGAAATACTCCAAAAAACGTACGTCACTCGTATTGCTCTCCCGTTTTCTATCTTTGTCTCGCTTTTCTTTTTTCTCTCTGAACGAGTCGCGAATTACGGCAGCAAATTTGATTCGAGTTTGGGGATGTGACGGAGGGAAAGTGCAGACCAACATCCGAAACACCGGTTCCATATTCTAGAAAAAATGTTTTTTGTTTCTCGGACTAGAAACAAATGTTTACCTGAAAAACTCGATAACCCGGCCCTCTATGACTGGAACTATGAATTCTATCTAATTTGTCTTCCACGCTATTAATCAAATTAAAGAACATCCTATAGAGCTGAGCATAAATTGATGTGTTCACAATTGAAATGAGGGCGAGACCCAACAAAAAGGCGGCTGCCAGAAATGGGGAATACTGAAATAATAGTTTTCTTTTTTCTTTGTTCCAATTTCGAAAAGAATGCCTCACTTGAATGTTATACGGCATGACGTCTCCAAGCCCAATGGTTGTCAAACTGATGAATGTAAAATAGAACGCGTCAAAGAATCCAATACCTAAAAATAGAGATTAGGAATTGAGCAAAAAAATTGAGGATCTTCTCACCAGGTTTATTTCCTTCGTTATGATCAAAAATTGTAATTGTGAGAGTACATATCAGAATGTATGCTAAGACAAGGAACAGTGCCAGCCACATTGGTAACAAAATGTCGTGTTTCTTTTTAGTGAGAGGTTGTTTTCGGAGGTTTCTATAATTCTTAATTTTGAAAACCGCAAAAGCAAGGCCCCTAACTTTGGACTTTGAGCTATTTTTTCTCGGTTCCTGTCAAAGATATGAAAAAGTTGTTAACTGATAAAATGTTCATCATAATATCAAAAATAATTGTTTGTTGACACCCTTTTTTATTATGTTTCAGAGAAGCCAAGAGAAGGTAGCTTAAACTAAGCAGTGTTGGGGCCCTTCTATCACAGATTTCGTTATCATCCCCAAACTAACTTGTATTTTAGAAGCAAAAACACGTATCCGCTAGTAAGAACCTTCTGGAACCATTCTCCGATGTCTCCAAGCACCACGAGCATTATCGGTAAACCGATTGATGCATAGATCATTGATAAGATTCTACCCCACGTAGTTTGACAGGAAATAGTACCTAAGAACAAGAATTAGCAATGCAAAAAGTTTGAAAATCGAATTACCATAACCAATAGTAGAGAAAAGAGTCATCGAGTAGAAAGTGGCCGATGAAAAGTACCACATCAGATGCATGTCCAAATTTTCAGCCTTATGCCACACACTACCATGAAATCTACCTTCCGCTTCTAACATTGTTTTGTAATATCGCTGGAAAGATGTTTTAGAATATAGATTTCCAGAAGACAAAAAATCTAAAAAAGAACATATATACCGTAAGCGCTCTAATCACTCCAAGGCGACTCTCCACTTCCACCTTGAGCAGAATTATCTCAATTTTCAACAAAAATATCGAAAATTTGTCAACTGATAAAATTTTTTTCATAATATGACTAACATTTTATCAGTTGACACATTCTTGATATCTTTTTTAGAAATTAAGATAATCGAAGTCAAAGTGCAACATGGCATTCTATTAGAAACAAAATGCAACATGGCCTTCTTTTAAAACGGTTAATTAAAACAGAAAATCTATCTCACTTTTATAAGTTTAGCCAATTTGTTATTCCGATCAGTTCCATTTGTACTAAGTGTGAGATTTATGATATCTTGAGTTTCTTCATCAATAATTCCTTGCATCAAAACAATTGTCTCTTTCAAATCCTCTAATTCTCTGGGTGACTCCAATTTCTCAAACATGAAACCGCCAAGAAATACATATCCAACAAGTAAAGCAACAAGAGTGATATGTCGGATTCCAAATTTGTGATGGTAATAAGCAAGCCACGCAAAGAACCGAGTGATTTCTGGAATTCAATTTTTCTGGAACAGTTGAAGACAGCAAGGAGAAAGAGCACTGACTCTGTTTTCGTATCTGCTTTTTTCGTTCCTTGTACTTTTTGGCATCAAATTCAAAGTGAAAACCGAATGGTGACATATCTTCAACCTTGCTCATATGTGTGTCAATTTTTAAGACTATGCAATTGTTCCTTTCCTGAAAAAATACAAAAAAAAATGAGTGTGAGCATGATTTGAGAGTTTCTAAATCTGAACTTACAGTCAAATGATTTTTAATTATCCTACTCCTCGTCTGGATTTCCGATTCTTCTGGAAAATTGTGACTACAGTAACCACCATACTTCTATAAACTCACTGATATCGACATCCATTTTTCCTTCTTTAAAAGTGGGCCGCAAACTAATCAGTAGAAAATAGAAGTCACCGGTTTTCCGAACCCGACTTGAACGCAAAACTGGGGCTGTTGATGGAGAGGAATGATAGGCCGACCATCATATTGTTTTACTGCCATCATTTACGGCTCTTTCGCCTATTTCTCTGGGCACTCCCACCCGGAGGGGCTCTCTTATCATACGGAATTCCGTAAAATCAACTTTCCTTCCTGATTTACTACCGTTAATTGGGAAAGAGAAAACTGGAAGTTGAGTGCAATTTGGTTTGTGCCACGATTGATGATACAAGACGGTTGCGCGTGTCTTTAAAAGATAGTAAAAATGTCATATAAGGCAAACAACTGTTTTTACAATGATATATAACTTTACTCCTGTCAAACACTTTCACTCCAAAAATCAAAACTAACATCTAGTCGAAGCACTCAGTATCAGAAAGAATATTTTTCCGCCACTGAACAGTATTCAGCCTATACTGTTTTTCTCGACCACGTGTTACAGCAGCAATAGCAATTTTCGCATGATTTTTTGCTCTCTACTCTTTTTTATTAAAACGACACACTAAAAATGAAGTGTGTTATCAGGTCGTTAACAGCCACTGTGCACCCGATAACTGTTAAGCTTACATTTTCATCGCATTAGTTTCACAATTTGCGACGTACACGGTGTGATAGAGCAACCATTGGTCTAATTATAGAATTTTTCAAAAAGCCCCGGGTATAAAATGTAGGGGCGAGAGTTCAAAAAATTTAGTTTTTTTTTAGTTTTATGGTTGATAACAATAATATTATCGAACGAACGTTCTCACCCATTACATGCAGCTAGGAATGTTTGGATTGGCCTTTGTGGAATTTCGAAATGTTTCATTTTTAAAGTTTTGGACATCGCAAATTTCGGGATCCCACTTTCGCTATCCAAATCCAATTTCATCATGAAAATGGTAGTGTTTGCTGTCGTGCTTCTGGGATTAGAAGGAATTGCTGTTTTTGAGTTGATCCCGCAAGGAACAACAATCACAGCTTTCACCTACAGGTTATAGTTGGGTTCCCTCGCCCTCGTCCTTCGATAGAAATGCCCGGGACGCACCACCATTCACCTTCCGCGCGATATTTCTCACCCACTTGTGACTAAGAAGACTCAGGCCAAACTGCAGAATCTGGGCTGGACTACGGTTTATTATCTGTAATACTAGCCAGACATTACGCTTTCGGATTATCATCTGTTCCCCTCAAGCAGTTCCTCAGAGAGAAACAGTTCAAAACATTGAACCACCTCAATGGCAGTGAGCGTCTTCTTTTACCCTCACACGCCCGAATTCTGGAAGACTGGAATCGAATAACTTCCTAATAGATGACTCACAGTTGTAGTCAATAATGGTGAATATATTGTTGATTGATCGTTATAGAAATTCAAGATAATTAGAAAACAAAAACTTCAAAAATTTTGTAAAATAATTTCTCCCCACCCTAATACTTTTCGAACATCCCCGATTGAAAATTGTTTAGAAGTCTAAAAATCCCAAGAATGATAATCCTACTCTATGAATGATACCAAGAGTTCTATTTATTACAGGAAAAACGTTTGAAGATTGATAGGTCCCCCATTCATCAACTAACCAAATGAATTTTACAATTTAATGAATGAGATAATAATGAGACAAAACAGAAATAATATTCAATTAATTGATCAGTTTTCAAAAAAAAAAATAATTACAGAATTTATGCGTCGCTAAGTCAGAGAAAAAGTGATTACTGGAATCATAATGAGTTAATGATGATTTTTTTTGATTTAAAAAAAAATTCAAGATCCACGACACTTTGAGAAGCATCCTCCCTTTTTGGTGGCAGCCGGATTCAAGACCACTCCAGTAGACCTGATTTCAACATCTTCAACCGCCATGAGTTCTCTGAAATTACCAAAATAGAATTGTTTCAGTGAATAATATGTTTCCGGAAAACATCAAAAGGCTATTTTTTTATGTTTGTTTACCTGGTGAGTGCCAGCATTGCGTTATCAATATTACTGCCGTCCAGAGCACTTGTTTCCATAAATAGAACTCCCATAGCCTGAAAAGTCATAGTTCGAGGACGATGTGAGTACAAAGATTTGTTCGGAAAAGAAAAACATCAAAAAAGCATACCGCCGCCATACTAGCTCCATCTGTTTTTGCGACCGCGCCTGGTGTTTGGAGCCGCATGTCCACTTTGTTTCCAACCAAAATGATCGGGATGCTACGTTCGGTGGACTCCTTGATAGTTTCGATCCAGTCACGGACTCGAAGAAATGAATGCTCAGCACAGACATCATATACTAGAATTGCTCCATCAGCTCTGCGGAAATAAGATTTACATAGTGAACGGAATCTCTCTTGTCCTGCGGTATCCCAAAGTTGGAGAGCAACATTTCTACCATCCACATTTACAGTTTTGACATGGAAGTCTACACCAAGAGTACTTGGAAGTTGGTTTGTGAATTGACGACGGATGACACGCATTACAAAGCTACTCTTTCCCACGGCAGCATCTCCGCACATGACGATTCGGAATGTTCGCTCAGCCGGTCCATTTGCATCATTTAGACCCTGATAAAGTTAATATAATGTTTAAAACTATGTCGACAAAACACTTACCACTAATCCTTCTGCAATATCCATGCCTTGAAGACTGTGTGCATCGTCTAAAATTAAAGAAGTTTCTGGATCTGGCTCCTCATCGCTGATAGCATGGAGCGGTACTGATTTGAACATGTTCGTTGATGTTTGGAAGTTTTCAACAGAGTTCCGATTGGAATTGATCAAGCCTGGAGATGGAGTTCTCAAATTGAACTGGCGGAGAACAGATGCACGACTGTCAAGAGCATCACGGAGACTTTCATTGGTCTCGTGGAGTTTGCGGTTGGCATCACTGAAACAGATTTTAGGTTTTAGAAAAGTTTCAAAAACTTACAAAAGAAGTTGAAGTTGTTTTCTGACAGATTCGCTTTCTTCTGTGGCATGTGATGCTTGATCTCTTCTTGCTGACAACTCATCCTGTTTCTGATCAAAATCTGCTCTAACCTGAGCCAGCTCACTTTTGATCATGGCCAATTCCAAATGATTCTCGGCAAGATTCTGACGCAAATCATTGTTCTCTTCATTAACTACCTGAAAATTCAAACTTCTCTTTTACTAATAAGACCGAATAACTCACTTTTAGTTTATCGGATAAATCTTTCTGATGATTGAGTCTCTCGTTCTCCCGCTCCAGCACCTTCTCCATTCTTTGCAGACGCTCAATGTTGGTTCTCATTTCCGACATTTCTTCAGACATTCTTTCGCGCATCTCTTCTTTTTCTTTGGTTAGGCGCTCTCTTTCCTGAACGTTAGTTGAGTTATAATCATGAACAAGAAATGAGCTCACCTCTTGACGAGCTTTCATCTCGATAAGCTCAAGTTGCTGATCAACTTCTGATTCCATTTCCTCCATACGACGATTGTACATTTCGCGTTCACTTAAAATCAACATTTTTCTAGAATTGAACTTATTGTATCTTCGAGACAACAAATAATTGTCTCGGATTTATCTACAGTACCGATCGAAAAGACATACAAAAAAGTAATTTTTTCAGTGAAATTTTCGCCATTTTGACCCTTTTCAGGCAATTTTGTGAATACGTAGTCTTCAATTTATGTATGTTTCACACTCTCCAAAGTTTTGAAAATGAGTGGAAACCTGACATCCGACCTCAAACTCCAGCAAATGTTCAAAATGGGCATAAATCGAAAAAACTTCATTGTAATCTTCTATATCACTTGTTTTTTTGACCGTCTCAAATGTGATATTTGAAAATACATAATTTTACCAAAGTGGTGTCGGTAATGTCCACTAGTAAGAAGTAAGTCAACAAATTTAGGAATATTTTTGAATTGATTTCTAAGCTCAAAAAAAGTAGATGTCCCAATGTGTCTTCTTGAAACTTTCACATGATTTTCTTTTTTTCAATTCCAGAAGTCACATGTCCCCCGCTCCTCTACTCACTGTTTCCACTGGTTTCCCCACACACACCTTGCATAGATTCGTTGGAGTCTCTCGTTCTCATGCTTCTTTTCTGACAACTCTTTATGAAATGACCCAACCACTCTTTCGAATTTTCTCAACAACGCTGGAACTCCAGATGACTGAAGTTGTTCGTAGAGGACTAACACTTCCTCTTGGCTGGAAGAAAACAGTTTTAGAAATATAAAAATGATGTATTGTTTCACCATGGAACACTAAAATCTATGTTGATGTTGGTATCGGATTCCGAGTGATAATGCTCTTCGTCATATACACGGATTGCAGGACGAGACGAAGAATCACTCTCACTCTCAAAAACCAATTCGTCTCTTCTGAATACAGGACCACCATCGTCAAAAGCCACAGATGCACGACGCTGCATTCCATTGAGTCCTAAATTGCTATAGTTTTGAAAAACCTCCGACAAAAATTATACCTCTACTCTCTCCGTGTTGAACTGTCTCTTGAAATCCTTGAAGGAACTCCATCTTTTCAATTTTTCCAGATCCATCTCTATCCAACTCGTTGAAAATGAAGCGGAGGTCCTGAAAATGATAAAATGTTCCAAAATGTCTGAAATAAAACACTTACATTATCATCAAGCTGTGGGCAAACTTTCTTCAGATCCTCCATCGTCAGAAACCCTTTGGATTCAGAATCACAAAGGGAGAACAGATTCTCCACATCGGGATTCGCCATGATTCGCGGTCTTTCTCTCTGTATTCTATGTGCCACTATTCTCTCTGCAAGAATGTGAAATAGATAGAGCGGGTGCGAGAATGATAGATTCGTGGGGGAGGGGGACAAACGGAAAAGGAAAAAAAAACGGCCACGGTGGAACTATAAAAACACAGAGAGAACGCGATGTATATAGATATTTATATATTGTATCGATCAATGATTTTTTCGAGTGAGAGGGAAAAAAAAGAGAAAGACAGAAAAATGATGAAGAGGGGAAGCTTCCTTTTTTGAGGCGCTCATGGGAGCGAGAAGCGTGGGCGAGAATCGCAAATTCGATTATTTTTATTGGCTGGGAACGTCAGACAATTTGAAAGGAATATTTCGAACATGATTCCGGGGATACGATAGAAGGAGACTTAAAAAAAGAAACTAGCTTATTTTTCTTGATTTGTTTTGTTTACCCAGTACTTCTCTGTAAACGAACGGTGAAAAGCGTATCAAAAGTGAGAAAGTTTGATTTTATGGCTGCGAACTTCAAGGCTGCTTCATACAGTTCTTTTCTAGAAAAAACAAATAAAAATGAGCAAAAGAGTAGCGCGGACTCCCTGGAGTGGGGGAGCTCATAAAAAATAATAGAGCCGATGCTTTTTAAGGAAAAACGGAAGCTTAGATGTACATTGGAAACAATATTTAATATTTTAGTGTTCAATTTATTCCGGATTTTTTTACAGTAATCCATAATACTAATTATCTAATCAGCTATGAGTTCCTTGTGACAAACACGTTTTGAATGACGACTGAAGTGCTCGTAGTGTTCCAAATAAAATTTTTAATATTAAATAAAAATTTACCAGATTTTAAAACCAGGATGTAGGTGCCTAACCAACTTTGAGCTCAATTATCCCGATTTCTATTAAATGCAACATAATTTTTAACAGTCAAAATGTTGGTGATATTAAGATAATCATGTTATTAGTTGATAAATTTTTAGTTTCTTTCATAAAATCCGATATACTTGAGCACAAAGTTGACGGTTTGGACAGGCTCCTATCAGAGGAGGTACGGTACTTTTCAATTTAAAACTATCAGAAAAGGTGATTCAAAAACAAAATCAAGATCATACTGAAAATATGTATTCTGAATGCTCTTTCTTTGCAATCTATCCCTTTTTGAATTTTCCACCAAATATGTTAAGTACCAGAATAGCACATTCATTTTTCCCATCAAAAAATTCAATTTCCGTCCCCATGTCCCCTCTTCACTATAAGAAAAACCTTCAGAACCCCAAACCTCAATTTTCCATTCTTTTAGAAAAAAATTGAGAAAATAATGAAAACCGTATAATACCCGGAACGTTTTGGTCCACCTTGACTCAGCTTGACAAAATTAAACCTGTCAAGTGGTGTCAATAGAATAGACAATAAGGGGTGCAGGTGGTACAGTAATGAATTGCGAAAATTGTTAGAGAAAGCAAAAGAAACATACATAGTTTTTGAGGGAATACTTGGAGAACAAAAGTGGCGTGGTTTTCATGTTCAATCTGTACTGACTGGTGTTGGCCCGTTTTGTCTTTTTCTCTTTTCTGGTGATTTGTGTGTTTATGTACAGTTTAATCAGCTGGATGGGGGAGAAGAGAAGCCATGAGTGTTTTTATTCGGTATTTCATAATATCCGATTGAAAAAAAACACATTGAGATGTAGACGATCTAAAAATGGGAGAAAAACTTTGATATCTGAAAAAACTAACCGGTAGAAAATTGTTTTTTTTTGAAAATTTTATCTTCCGTAATTTGCACAAAACCGAGATCCCAAAATTTATTTTTATAGATTAAATATGAAAAAATGGCAAGATTCGGAGTCTCTTGGACCTTAAAATATCTTGAAAAAAAACTAGATTTTCAATATCCAGCTACCGAGAGGAATAGAGTTAAATGTAAATGGGGCGGAATATTGCATACTTGTAGAAAAGATGGCCGGCCCGCGGCCGGGCCGGGCCATGGCCGGGCTGAAATTTTTCTGAAAGCGGGCCGGGTCGGGCCGGAAAAAGGTACACATGGCCGGCCCGCGGACCGGCCCGCTTTTTGAAAATTTCGAAATTTTAGAGCAAATCATCATTTTTCAAGATGGCTTTTCTCCTTAATAAATAAAAATCCACACTAGAGGACGATTCTGTCGAAAAAAACTGTTTTGAGGTCGTTTTTAGAAAAAAAAATTTCATCCTTGGCTTAATGAAGTTTGATTTTTTTGCTAAAAATTCAATTAAATTGACTTTTTCGGATGGTTGTATGCATTTGGATTAATATTTGTGCTATTAAAAATATATTGGCACATTTGAAAAGTAAAATTTTCGAAAAGTTGTTTTAGGCGGGCCGAGCGGGCCGGGCCGGGCTGGCCAGCGGGCCGGGCCGAGGGTTTTGAGGCAAGCGGGCCGGCATGGCATATTGTTTACCAATCTATGGCATATTGTTACCAATCTAAAACAGTGTCACGCAAACCCTCTATTTTGGGCCCATATCTCTCATACATTATGAAAGATATCAAAAAGTAGTCAACTGATAAAATGATTTTCATATTATCAAAAATATTTCACCAGTTGACCACTTTTTGATATCTTTTACAGAAACTAAGATAAATTGACTCAAAGTGCACGAATACGGTGAAACATTTCTTGTTTTCATGTTCAGAAACTTGCACGCCAAGATCCCATGTGCCCTCTAAACCAATGCACCCTGAACACTCGTACCCTCGACAGTTAAGGTTTTCAGATTAAAACCTCTTTCAATGAATTCTAAACGTTTTTTTCACTTCCTTGATAATAAACACCTCCGGTATTCAAGTCCTTTTGTGACGCTGTCAAGCCGGTAAGAATTTCCCAAAGAGGGCTATAAGTCAAACACGTGTGTCACATAAAGAAGAAGCGCACATCATAACAATCAAGAGCCACTGTCGGCTCGTGTTTGATATCTACCGCTTCGCGTGATTGAAGAAGTCGTTTACCTGTGTCAATTGCTATTGTTAAAAATGGGAAAGAGGAAGCGTTTGGTGGTGTTGCGCAACACACACATAAACAATGAAGAGAGCATCCGCCTTTCCTTGGTGACACCCTTTCACCTGTATAGAGGTGTCTTATTATTTATGAAAGCACCTCTAATGAGGCTCTATAAGGGTGCGGATCAGGAAACGGTATTATGCAATAGAACCAGGTTATTAGAAGAAATCATAAGAGCGGCTTTTCCTTCCTTGTATAAGCAATCCTTATTAATCTTGTACCTTCTAAGGTCTCAAATTGCCAATCTATGCCCGCTTTTTTTTCCTTCTTCTTCCCCTTTTTTTTTTTCTTACCTTTCTTTTTTTTGCGCAAATATTTCACGCTACGTTGGCTGCTTGAAAGTGTCATCTTCCCATTTTTGCACCTCTAAATATACAAGGACGGAACGACAACGATTTCGTCACCATCGCAGAAAATTAGAATGATTTATGGGAAAACTATCAAAAACTACTACTTTGATGGGGAGGAGATGACTTTGAAACATGTCTGTATGTACATAGCTGGGTGGTCGAAAATTAGCTGAATGTCCTTCCAATATGCCAATTGGCGCGGAGGGGAAAATGAGCGAAATAGAGAGAAAAAACTCATTTTATTTGTTTTGTAATTGACGGTTAGTATGCAAAATTAATCGTCACTTGAGTTTCTCTCTCTCTCTCTCTCTCTTTTCGAAATATAGAAATCGGAGTTGGTTAATTACATGGAGGGGAAAAGAGAAACAGAGGTTTCTCATCCGAATATGGTCGTTTTTGTAGTTTCAAATTATTTGACACCAAATAGCGAAAACGACTTTATCAGGGATGTTTGGAACGAAATTCGGGATTTCGAAAATTCCGAAAATTCCGGTCATTTTCGAAATGAAATTCCGTTCGGAATAATTCCGAGAAAAAAATTCGGAATGAAATTCCGGTCGGAATGTTTCCGAAAAATTTTTCGGAATGAAATTCCGACCGGAATTTTTTCGAAGCATTTTTTTCGGAATTAAATTTTTTCGAGTACAGTATGCCAAGGAAAAATTTACCTACGGGTCTCGAACAGAAGTAATTTTGATATTTTTTGCGCTGTCGGAATCTTTCTGTCAACTTTCGAAAGATTCTTGCGTTTCTGTGATAGAAAACTGAAATTTCCCTCTGTAAAATTCGAATTTTGAAATATTCCGAAACTTCCGAAATTCCGAAAATTTTGAAATCGGAATATTCCGAAATTCCGAAATTCCGAAAAAGGCCATTCCGAACATCCCTGGAGCTTTAGTATCACGATTCCAGTGAGCGATATCGAACATTTGTCAACTGATAAAATATTGGTGACATCATGATACACAAATTATTAGTCGACAAGTTTTTGATAACTTTTACAGGCCGAGAAGAATGAGCTCAAATTTGAAGGAGTGATTGGGTTGCTATTTAAGCAAAAAGCAGAAACGGTGTTTTTGTTATGTAGATTCTGACACTTTCAAACTTATGGAACGTTTCAGTAATTCATGTTATTCAACAATTTCAACATTTTTTTCGAACATATGTGTTCACATATGTTTCAACATGTTACAGTAACACATATTTGACAGAGATTTCTCAAAAGGTACAAAATAGTTTAAAATCTCGGAACGCGTTTTTTTGTTTTCCAAGATCTATAAATCATCGAAACCTCGAGTATTCCCAATTAGCCATCTGCAGCTAAACCCGAGTCATCCTTCCACTCGCTCCTCCAAAAACCCATCCAATTTCATCATTTTTCTCCTCATCTCAGAAAATGTGTGCAAATGAAAGGTCAAGTTATGAAGATTCCCTTGTTATTAAATACAAATAATTGACTGTCCGAGATGATCTCGAAAATCGAGTGTAATTGTCATGACCATGTTCAGAAGAGGCGTGGTAGGTAGCTGCTGCTGCTGCTGTATCCCCATCTTCCACCCCCAATGTCAATGCACCCTCTTCTCTTGCCCAAATTGCCAGCCCGTCGCCCCGCCCACTTATTCTCGCACATTTAACTTGTCTTATAGTCAGACCTCCCATTTCACTCTCATAAACGACCATTGTCACCATTCCCTTTTTTCTTAAGATTTTCTGTAATTTCAGTTCAATTTTTAATTTCAATTCATTTTAATCTTTTGCAGTACAGTATGTCACTCCTCGATCCTCGCCAATTTCTTCTACCGGCTTTCTACCTGGATCCTAGCACCCAAGCATTCTTAACTCAAGCAGTGTCCAATCATAAACTTGGAACTGCGTCTTCGTTCAGAATATCTGATATTCTAGAACCCTCACCAAACAACTCAACCTACTCACATGATCTTGGTAAGTGAGACATGAATTTTTAAACAACCTCCTACTCTCCCCCTATTTCCACTTTTATTCAAACATTAAAAGTTTCAAAAGTTTTGTGTGTTGCCCGACGCGTTTACCCATCAAAAATTTACTCAACCATGCTCCCTTCCTCGTCGAAAATGATAGTGTTTAGTGAATAGTCAAAAAGGGGATTAACGCTTAAATGAACATGTATATACAGTAACGGGGGTCAACCTATTGTTCTCTCTTTTGTGCATTAATAACCATTAACTTTCAGATCCATCTCCACAATCAGTGCGTTCCGATTTGTCCACTTCCCCGAGAGCCAGCAGTCCGGATCGGAATAGTCCAATGAGCAAAAAGTCGCGGAAGGCAAGGACCATTTTCACGGATAAGCAACTTCAAGAGCTCGAGAACACCTTTGAAAAACAAAAGTATCTCTCTGTACAAGACAGGATGGATTTAGCTCATCGCATGGGACTTTCGGACACTCAAGTGAAAACGTGGTATCAAAATCGGAGGTTAGTAGGGGGAAAAGCTACACTTAATTATTGTCTTGTGTAGCCGATGTACATATGTAGTATATTCTCAAATTAATAACAAGCCGCCCCAAATTTAGTGAGAGCCCTCCCGTCTTCTTCATCTCCCCTTGTAGATTACTCCGCTCACATTTCCTAATTATTGTTCTAAGGCATTGGCGGTGTTCAATGCGAATATTTGATGTGATGACTTGTCTCATCAATGAGAGCATCATCATCATAATTTCTGTAGCGGAGGGTCGCCGTCGCCGTCGTCTTCATCAAAATTTCATACCAGCTTTTAGTATCCGTTTGGAGGAAAGTGGAAGATTTCAGAGGGATGCTTTTGAAATCTATCCATGCATTCCAAAAAGATTTCACGTCTTCATTGTGTTAGTTATCGTGCGGGTGGTCTCCCCACCCATAATGACGACCCCTTTAGCGAAAACGATTCACCTGGTCCCCCCCCCCCTTCCTTCTAAATTAATCCGAACCTCTTAGTCAAGTGGTGGTTTATACATCTAGTTACGACACAAAAACATCATTATTACAATAACGGCCACTCCAAAAATTAAGGTGGGAGAAGATCGGTCTAGTGGAACAAATTATTATATGGGTATAATTGGAAATTATACTTTTTTACAGAACAAAATGGAAGAGACAGGCAACCAGCGGAATGGATTTGCTTTCAGAACCAGGCAACCTGTCGGCAGTTCAAAATCTTATTCGAAGCAGTCCATATTGGGCAAACTATATCACGGCGCTTCCAATGGGTGGTCAAATGGGACAAATGCCAATGATGGGTCTTCCAATGCCGATGATTGTTCCTCCAGCTCAACATTTTCAAGCAACATCTTCTTCGAACTCCCCGTCCACTCATAAATCAAGTGAATCACCTCAACTTGATGTTTCCAGCAATTCTGATTGATTTCATTCTTACACATTCTTCCCTTTTTTATGATCTCAATGGGTTTAGTTTATATTACCAACTCTACTTTTTTTTCTTGTCTGTGTGTGCACTTGCATTATTTTCTTGCTTTTACCTTAGTTATGTCATTTTCTCGTTTTCCACATCATTAATAATATTATTATTCTTTCTCACTGCCATTCGCGCAATACATCGAAATCTGATAAGCAGAAAAACACATGGGGACGAAGAGGCATTCAAAATTTTGGGCAGAAGCGCCAGGTGTGCGTGTAGCGCAATCCGTTCTGATTTTTATCGTAATAGTATTAATGAGAAGAGAAGGAGTTGACAACAAACGGATGGTGTCGTTAACACCTCACCTGTTCCGGCAGACGGTGTTGACCTTTTGCTGTAAATGGCATTTAGATGGTGTGTCAGATAACAGAGGGAATTTAGTGGGATTTAGTAAAATTTATTGAGATGGAAATGAAAATGAATATCTGTTCGAGGGGAACCTTCTCATAGTTTGGGAACTGAGGAATATAAATTTGAAATATATAAAAATCATTGATTTTTCAGAAAATCTTCTCTGCAAATTTAAGGTTCAATACAGACCCGGACAAATAGGTGCCATGTTTTTATTCTTCTGTGAAAAATACAGAGAATTCTTAAATAAAAGCCCACCCTACACGAACTCAATTATCTAGGTTTCTTCAACAGATATAAAAAATTTGTCAATTGATGAAGCATTGGTGTTTTTTTGATGAATAACTTAGCAGTTGACAATTTGTCACAGAAATCGAGATAATTGAGCTCAAAACTCTATAGAGTATGTCTCCATGAGATTATAGACAATAGTTAACTTTTGAAGTCTAAGAAATATTCGAGATTATATCGTTCTGTTTGGTAATTTGTGGTAGTAAGAGAGTTACGTTTCTGTATCCCCCATTTTTTGGCCATATCCATCATATTTCGTTCGTTAGCAGAAAATAAGCTCTTGAAATGTCAAAATCGGATCCGAAATGAAAATTGTGACACTTCAAAACCGTTTACCTTGTTTTGTAGCATTCCTACAGAAAATTTGTCAACTACAAAATCAAAGTTTTAATTTTGATTAGTACACCCGGAATTTTTTAGACATTGTGAAATAATATACTTCTTTTTCAGACAAGAATAAAAGACAGAAATTCTATTGTTTACTTCGATCCCATACACTAAAAATTTAATTCTGAGATTTTCAAACTTTCTACAGTACCAAACCAAATGTGCTTCCTCTTTTGCTTCCTCCCAAAGTGTTTTCGTTCATTAGAAAAGATTAAGATAATTGGTAATTGGTAGTGTGTTAGCCTACAAGCCACCCCACTGGTATGTTTGTGTAAGCACGCAAGAAGTGTGCATTCTTCCGGTTCAGTGACACACTAACACACGCCTAATTCCATGTAACACGCTCCTTGTCTATTATGTCTCTTTCTTTGGGCTCATTTAGTAAAATCCTTGTTTTGTCGAGAAGAAGAAGATTTCTGAAAAGACCCACTCATTTTGACACTCATCTTTCATCGTTTCCCGTGCATTCAAGACAAGACAAATTGGTCATATACCCCTCCCAGATACAGACACAAACATGAAACAACCCACTTGACATCTAATTCGAGAAAGGGGACAAAAAGAGGTAGATGCCGGGTACGGTAATCGTCCACCGCCACCCCAATAAATAGGATTTTGAAGGAACGGTGTCATTAAGGCAATTGGACACCCACTACCTCGACGAGAGCGGTTGTCAACAGGGAGAACACATACATCCGCAAAACATGGTTTAAAGGAATCATCACCCGCCTCCCGTTTCCCGGATACGGTAAAATGGTTGTAAAATATGAAATATATAGAGGGTAAATCTTCATAATTGGTTTATGAATAATCTGTTGATTGCTTCGCAATAGTTTTTACAATCATCCGCGAATCTAGAGACCCCCTGGTCACCCTCCTCAGTTGATGATTCTATCCCAGGAATAATCATGTTCTGTGCAATGATCCGTATGGTGATCGTCACTTCTCTCTCCCCTTCATAATGTATCATTGACTGCTGCTCTCAATAAAAAGATTACAAGGGAATTAGTCGCAAGCTGGTGCTGGTGGTGGCAATTGATTCAATTTACGCTAGCAAGTCCGTATACAAATCACACGTATACACCTGTCGTCCGCTTTTGTTCGATGAGCTCTCCGGATGAATGACAAATCAGATGATGCTAATTTAGGGAGGAGGGTGGTGGGGGCAAAGTTGGAATATTCGAGACATTTTGTCCGTAATTATGAGCAATGAGACGAAAAAATGAATTTGGTATGGTCGGACAAATGTTCTAAAAAACATTTGAAAATCTGTATTTACTGAAGTGGAATAAATATTTAGAGAACAAAAATGTCAAAGAGGACCTTTTTCACTTCTGAAATGTTTTGAATCTATTACTTATGACAATACTCGCTTCTCAATCAGTGTTGCTTGAAAGTAAAAATCATTTAAAAGTTCTGAAATTAATTTTTTTAAATTCTTTATCAATAAACCAAGTACCATATTTTCTCTAAAAGAAGCCCTTCCTATAAGTGCACTTTGAGCTCAATTATCTCGATTTTTGTGAAAGATATCAGAAATCTGTCCGAAGATGAAATTTTAGTGATAATATGATGAAAATTTTATTAGCCAACAATATTTTGATATCTCGCATACGAACCGAGATAATTGAGCTCAAAGTGCAAGTATAGGGTCGACCTCTATTAGAGAATGTAGAGTGAATTAAAAATTTAATGACCAAAACGATCTTTTCCAGTTTTTAAATTTTTTCAACAGAAAATGTTCAAAAGACTTCCTACTCAAAAAATTCTACTTAAACGTTTCACAACTAGTTGGTTAGAAAATTAAAATTTCAGAAATTAATACAAACCTTTTCCTCCCACCATTGAACCAATCGATGAATCGTTCTTTCATTTTCCAATTCCCTTATTATTTTAGAATTCTTGCATTCAGGAAACTTTTCTAGATCTGAAAGTACGAAAAAACAATTTTAACTCCTTGGACCCCTTTCTCACTACCAGTTTGTACTTCAAAAGCACCGTATACCACTTCCTCTCCCCCATTCTTAAATAACTTATTCAGAAGTAAAAAGACACATAGACTAAAGTTTTGAGAAACAAGAAGCGGTATTTATTGGTGGAAGAAGAGCAAATTTGAAACTAATTAGGACAGAAATGATGGGTTGGAGTAATTTCAGATGAATAGCTGATTTTATGACAATTTCTCATTATTGTCTTCATCATTCCAGTTATGTCTTTTTGTCTCCTCGTGAACTTTTCTTTTTATAAAATGAAAATTAGTTTGATCATACGGTAGTTGGAGGCAATTCAATTTTTTACGAATACAAAAAGGTTCGAAATTTGCCTGACAGACCAGTTCAATAAATCACACACAACACCTCAACGTGATTGAACAATAATTCGTTAACAAGACTCAATTGCAATAATACCCCTCCGCACCATCCGATTGTCCGACAATTGTACGTCTTTTCTAAACAATTGAAAATGAGGTTGGTTCGACAAACTGTAAGACACGTCTCTAACCTCGTCGCTTCCTTTTCTCAAATTGGGTGGCATCATTGTTCGGAAAAGGTGTCGGTATAATTGACGATATTATTAGAAGCGACGAGGAGAGAGACCAGGGACAGGTAAAGATGTTACGGACAATGTACTCAACTATGAAAATCGAATGAGGCCCGCTGTGTCTATAGAAGAAGGAAGCGACGACTTTTTGCTTTCTTAAAATTGCTTCGATTAATACGAAGAAGGCACGGCTAATTGACGCACTTGGTGTGAAAAGAAATTGCTACCGTAATTTGGAGAAATGCTTTGCAATATTCTGTTATACCTCCTCTGGTAATGAAAAACTCAAGTATATAGAGATGTATTGCATTTTTATTTTATAATAACCAAAAAGACAGGTGAGGAGGCATCAGGAATCAAAAGTAAAAAAGAGGGCAAATTGGAAGGAACGGGAAAAATTAGAAGAAGAGGAATAAAAAATAATACGGAGGAAAAAAGGAGAGATCGAATTTGTGAAATTGAAAATGACAAATTGAGTTGAGAATTATTTGGGTTGGTGGCATCAGGTAAAAACATTAACCGGATTTTGGAGAGAAAAAATTAGAAACAAGATCAAACAGATCATTCATCTTTTTCATCCGCTTCCTTATTATCTTTAGATTCAGGAGACTTTTTCACAGAGTCGGGAGACACTGAAGGTGTATCCTTCGGAGAGCTGGAACCATCCTTCATATTTTGTGCAGCTAGAAATTGGAGCAGGGAGATTTGAGCATTGCCATTAGGAACCATAGCTGCTCCAGGAACCATCATTGGATTGAACATCGGACGGCCGGTGGCTCCTCCAAACATGGTAGTGTTTTGAGAGAGATAATTTGCCCAGTATGGGTTGGTCCTAAGAAGTTGTTGAACAGCTGCCATGTTTCCAGCATCATGTAGTAGATCCATTCCAACCGACGCTTGTCTCTTCCATTTGGTTCTGAAAAAAAAACAGACGTAAGTTATGGAGAAATTGTTTTCCCTCTCAAGCCGCAACTATTTTTTCCCGGAGCTCCAATCTCGAAAATTGGATAATGACAGTGGGGTGGTGATGGGTGGAAAAGAGAGAGGAAGGGCGCGGAAAAAAGATGACACTACTAAATGAAATTGGTGGGCGCACGCAAAGAAATTGAGGAGAAGTGGTGAGAGCTTTGATTAAGATAAATTTCGATAGGCGGCGGGTGGAGCGCTCCCGCTAATGCACTACAATTAACACAAAGTGGCGTGTTTAGACTCAATTCGCTTCTGAGTGCGCGAAAAAGTGAAAATGGAAGCGCGGAGCATTGTTTTCAGAGGGAAGAAGTGGATCCGAATCCCATGACTAACCTTCTATTCTGATACCACGTCTTCACTTGTGTATCGGTTAATCCCATTCGGTGAGCTAACTCCATTCGGTCTTGTACAGATAGATACTTTTGTTTCTCAAATGTATTCTCTAGCTCCTGGAGTTGCTTGTCCGTGAAAATCGTCCTTGCCTTCCTGGCCTTTTTGGATCCCACACACGTCGGACTCTCATTGACAGATCTCTCGGTATTCGGACTCCCTGCTCGCGGCGATGATGGAGATTCGGATGAGTTGTTGGATGTGGGAGATGGATCTTTAACAAAGAAAAAATAAAGAAAACAATTTGTACAGAGGACAAAAGAAATCATAATTGGTTGACCTATTACTATTACCTATTACAGACTACGCGCGCATCGGAGCGTTAATCCGTTAAATATCATTTTTCAGGCTAGTTGTTACATTTTCATGGACTGCGTGTATATAGATTAAAGTGTTAGTGATGGTTGAACGGACGTACAATAACTTCAGTTGGATGAGGAGAAATGAATGGAAAATAAATGGAATTTTGAGTATTTACCTGGTTCGTTGGAATGATGATTCGATGCATCGAGAAGATCGGAAATTCTAAATGAATTGGCCAGATTGATCTTGCCGCCACCAGAGGAACTTTGAGCAGAAACTTGAGCTAGCAATGCTTGAGTCGTAGGATCGAGATAGAAAGCAGGGATCAAAAACTGGCGAGGGTCTAGTAGAGACATGGTGGATTATTATCGACTAGTGATATTTTGAAATATCTTGAAATTTACAAAGAGTCAACGGAATTTAGATGTCGGAATGAAGGGGTTGGGAAATGGGTCCTGTTGTCTCTGCAGTCACTAAACGTCGCAAACTCGACGATTGGTCTAGACCCGCCCTCTCTTCCGAAGTGGAGGCGGAGTTTTTGGGGCGAAAATGGGAATAGAATAGAGTGGGAGACAAGAAGGATGACACCACGCGGTTTTGTAATAGGAATATGGGCAAAGTGTGGTCCACGCACGTCTCACCTTTTGAGCGAACCAAATCAAGTGTGCTAATGAGAGTGACGAAGCTGAAAATGAGCTCCTTTTGAGAGGGAGATGAATGGTAGTGGTTTCTAAAGGCAGCAGCAAGTTGTTGGGGGAAATAGGAGCATTCAGGTGAGAACAAAAAGAGTGTCAATGTGGTGGATCTCGAAACAAGGAAGAATGGGAGTTAGGAAAAAAGTTTGCAGTCTGAACTGAAAAGTTGCAAAAGGTGAGAACTTGGACTCAGCGTCCGAAGAACGAAAAGCGACTGCGATTGAAAAAAAAAACCGGGACACGCAAATTTCGAAATAGAGACTTCCACGAAAAAATTGAGGAAAAGTTTTATAACACAAAAAAGTATTTATCACAGTGTCGGACACAGAAACTTTATTGCCTTAAATAGTCACATAGAAGCCCACGCTATACGCGCACTATTAGGTCAATATCTCAATTTTTACAAAATATATAAAAATTTTGTCAACTGATAAAATGTTCGTAATATCAATAAAACATTCTATCAAGTGACAAGTTTTCGATACCTTTGGAAGAAACAGAGATAATTGAGCTCAAAGTGCACGTTTAGGGTAAGCTTTTATTAGATCATTCACGGTAATAATCAATTTTAAGAAGTCTTTTTTTGAAGCTCTAAAAATTATTTAAACGTGCTCGACGTCTGGAATTAGCAATGTCCAGAAATGAGAAATTTTGTTTCAGGGATTTGGAATGATTAGAATATTATAGCTTCAAGTCATTCAAGTCAAGAATAAACTAAAGGATTTGAAATAAACTCGGAAATCAAAGCTATTTTGAACATATCGGTAGGTAAAATCGGTAATATGGTGCCCACAGAACCGTCGATTTTGCCGTAAAACCTTTATTTATATGGTATTTGGATGTAATTTTTGAAAAACTGAGAAAATAAATCCGGTTGATCTTTCTGTAATTTCCGAAATAAAAACACATAGCGTAAATGCTTGGCTAGAAACCCATCTGACCGTCACCTTTGAGGTCAATTATTTTGATTCCTGTGGAAAATATCGAAAATATTTTAGCTGATAAATTGTTAATCGTAATATCAACAGTATTTTACGAGTTGACAGATTTTTGACATCTTTCATATGAATCAAGATCATTGAATTCAAGATACAGGTATGGGCGGGCTTCTATTAGTGGAGTTACTGCAGTTTTATGAACGAAAAATTGTTTTCACAGAACGTTTAATTCAGTGATTAAAATTTTAAACTAGCAAAATTTGTTCAACATGGTCAATATCTGAATTCTCATCTCTGAATTTCTTATTATATCAAGCAAAAACATGTGTACTGTTTTCTTTTTCAATCGCACCCATTTCTCCATTGACCAATTGATATATTTCGAACCGCCTTGATTTTAGTACTAGACAATAAATATAATATTTTCAGAAAGTTATTGTTCACTACCATCCCTCTTAACAACCCTCCACCAATCATTAATATCAAATTTCCTGATACCTTTTTCCTGATTTCCTGTTGTTTTCGGTTAGTATCATCAATACGACCAAATTTTAATTGTCTCTTCTCTTTCTCTCTTCTTTAGTAGCCGTGCGATATTTCCGGTCACAAACGGTTGATGAGATGAGCAACAATAATATCTGTTTTCCACAAATGGGCCGACAGATGCCGGCGGCCATTACTCGCGTGTTCATAAAGGGCCGCTCACCGAACAATACTGTTATTAGCGCTACCGAACACACTCATCTGGAAAATGCACTAATCGAAAAAAGGCACTGCATTTCAAAGCATGAATGACTAATGAGAGACACACCGTTATGGACAAGTAGCCCAAAAAAAATTAGGGGTAAAGTGGCAATTAGTGGATAGGTCGTTACCCAAGTTTGACTTTTTTGTAATACTTCAGAACATCGAAAATCTACATACAGTAGTTTTACTCTTTTTGTCGGAAGATTTTTAAATTGAAGTGCGCGAAATTGGTGGAATTGTTCCATTCACCATCCGCGCCACCGCCAACAAAACACAAGGACAACCAAGAGAGAAGGAATTTGTCCGGATATTTGGCAGCCGTGACAAACGACTGCTTTATGAACCCGCCAATTTTGATGTCACACCTGCAGTTTTATACTTTCTTCGGTTTGTCGTGGTCTCTAATCTTGCGGGGAGGCCAATAAGGGACAATTTTTCTTTTTGTTGTCAATTAAAATGAAATGATCTGATTTTAGGCAAAAAATTCGGTTTGGAAAATACTGTCATTAGTCACAAATTGTTACATGAATTCTACTAAACGTCTGATAGAAAACCGTCGTGCACTACGAGCCTAGTTATCTTGGTTTCTACAAGAGATAGCAAAAATTTGTCAACTTATGGAATGTTTGTCGCAATATCAGCAAGGTGTTATCAATTAACAGGTTTTTGATATCTGTTAAAGCAATTGAGATAATCAAATTAAAAATATAGGAAGGCCTACTTTAGAGCGTTTAAGGTATATGAAATATACCTAGAACGTCTTTTGAATTTTATCAGCTTCATAAAAAACTTGCAAACGGTTAGAATGAATCTTTGAAAAGTTACCTTGACTTCCTATGGGATAGAACTCGATAATTATTATCATCTGTTATTTCAACTCACTTATTCAATGGATGCAATCAAACCTAACAAAAACAGCGTCACTAAAATGTAGGCGCAACATATTTAATTGACGATTAACTCTTCTTTCTCTGTCTCCCCTATATTCTCTTATCTAAAAAAACAATATCAAAAATGACATTTCCGGAGACAACTGACAACATATGGTCACCTGCTGTCTTCCAACTTGCTCCTCTTTTTACTGTCTTGCGCAAAAAGTCAATTATATCCACCTTGTTGTTAGAATCACTGGGCAATTAAGAAACAGTCGCCAAAGGTCATAATTAGGACAATGAGTTGAAAGTTGCCGAAGAAGAAAGCGAAAAAAAAAGAATAAGGGACCCCGTGAATTGACCACTTGTTGTCTATTATCCTTGTTTCTTGTCGGAAGTATTAGGAATACCCTTGAGACCATCCGATTCCCAACAGTCAGCTGCCATCATTGTCCCGCATCATTTGCTCATTTATGACTAATAATTGAGGAAAAGTATGGAGGAGATCTGCGGAGAAACAAATCGTCCTTGGCAAGCTGACAGACGGGGGGAGCGATGGATAATGAAGAGTATCAAATCGGAAGTATTATAGCATCATTTTCATGTTTTATGACTAATGAGGGACCAGAAATGAAAATGGAATGTAATGTTTCGCAGCTAAGAAAAAATACTACTGCTTTCAGAAATGTCAGCAAGTCAAATTTTTGAATTCAAAAGTCGGAGGTCGGAATTCTTGACATCTCTAACAGCTATATCATAAAAATGCTGAAAATAACAAAATTAACTCAAATACAATGTGTACCGCTTTAAAACGTTTATCACTCTTTGCTGGAACCCTTAAAACAATTCTGAAATGACGCTATTATTCTGTTTAGTTTACTCTATTCTATAGTTTTCAGGTAAACCGAAAAACTCTGAACTTTTTTTGAAGGATTTTGAAGTTTCCATGAAAATGTCTCAATATGAAGTACCTTAACTGTACTTTGTCATATTTTAGTAGGATTCGGAAACGGTCTGCATCACTATCTGAACAGCTTGCTGTCAGAAGTTGCGAGCGACGGTCGAGTCGAGAAAAGAATTTGATATCTGTTGGTTTACAAGTTTCCCTGGAAAACGATATCAGTTAATACATCTCACGGTGTGGTCAAGATTCTCATACTTGCCCGTTCTTCACTTGATTTGATTTTAGAGAGACCCTATCAATCAAGGGTTTTACCGAAAACTGAACAATTTATTTTCGAAAAATCAAACGTTTCGTTAAACCGTTTCCAGTGATCGTAATCGTCATCAAGAACACGTAGAAATTTTCGCTTGCGTAGTTCGCCCACCTCGCTTTTTTTGGAGGTCATCAATGGGCTGATTGAGACAACGACACCAAAAGGAAACACAATATCTGCTTTTCAAACCACCGAAAACAATCAGATTTCGAATCCATCGGTTTCTTTTGCTTTTTGTTCATACGTAAGTGACTTTGGAATAATTCAAAACTTGTGTTTTTGGGGAAATCACAAGAAAAACTATTTTGAGTGGTTAGTGAGAAGGCCTGTATCTCTCAAATCTAAATCTCTCGTCTTTTTCTACGTTTTCCGATTTATTTCGAGAAAGTGGAAAAGGTGCAGATGAGGCTTCCAGATAAGAATGAGACTGTTCCGTGTTCCCTTTTCAAACAAAATATTTCAATTTAGGATACCATTTAAAAAATTTCCTGTATTTTTGTCTGTGAAAGTCAATGTAGGAGTTAAATTTATAAGCAAAATATCAGAAATGTGGCACTGCTACCGGTACAGCTACATGGTTGCAAAGTCCGATATAGACGTGGTGCGATTTTTAACCCTAAAATGTCCCCTGAATTGGTTGTTGTTCTACCCGCAATAATGTCTAAAATATCAAACAACCAACAATCGTTTGATATCTTCTCCCGTACGCATTCTCTTTCGTCATGCCAAGCACAAATTGTTTTTGTAGCCACTAATGACCTTCATGCCTTCTCTCCTGATTGCTTCTTACCTTTCCCAACTGATTCTAGTGGGAGAGACAATGAAGAAGACAGATACAATGAGGTGCTGTCTCTTTTTCACCTCACACACTGACTAAATGAAAACGTAGATTATCGGCGCCGGCGCCAACATGCCAAAGGTTAGACACAACTCGTTCGCGGCGAGAACTACGCTGTGATTTCGAATATGCGGCCTTGTAGAGTTCTCATCGTCACTTCTTTTTTTGTTGTGAGCAATTTCATGCAACGTTTAAAGTTGAAATTTTCAGAACGAACGCAAATCTTGGCATGTGGAATGCAGGGCATGCAGTAGCTGTCAGAAACAGCCAACATATGACAAGCCAAAACTCTAGGTTGTTTCCAAAAAAGAAGCAATTGTGGTAGTTCTGATTTCAGCTATGGGCACCACCAGGAAGCCTGTTTTGCTACCGTAAAGCGTTCAAGAACAGACGAAGCTACCATTGTAGTTGCACCCGACCATAAGGAGTATAACACCCGCCTCTTGCTTCAAAACACAGAATTTTCTGCTCCTCGATCGGTCATTGGTCCATCATTCCCAACTTTTCCTAATATTTTACAACCGGATACAACAGCAACCATCCCACAAAATGCATCAGCACCAATTAGTGCTCTACAAATGGCCGAGCATTTTATCAAAATTATGTCTGCAGCCTGTGGTTTGGAGTATAACATTGAGGAGGAAAATAAGCCTACAAAACCGAAAAGAAAGCGACCAGCGAGAGTAAATAATAGTGTTTTTAAGTGCCACTTTTTGTTTCATTTTAGAAAAGGCATACAGCTCCAACAGAGGAAGATGCAAAATCGGCTATTCTTCCAATCTGTGACATTACACCTTTCGCTGACAGTTTCACTCCTACAGCCCAACTTCAAACAGAGAAACCAAAACGAAAGCAAATATCGAAAGTAAAAAATTATTTAAAAAGACGCATGAATTGTATAATTTTCCAGAAAAAAGCTGCAGCGTCTCCAGCTCTAGTGGAAACTCTTCTTCTTTCATCGGAAGTTTCGATAGGGCCATTTTCCCTTGCTCTACTGGATTATGGCCCACAAATCGTTGCTCTAGAAGTCGAGGTTGAAACATCAGAAGGGTCACCAGATAAAGCTTATCTTCCAACGAACCAAACTACTGATGTTCCGCATGCCAATAACCAAAATGTGGCTTTTGTTGATAATCAAGACCAGGCTGACCAAGACATGATCCACAACCATGATGGTGGCTCAGTCCAAGTCAATTCTAATTCAGAGTTCTACGATGAAGATTTTGAGATCGCTCGAATCATGGTCGAATCCCTTCCTTTTGCGGAAGCTTATAAGCGTCCTATGATTCCGACCAGGGAGTCAACTCCAGAATCCCCTTCACCTGACTCACCAAGATCTTTTTCGATAATCAAACCACCAGCTGGATCCTCCATTGATTCGTCGTCAAAAAACTCAACACCAGAGCCCACCAACTCACCGGAGACAGCACAACCTACAAACTCAACGCATCTTCCTTTTTTTCGCGAAAGTAAATCGAGCAGATTGATGCCGGCGCCGTGTCAAGTGTGTCGTAAAAATATCAAATATGCATCGGACAGAAGAAGACACATACTCTTTCATATGCGCTTGAAACCGTGAGCTTACATTTGAGCTTAAAATCGCTAACTAACGTAAAAACTGTATTTGAAGAACCAGCTCTTCTTTTGTTAAAAAGTATCGCTATGCGACCCTTTGAAAACAGGGACCCTTCTGTTAAATGAACCCTTCTAATACAGGTTTTACAGTACTTTGTTTCAGATGGAAATGCACAACCTGTTACACTGGATTCACTAGAGCCACTAATGCAGCATTTCATTTTGCAAGAGAACACCCAAATGATAGAACCAAACCCTTTTTCTATGAATTGTAAGTAAGGTACCATAGAAACCATTGGTTATACGTATATCTTTAGGACCCGAGAAGAAGAGAAAACAGTCAAACGGAACATGAAGGAATATTTCATCGATGAAGTACCAGAAAAGCCAGAAGGTGGTTTCGTTGACGCTCCTGAAGAAGTCGAGGAGCCAGCCGAGCTTCCAGATTACGTAGATCAAAATCGTTGGTATGCGGAAGAGTTCATGAAAGATAACACAGAGGAGAGAGAAGATGATGATAATACCACGGAGAAAACGTCTTCACCAGAGGTATCCGATGAAGAGGCAGATGTTGAGAAAGAAACAGACAAAGACGTCAGACATATGATCACAAGACAAGGAGATGCTTGCAAGATTTGCTCAAGAGAGCTGAGCTTTGTGTCCGACCAGCGACGTCATGTATTGTATCATTTGGCTATCAAACCATGGAAATGTCCACTATGCAAAAAGTGCTACACTCGCAGAAAAACTGTGGCCAGTCATTTTGTCAAATCTCATCTTAATCAAGAATTTCAACCGGCTGTTTACAATTTGTAAGTGTTATTTTAAGACCTGACTATCTAACAGTAGGAAGATCCAATACTTGCACTTAGAGCTCAATTATCTCAGTTTCTATAAAAGATAACGAAACACCGAAAATTCTGTCAATTGATAAGATGTTAGCGTATCCAACATTTCAACAGTTGACATAATTCTGATATCTCTTAGAGAAATATAAGTAATTGTGCTAAAAATAGGGAACTTTTGTTAGTGCGTTTACGGTAACTTAAATTTTTATAGATCTGAAAAAGATAAACAATTAATTGACCAAAAATGGATGGACTACTTTCCAAGTTACCGAAGGCTTTCAAAATATCGATACCACCCTAAGGTAAAATTTGAGGTTATTCACTGAAACAAAATTAATTTCAGGATATGCATTTCCGTCGAGTTACGTGTCATGTGTGCAGCAAAGAAATTACCAACTCATCCGGTGATCGAAGAAGACACATTTTGTCCCATTTGAGAATCAGGCCGTAGGTTTAATGAATTAATTTTGAAAAATGTTATCAAATTCGAGATGGAAATGTTCGCAATGTGACAAACGGTATTACAGACCAGATAAAGTTATCAGCCATTCTGAAAAAGAGCATCCACTTGAGCAGGGTCAACCGGCGGTTTATAAAATGTAAGATAGAGTGAATGCTCTAATAGAAACCCTATACGTGCATTTGGAGTTCAATAGTTTCGTTCGTTTCCTGCGAAAGATTTCAAAAACTTGTTTTTTTATGAAATGTTTTTCAACAAATTACAAACATTGAATAAAAATTTCAGATCCGAAGCCGACAAGAAACAAATCGAGCAAAAAATGAGTATTTCCCGGGCATGAAAGCATGAAACGAGTATTTCCCGGACATGAAATTCTGGAGGAAAAAATTCAAACTTCTCGAGGCGTTTCAAGAATACGATTTTGAAGAATACGATTTTGAAAGAATACAAGTTTGAAAAATTTACCAAGCTAACAAGGCAAAATTTATGAGTAGAGTTAGTTATATATCAATATTTCTAGTTGAAAAAAATAATTGTGGTTTTTATATTGGTTTTAATTGTGGTTTTATAATTGTGGTTTTATATTGTGGTTTAGTATTTGAGTAATTAAAAAAAGTTGTTTTTCTAATCAGTTTTTTGTGATCTTTTTTATGTTTCTGGTCTGATAATTTTCTTATTGTGATATTGAAATTTTTTTCAAAGTAAAACATTTTCCCACAGACATGCCATTTTCGGAAAAATGTCGTATACAACACACGCACCCATCTACTAGTAAAACACGGAATTAATTTCTCCGCAAAACTTTACACATCAATCGCCCGCAATTTTCATTAATTCTGGAAGTCTAGCTTTAGGTACGATGACCTTGTTTTTCTCGGAGATCCTGAAAGCCGCAAACCTCGCAAAAATTCCTTTTAGTCGACCATCCAGACAAATCCAATATTTTATGTTTTTCTTGTTTTTCCGTTTTTGAACCAATCCTCCTAAATTGACGTGAAGGTTCCCTTCTCTACTCACCCTATTTTTACGAAAATTACCACCCGGCTACAAGAGGCTAGACTTCAAGAACTGCAACTATAAAACGGATAGCTGTGTTTGTAGATGTGCCTGCTTTTTTTCGTCTCTCTTCAGTGCCAACACATGGGACCAGCATAATGAGGACGTTTTTTTCTTCGCCTCTAAATTTCACCCGACACTAAACTTTTGTATACTTGTACCACACAAACACAGATTTACACCAGTCACAGATTTTTGCTCTCTTTCAAGTTCTTTGAACAATAACATTTTTTGTTCAACGGGATTGTTTATATTACTAAAGTTGTTATACGATTTCTGGAAAGACCAAAATAAGTCCCAGTCTGTCTTGTCCGACCAAAAATTCTAAATTACATTTCTCACTATGTTTTCGATATGTTTCTCAAAATTCCTAATCAGTCAAGCTTCCTATTTTCTGGAATGTTTTTATACTCAAGGAAGGAAAGAGAGTTAACGAAGTTTTGTGATTCTATTTTTTTGATTCTCATTTCAGCGTTCCCAATTTTTCCAATTTCTGGTGTTCCAACAAATATAACCAGATTTCGTTTTTTCTTGGAGTCACCGCACTTTCAAAGATCGTGCGTTCGTCATTCTTTGTTTGTTTTCCGACATTTGAAAAAACTGAAACCGCCGGCTTGTTTTTGAGGATCCCTTCTGTGTATATAAATCTCTTTTCCTTGTCTGATACTATCTTTTTTCCGCCGCTCATCGGTTTGCATCTGACGTAGTCCGCTTCGAATTCTCAATCCATCTTCCAGATACCACTCGAGTCATGTTTATCCTGCAGCTCCTTTTGCGGTTCCTTCGGCTCAAAAAATGCGAGGTACTTTTTTTCGGCGTTCTTTTTATTTTTCAGATTTTTGACTGGTTTTGCATATTCATTTTTCACAGACATTTTGAAGGGGTGGGACATGAAAAAAAGGTCAGGTCATATAGAAAAGGGTAAATCCAATAGTCGAGATATTCTATATTATTTGTGTTGGGTCTATTCTGGTGTCAAAATGGGAGGATATCAACGTAGGACGAGTTCCAGGTCGACCAAAAAAGCCACTACAGAAAATTCTAAACCAACTGATGAGGTGAGAAGTTTCCTTTTGAGAATGGTTAGTTCACGGAGACTAGAAATTTGGTTTTAGATTTAGTTTCCAAAACTGAAAATGTACGGTAAATGCTCTATGAGAGGACGACCCTGTACGTGAACTTTGACTTAGACTACCTCGGTTATTTCAGAAAACATAACAAGTTTTGAACTGATTAATTACTTATTATAATGACACCAATATTTTCTCAGTTATCCTGCTTTTGATATCATTCACAAGAACCGAGATAAGTAGGCTCAAATTAAGAGAGGATTAGAGTAACCTATCCTCCTAAATCAAACAGTAGTTGGGTCAGGTTAATTGTGAATTGTTTAGGTAAATTTGTCTAGAACTACCTTCTGAAAATAAAAATTCTGAGCAACATGTTAGATATGTTGCACAACTGGGCTACGCTGCCAAGAGATCTCAAAAACCTGTCAATTAAAAAATATTTTTAAAAAAGATGAACAATTTCTCAGTTGACAACTTTTTCATATCTTGGATAGAAAATGTAATGAATTGGATCAAATGTGAACCCCGTCTATTACAGGTTTTACGACAACTAAAAATACTTTTTTCAGCTAATTTTTTTAAAATACCCGAAGTCACTATCCCTTTTTTCCAGTGTAACAAATCAAGCACATCATTTTTTCCATAGAACCTCCTTTCTAAAAACGTATCACTGAATTAATATGACATTTTTGTTTTTCACGCATCTAGAACGCGGAAAAAATAACAGAAAAGGAGAGACAATAGGAGAAGCTGTTATTTCCGCATGAAATTAGGAGACTCATAGGGCCCACCCAGTGCCTGATCGCATTATATTCTTCCTTTTCGTTTTATTTTGTTGTGCTCTGTACACGAATCCCGGGAAGTCTTCCTGGATATGTATATTCCGAAAAGAGCCGTACTTTAAATGATGTGACACTCTTGGAAAACGAGTGTGAAAGAAAGAGAGAATGGAGCCCGGCTCAGCTGGTCCTGTGTACCAGCTCAATTACGTTTTGATGTGTGGTCCTCCACACATCCAGTTCGTTGATAGTTTTCTAATTTTGGATGAATCCCCGCGTTCTCTACATTCATCACCATCCTATTTTTTTAGATTTTGGTTGCTTTGTTTTTGTTTTTCCTTCTTGCTCATCCGGTGGATCTATACTGTACATCATCGGGATTTATTTTTGAAATTTTTTTTAATTGTATAGTTTGAGCTCAATTAATTGGAAATAACAAAAAATACCAAATGATCCCTTTCCTCAATTAGTGTTCAATTTTTTTTCAATTCTTCAATTTGAGAACGGAAGAAAAAAAAAATTGAATACGATGAAGGAGGGGTCTAAAAATAATGAAATGCACATTACTTATCCCCCGAGCTCTCATAAAATTGCACTTCTTCCCCTCCGTTCCATTTTTCCAATTCTTAACATCCCAACGCTTATTTTGCGTATTTGTCAGGCCTCATCAGATGCACAATCTCCAGAGTAAAAAGCAGGCATTCGAGGTTGAGGTTTTAAAATCATTTCCAATTGTATTTTGGTTTTTAATACCGTATCTTTTCCAGCATGCAAAGCCGTTCACACTGCATTGCTCATTACTCATGCTTGTCCTACTGTACTCGTTTCTCGGTGGTTTTGTTTTCGACCGGATTGAAACTGATGCACACGCCGAGATGAAGCGAAATGAGAGAACAAATCGAACATCGTGTGTTTCTCAAGTTAGTGTTTTTTATCATTTTTGAGTCATCTTGCTGGAGCTTTGATTACTAATTTAATAGGGTTCTCATATTATATTTTCTGTAACTAGATTAGGTTTTTTATGGCTCGTTCTTTTTTCCAGATCCTACATTCCGTACACAGATGGAGCAGAAACTATACTCATCAAGAGCAGTTAGCGGAACAAATTGCAGATTGCTTCGAGCCAGAAAAGTAAGAACTGACACGAAGAAAGAGTTTAAAAACTGAGCAATGAAATTGAAAAAAATTTCAGAGACGAACGAAGCGAATGGAATTTTGTCACCGCCACCTTGTATGGTTTCGGTATTGTGACAACTTTAGGTAACTCAATATTTAAAAAAAGCTTCCACAAGATCTCTTACTACAGGGTATAACAGAATTGCACCGATAACCTATACGGGACGAATGTTTTGCATTGTATACGGTATTTGCGGAATACCAGTGACAATGATCATAATTGCTAATGTGGGCCAGTACCTGAACAATTTCGCTGGAGACTCTAGACGGAAGGTGAGCTAAAGAGGCTACTGTAGTACATACAGTGACGTTTAATACGATATACAAAATGTTATCAGTTGAATATCGGCCATTTTGGCCATTTTCAGGAGGCTGGAGCTCGGCTGTCATGTAGCTTCATAAGATTTTGGACGGTTTCAAAGAGATCTAGATTGAAACTTTGCATTCACAAAATTTTGAAAATTTCTGCGTTTTTCCAGCTATTTGCCGATTTTCGAAAAAAAAACCCTTTCTGGCCCGTTTTTGTACTGAAAAGGGGAAAAGGTCACTCAGAAATCAGCTTTTGCTGGAAAATTAGGCATATTCAAAATAGCTCTGGAAATGCGACTTTTTCAATCTAGGTCTGTTTTTTACCCGCCAATTTATTAATGATCAGAGACTTGGCAGACAAGCTTCAGGCTTCTGAAATTTATCGAATTCTTTGAAAATCGACTGAAAATTAAGTTTTTTTGTATCTTATAGCACAGTGCAGTAGAATTTAAGTTTTTTTCAGATTGAAGCCTACCGACAGCAGAGAAGAATGTCGAAAGCGTCACTAGCCGGGAAAGTTTATAAGGTATTTCATTTTTTCAGCAGTTTCTTTTAGACAACTCATTCTCTTTTTAGGAGTCTTCAATTCAAGTCACATCACTGGCATTGTTATGCGTTTTTCTAGCCTATGTAGGCGTTGGCGCTCTACTGCTACCATTGTTAAATGGAGAATTAGACTTTTTCAACGGTCTTTATTTCAACTTTCTTTGCCTAACAGCGATAGATTTCGGACAACTTGTACCGATACGGGTCGAACTACTGCCTATCACATTTTTGTATGTGTGCATTGGTCTGGCAATTACAACCATTGCAATTAGTAAGAGGAAATTTTTCAAAGGCGATTTTCTATTTTTCATTTTAGACATTGGCTCGGAGTATATGAAGAAGCTTCACTATTGGGGAAAGAAGATGAAAAATGCGGCGCAGACGAGAATCTGGTTCGGAGGAAAAACGTGAGTTGAAATCATGAGAAAAACGTTTAGTTTACTTTTATTCAAATTGAAAATTATTAATATTTCGAAGTTTCTAATAACCTTTGCGAGTTTCAGTTTGAAAGTAAGAGATTTGCTCCACGCGGTTGGTAAAAAATGTGGTGTAGAACCTGGTATGATTGATGCGCTAGACTTGGAGAACGTTGTGGAGAGAACTATTGCAATTCAGGTGACTATCCAAAATTAACATTTTGAAAATAAGTCTAAAATTTATTCCAGGAAGGCCGTGAACCTCCAGAAGATCTGAACGACGAGCCTCGTGAACCCTCGCCACGCTCTATCATCCACTCTCCATGCTCAACACGACCATCCAACCCTCCAATGAGCCCACCATCACCACGTGAAGACCACCCGTTTATATTCAAAATGTACACTCAATTTCTTGCTCAATTTGTTTTTAAATAGACTATTTAGGGATACTCCTGCACCACGAAGCCCATTGCCGCTACCCAGTTATGAGTTGGATATCAAAAAGCCAATTTTTCAAGCGCTCTCCAACGAGTTCATGAACCAATCGGCGCAAGAGAAACTGTTTGATGATCTCGACACGTTTCATGTGGAATTGAATACTGAATTGGTTGAAGATAACAAATGCGAGAGTGTGATCATCATTGAACCACCGGCCACATTTGAAGACATGACCGTGCAAAGTAGTCTAAACGTTGAAGACTATGAAAAAGAGGAGAAAGGTAATTTTGGTGATCAATCAACTCGCTCGATAGTGATTTCTTATCAAATCAAGTAAATGTTTTCAGCTCCGAAACGGTTCCGAGAGAAGAAGGAAATGTATGGTCGTGATCCGCGTAAACTCTATGAAACGTATCAAGAGGAATGGGATAGACTGGAACGCCTATCGGACAGGAAGTGAGACTATTTTATTGGAACAAACAAAAAACATATAAATTTTCCAGACATGGCCCCAGGAGAAAATCGGTATTGAATCTTGCCACTTGTTCTCCAGAGCGCAGTGTATCACCATCCCCTATTAGACATTCCTTGACAGGAGAGGATAATAGGAGGAATTCCTAATTGAATTTATAACTGATTCTTTCTCCCTGAACCGATAAAGCTTCCACTCATTAAAACCACGAAACAATTTATTCACAAAGCAACCATCATCAAATTCGGAAATCATTCAAAGTTTGTTTTTGGATGTATAAACGGTTAACATGCACAGTCAAAAAAACAAACTGATACTGATCTCTCTCATTTAGGCAAATAATTCGGAGCATACACCAGTTCGAGAGTTCAATGTGCTAAAAAGCTATTCGGGAGTGGAGAATTAGATTTTTCGACTATTTACACCTTCCCAATTGAGGATTTTTCACACACTAATCGGCTCGTATTCTCTGAATTATTTGCCCTTTCTTTCTTCTTCAGTTATTTTTCATGTGACCTGCCTTGGCATCCTCTATTTCTTTTTTTGTGACCTTCTTTCCCCTTCCTCACTGACTAAGCACAGTCACATATTCGACCCAGATGAACTATCCGCACGCTACGCGATACGCGAGCGCGTTCGGCTAGAGTAGAAGAGCGGTAAGAGTTGCGTGTGCGTGGTCACAGACGAGGATAGATTACCTGCCACTATCCTAATCTTCCAATAAATTCTTTGCATATCACATGGACTTCCTTTACTTCGACAGTTCAAATTGTACGTGCTCTGGGATGATCAATTTTATACTTGTCTCATTATTCAGTGTGTAAGTATTGTTCCCAACTTCCCTCTCTCTTTCTCTTTCTCGAATTAGTGGATTATATTTATAGAGTTTTTGCTTCATTGGTTATGTATTATATACTGATGAACTTTCGCCATGATCGACGAATCAAACAATTGCTGGAGAAGAAAACGCTGAAAAGCTTGTTTAAGATCTTCTTGCAACGTGTCTACGAGAATAATGAATTACAACAGATGGAAAGAGAACTGCACTTTATGTTAGACTTTAAGAAAGAGGACACGCCTTTCAAGGTCCGTTTATATATTATTTAGGTATCATGTTAAAATATAATTCAGAAACTTCTGGAGAATGATGAGGACGAATCAGGACCAATTTCAAATGAGTGCTTGGACTCTCTCTACAAAGTTCGTGTTTCTTATCATCATTAAATCAGTATTCATTGTTTCAGAAAAGTAGTGGAAAAGATCACTCTCTAGAGAATATGCTGACGTTGTAAATACTCTTAATCAAAGCAACCGCTTTTCGACTAGCCAGCGAATTAATATTCTGTAGTGTTAGAAATCAATCACCCGATCAGAGCGATCGAACATTTTGCTAACTGAGTTTCTAACTGATTTCTTTCTATTTTTTTTCTGAAACGATAAAACTTGGTCTAAAAACCCTGAAGCAATTTATTATGAACACAGCCAAGCACATTATCATAAGAAACATAAAAATATTATACAAAGGAATAGAAATAGATCACCGATTTTTTTTTTGGAAATGCGACACAGAAATTAGATCTCATCCAATTGAACCTTAGACACGGCATCCTTGGTAACAGTGTAGAGAGTAAATCCATCCAAAATGTGCTCTCCCTCCTCGACGTTGTGTGGAAGTTTGACCCAGACTGCCTTGGACTCCTCATCAAAGACGTTTCCCTTGAGAGCCCAGACTTCTCCATTGAACTCACTTGCATGCATTCCTTTGAGCACTGATCCAGCAGCCACGATCCACGATTTGGTGTCCTGGTTGACGAACGAGCAGTGGGGTCCGGTGAAACCGAATCGTGGGAGGTTCTCGTGTTCTCCCTCGATTTCCACATGACGAGTGGTGTTGGTCTTCAAGTCGGCGATGAAGAATCTGGTTTTCTCCCAACGGAATCCGCACCCGTGAACTCCGTAACTGACGAGTACTTTGTCGCCGAAGACTTCGGCGAGAACTGCTTGACCTCTCTGAAAAAGATTTTATGGTTAGTAGCCACGTATTTTAAAATTTAGAAAGACTTACCAGTGGATTAGCGTCAACATCAATTTTCGAAGTGTTCTCGATAGTTGCAACATCTCCATCAACGGTGAGTGAGTAGATTTGAATATGACCATCGTCATCTCTAGCCAAAACAATGTTAGATCCATTTGAAGTCACTCCGGAGGCAACAATCACATCTGGCTTTTGGCTCTCGGTGATGGCCTTGTTTGCTGGAGCCTGAAAAAAATAAGATTTTGTCAAATATTGTTTTTACTAAAATAATAATAACTGATTTTGAGTCACAAATATTAAAATTTCAGTTTGGCTTCAAACTTACAGTCAATTTAATCTCGACAAACTTGTTATCCTCCCACTTGAAGAGTTGCTTGAATTCGATGGCTCCGAAGTTGAGGAAAGTGAGCAAGTAGAGCTTTCCATCTCTCACGAACAAGGATTCCTCCAAATTCTCGTCGCTGGCTAGTTCGGAAAACTGAAACATTACAATTTGTTGTAAACTGTGTCTAATAGTGGTCATCCGAATGCTTCAGTTGAAAATTTTCAACTTCGAGTGTTTGAAGCGGGTACGTATCAAAGGTTTTTCAGACACTCAAGGTTTGCTAATTTACACTGAAAACATTAATAGCAACCACACTCAATCTTAGCTTCAATAACTTACATCATGTCTCTCCCAGTGGTTGGTTTCCTTGTCGAAAGTAAGAACATAAGTTCCCGGAAAGGCGACACGATGACCCCAGTTGTGGGTTGGTTGGGCGACGTCTAAAATATATTGAACTCTTCCAATCAAAATTTCAAAAGGCTTGCTTACATTGTCGGCCCACCAAGGTGAGCTTTCCATCTTGAAAGAAAGCGTAGTGATGGTCGCACAGTTCACCAAGACTTCCGAATCCGTCGGCAATTTTCTTGGACATTATTGAACACTGAAGTGATGGAGAAAGTTAGTGCAAATTGAAAACGCAATACAAGGTTTATAAACAAACCCGGCAGGCGACCAGGAAGTAACGAATAAGTGAAGAAGTGAGGAAATATATACTTTAGAAATCAGATGAAAAAGTTGTCCGAATCGAGATACCGGTTAATGGTCATAGGTGAAACTAAAAATTGGAACTTTTGTGAGAAATAGTTCCTGATTTGTTTGATATGAATTCGTTGAAAAGGAATTCTCTTTATGGGATGAGGAAAACGTAGAATTACGAAATAAAGGAAAAGGAAAGATATGAAATTGATAGTTTTATGTTATTTGTTATGTAAACAGTGGAGGAAATACTGGTTTACATATGAGGAGGAATTCTCAATGAAGGCTCCGAGACATTTCACCACCGAAAAATATTTTTCGGAGTTTCTAAAATGTTTTTTATTAGAACACAATCTGCAATTTGAAAATTTGAATATTATTTTTTTTTTTTTCGAAAAAATCTTCTTGAATTTTTTGGAATTTTAGGTTGTGTTTTTTAAGAAAAAGCATACTTGAAAATTCTGAAAATATTTTTGTAGTTCAAAACCTTTGCAGTTGCGAAACGTCAGGTGGAAAAATGTCCCTAAATTTCAAGAAAGATTCAGAACGGAAAAAAATAAATGTGCGGCATTTTTTCATTCTTTAAAAAACGACCTAAACGAACAGTCTAAAACACGAAAAAAGACCTGGAGCGTCCAGAAGGGTTATTTCTAACCGAAAGTCCGGTTTTATATACTCTGCTATTTGCAATGTGGCGAATGACTCAGTGTGCGAAAACAAACAATATTGCGAAATGCATTTTATGAATAGAAAGTCGAGAAAAAACGAATTGCATATGTAATCCGATGTGAATATGATGCCACTGGTAAACACTGGTTCTTTTTTTGGGAAAATTCTATGGGAACCATACAGAATTATTGCTAGAAATCGCTGGAATCGTGTGGGACTCTGATCGAAAACATGAACAGTGGCCACTGCCAAAAAAACAAAATTCAGATGGGAATAACTTTTTAGTGGGTCAAAAATCTGGAATGTGAGCTTTGAAAGTTAAGAATTCAAACAAGAACAAATACAGTATCCAGAACCTAAAAAAGATTCCTCTAAAAATCTAGGAGTAAGTGATAGATCCACTGCTTATTTTGAAATCTACAATTTCAATTTTTGTTTTTAGTTGTTTTTTACAACCTTTTCTGAACAACTAAAAATAAAAGAACTGTTAACACTTCTAGAACTGTGATATTTGAACGAAATGATACTTGAAAGAAAATTTCAGCTATCCTCTCTCACATTTGGTCCCTTTACTTCCTTATTATTCAGCTACTCCATTTCAAGTTGTGTATTTATTCTCGAAATTTCCGAAAAAAAACATCATCTTTTGTTATTTTTCTTATCTATTTTTCTTCTCCTTCTCTAAAAGAACCTTGATGTGTTCAGCATGTTTCGTTGACGTCTCAGAAGGGTAGAAGAAGAAACGACAATTGTCAAGTGTATCTAACCTGCCCAGTGGCGTCTGCCAGTAAACCGATCAAGCGCACGCAAACAACGACACTCCGAAAATTCCGCATTAGCTCCATTCGACAGTCTTGGTCCGTACAGTTTGTTTCGCTGATCGAGCGACCTCTTTTTCTCGTTAACCTAGACGCTACATTGTGTTGGCGGTCCCTCGTTCGTTTCTGCCCGCGTTTTGTTTTTTTATCTGCGCCTCCTCTTTTCTAACACTATTCCTAGTTGACCACTGTGCGCGCGCGCAAACTGCGCGGCCTCTAAACCGGTGCGAAAGAAATACGCTCTATTGAGAACAGTGTTGTTTTTGTTGTTCTCGTCCTCGCTCACCTCATTTATTCAAACCATTCTTCTTTCCGATTGTTCCTTTTTTATTTGCTCTCATTTTCCCTCATTTTCCATGGACTTTTGAATTGAATCTGTCTTTCTTTCTTTCTGTGTCCTCCGTTTAGCCAGCCGCTGGTCGGAGTTCAGAGATAAGACTGTAAATTCAAAGAAGAATCACCCGTTATCGATTGGCGCTGGTCACTTGCCTCCTTATCTGTTGACAAGTCACAAACAAGACACTGATTCGGCAGCACCCTTTTTGAAATCAAATCAATCTCAACGAATTATATTTTTGTTTTGTTGCCTACGTGCCCTGTGGCTGTCCATCTTCTCTATCTCTTCTTCCCGTGACCGTTTGGTGCACTGGCAGTTTTCTTTCTCTCTTCTTCGTTTTCTTCTCTCATCTCTTTTCACTTACGCGCTGCAATCTTCTAAATGTCACGCACACAACAAAGTTGCACTACAACACACGTCGGGACTCTTCTTCTTTTTCTTCACCACTCGATCTGAGCATTGACCGCTCAGACTCTCCCATCTTGTCGTTTTTCTTGCAACTCCTCACTTTTCTCGTTCTCCTTTTGAAAATCTTAAAATTGTTTCATTTTTCAGAGACTCGGGTATGTTGTCCCGCTTCGCTCGTCAACTGGCACTGCCAGTGTTCAACGGTGTTCTTCATGTAAGTTTCGAAATCATTTGGGACGTTTCAAGTATCTTCCAATTTACAGCCAACCCGTGCCACCAGCTCCATCGCTCATACCATCAAGGTCGCCAAGAAAATCGATGACACCCGCGACAAGGCTCTTCTTGGAGGAGGAAAGAAACGTATCGATGGTCAACATGTTCGCGTGAGTCTGATAATTATTGGGACATGTTCACAAAATCTGTTTACAGGGAAAGCTTACTGCTCGTGAACGCATTGATCTTCTCTTAGACAGAAACACCTTCCGCGAGTACGATATGTTCGCCGAGCACACCTGCAACGACTTCGGTATGCAGAAGGAGAAGTATCCAGGAGATTCGGTTGTCACTGGACGTGGAGAGATCAACGGACGTACTGTCTTCATCTTCTCCCAGGATTTCACCGTTTTTGGAGGATCCCTTTCCTCGATTCACGCCAAGAAGATCGTCAAGATCATGAGAGAAGCCATGCTCGTCGGGGCTCCAGTCATCGGACTCAACGACTCCGGAGGTGCCCGCATTCAAGAAGGAGTTGAATCCCTTGCCGGATACGCCGATATTTTCCAGGAGAACGTTCTCGCTTCGGGAGTTGTTCCACAAATCTCCATGATAATGGGACCATGCGCCGGAGGAGCTGTCTACTCTCCAGCTCTTACTGATTTCACCTTCATGGTTCGTGACACTAGCTACTTGTTCATCACTGGACCAGATGTCGTCAAGGCCGTCACTAACGAGGAGGTCACTCAAGAAGAACTCGGAGGTGCCAAGACACACACTGTCACTTCTGGAGTCGCTCACGGAGCATTCGACAATGACGTTGACGCCCTCATGAGCCTTCGTGAACTCTTCAACTATCTCCCACTCTCCAACACCGATGCTGCACCAATCCGTGCTGCTGAGGATCCATGGGACAGATCAGTTCCATCTTTGGACACTGTTGTTCCATTGGAGAGCACTGCTGCCTACAACATGAAGGATGTCATCCACGCACTTGTTGACGAGGGAGATTTCTTCGAGATCATGCCAGACTATGCTAAGAACTTGGTCATTGGTTTCGCCAGAATGAACGGACGCACCGTCGGAATTGTTGGAAACAACCCGAAGTTTGCCGCCGGATGTCTTGACATCAACTCTTCCGTCAAGGGAGCTCGCTTCGTCCGCTTCTGCGATGCCTTCAACATCCCAATCATCACTTTGGTTGATGTCCCCGGATTCTTGCCAGGTAAATTTTAACACAGAACCTATTTTGTAACAAAACTTGCAAATTCAGGAACCTCCCAAGAGTATGGAGGTATCATCCGCCACGGAGCTAAGCTTCTCTACGCTTTCGCTGAGGCTACCGTTCCTAAGATCACCATCATTACTCGCAAGGCCTTCGGAGGAGCTTACGATGTCATGTCTTCCAAACATCTTCGTGGAGACATCAACTACGCCTGGCCAACTGCTGAGGTTGCCGTTATGGGAGCCAAGGGAGCTGTCTCGATTCTTTTCCGTAACGACAAGGAGCACGCCGTCCAACACGAGGAGGAGTACACCGAGTTGTTCTCCAATCCGTTCCCAGCTGCCGTCAGAGGATTCGTCGACGACATCATCACTCCATCGGAAACCAGAAAGAAGGTGTGCGAGGATTTGAACATGCTCGAGAGCAAGAAATTGGCGAATCCATGGAAGAAGCACGGAAACATTCCACTCTAAATCTCTAAAACTCGTGTGAAACCCCTTTAACCCATTTGCCATTTTACCCGACCGGCCGTTGGTCCGGTATATATGACGTGTTTAATTTTTTCAAACTTCCAGTCTCTATACCTTATACGCTAGTTGCGTAATTTCTCGAGTATTCCCGTCCCACCGCCTCACCACTTTTTTTTTGTAATGCCATAATTGAAAAAATTGTATTTATTTCTGTCCAGTCAAATAAATAGGAGAATTGATGTGAAATTCAAACTGTTTTGCGGCGCATGGTGCCGCGAGTCATTGCTATCTGACTTCTTTTCTTGACTAGCGAGTTTATTCGGGTTTTCAGGAATCAAAAAACAAATTTTAATAAACTTAATAATTTATTATTTTCATTCCATAAGAATTGATTGTTATTAGTACGAGCTTTTTGTTTGAAATCATAGATGAGGTGGATACAAGAATATCAATTAAAGAACTCCGAAGAACTTGGCAACACTTGTCAGAATAGCGCGTTGCACTGGTGGAATCACTTGCTCAACATCTTCAACACTTGGAATCTGAAGTTTCGGCAGATCTTCAAGCTTTGGCAGAGTCATTGGCGCCATGGTGGATGTCATTTGAACTGGAAGAACTGCAAGTGGCATTTGTGCGGCTGGAACACCGGCAACGACTTGTGGGGCGGCGGCAGGGGCGGCTCCAGCTGCGGCTCCTGTGGCAACGACTTGTGGGGAGGTTGCTCCAGCGGCTCCAGCGGTTCCTGGAGCAGCGACTTGAACGATTTGTGGTTGTTGGAACATCATTGGTTGTGGGAATGGTGGAAGTGGAGCGAACGCCATTTGTTGCTGCTGTTGCTGTTGTTGTTGTTGGAATTGTTGGTTAGCAAGAGCTAAAATATTATGAATGGGATATTAAAATTATAAAATCCGAGATTTATGGTCGCTTACCTTGTTGTTGTTGTAGAGCAGCTTGTTGCTGTTGAATCATAGCAGCAAATGGATCTTGGTAGTACTGTGGTTGTGGCTGTTGCTGTTGTTGCTGTTGGGGTTGGGCCTGTGGTTGAGCATATTGTGGATATCCAGAATCTAAAATTTCAGAATAAAAAGTCTGTTTACTAGTCTTGAAATCCTACATTGTCCATTTGGAGCGACTCCATAAGCTTGTTGGGAGAACTGTCCGTAAGTGGCAGTAGGAACAGAGTTCTTAGGGAGGGCTTGTGGCTGTTGTGGAGCGTATGGCTGGATATTGAGGGTTTGAGTTCCTTGAACTTGTGGGACTGTGGCAGCTGGTTGTTGTGTAGCTGTTGTAGATGTAGCTGGTGGCTCAACAGCGGCTGCAGCTTCAACAATGGTGTTCTCCTGCTTCTTGGTTTCAGTTTGTTCCTCATCAAAACATGGCATTCTCTTGATGGTGGCCACATAGACAACGCTAGAAATCAGTCATGCGTTAAACTAATTCGGCTTTATCTTTTTTGAAACTCACGTTCCGTTTTTGGAAACAGTCTTGCTCAAGTTGGAGATGTAATCGAAGGCGACTAGTTTGCCGTCGTCCAAAACTTCTCCTCCGACAACCAATTGTCCCTGCTTGACGACTGCATTTCCACGATCCTGCGAGTTGATCAGGACTTGGTAACTGCAGCATTTCATCTAAAGATACTAATGGGATAAATGCTTTCAATGAATTGTTACCTCAAGTTTGTCGGTGAAAGGATCGGATTGTGGGGAGAGTCCTCCAACCCATTCTCCTTCTTCGCAAGTATTGGATTTATACTCGTCGGTACAAATCTGAAAATAGAGAAAATGAGAGAATGATTAATATTGCTCAGATTGCTTACAGCCAATTGTGGAACAAAATTTGGATTCTTGCTTGGGTTCTTGATGAATTGATCGGATCTTCTCAAGTATCCATCGTCCTTGCCAGCGACTCTGTAGAATTGAGCGGTTTCTCCAGCTCTGGTTCCGTTAGCAGTCCATCCGAAACACTTTGGCCGGGCACATCCTAATACAGGGAATCCAGATCGTAGCACCTGCAGTGTTCAGATGAGGCTTGAGCTCGTTATCAAGCTTTAGCACGCTTTGCACCTTACCTGGAAGGTGTATGGAATGGCAGACTGTCCACAGTAAGAGGCTAGTGCCACCGGCAGAAGAGCCAAAAGATAGAAAATCGGCGTATGCATGTTCCGAGAAACAATTGGCAGGTTGAGATGTTCAATGAGAAGAAGCGCAAATGAAAAGCTTCAAGGAGGTGGGGCACAAACCACCGCTTCTTTTCCCGACAACGACAAGAAAATAAGGTCATCAAAATGTCTTTTCTCCCAGCTTTTCCCTCCATATCTCCCGTGTTGCTGCGACGCGAATCGCTTGTCGTCCCTCGTTTCGATCAGATTCCTCAAGATAAGAGCGAGAGTGAAAGTTTGAATTCGTTGGGGGGGGGGGGAGAGATTGAAGAAAGTGGACAGGATGATGAGGGAAGAAAGGGCCAAAGGGGCATATTCTCGTATCGTATTCTATCAGTGCAACACTTTCACTTGCCGTGTTGTTTGTCACCAATAATCCGGATTGTTCCCTTCGAGATTCAGTTTTTTATGCAGTGGCTACCTAATTTTGTATCATTCTCAAGCTATATGACCAATGCATGAAGATAACATACGGAAGGAGGGATTCTATCAGGTATACCTATAACTACTGTACCTAACCATTTGATAGGCAGAAACGCATTTTAAAGTCTGATTATTGGCCATTTCTACTATTTTCAGGAGTCTGGAGCTCCACTGTCAAGTTTCAAAAACTTTGGAGTTTCAAAAACTTTGGAGAGTGTAAAGCAGACCTAGATTGAAAACTTAGCATTTACAGAAACTTTGAAAATTCATGGGTTACGTAACGACACCGGTTTTTTTCACTTTTTAACGTACAAAACCATGCCAATGAGGGGTGTGTTTTAGAAATTGGCAAATAACTGAAACACTGGGAATTTCAAAAAAATTCTGTGAATCTAAAGTCCTCAATCTAGGTTCATTTCACGTTCTTTTTTAATTTCGAAGTGTTTGAAAGCTGGACAGCCGAGCTCCTAACTATGATCAAAATGAACAGAAATCAACTAAAAAAATATTTTTGCAAATATTTCTGACCAGTACAGTTTATTATCAATTCATGAAGGAAACATTCAGAAAAACAGATCCAGGCATGCTTGATTACTATATATTTGGCATTTCATTCGTTTAAAACCCGTCGAATTATATTACAGACAATTAACAAAATGGGCTGTTGGACTATAACAAAAAATCACATTTAAAAACATTAGCATCAATAAATAAGTAGATTAGCGTTAGCTTAATAAATAATTCATCAGATTCTAGTACAAAATGTTGTTTTAATTAACAATTAAATTAATGTTGCTGGGCAATTTCTGAGAAGAACTGAAGCACGTTATCAGTCGACACTTCAAGCTCGATTTTGATTCCCGGATAGCAGGTTAGAATCAACTTGTTGTACTCGGCAATCTGCTTGATGAACTGCTCCTGCATGTCTCTCCAGACGACTTGAAGAAGGGACGAGTTGGCAACCAGATTCTTCTCAATCTTTTTGTACAGTTGTTCGAGACCTTTCTTAACCTCTTTTCCAGGATGCTGAGAGATGACCTGGAAAACAAAGTATTTTTTTAAGGAAAGCGTTTGGTGATGTGCTTACTTTCTTAAGTTCCATTCTGCTGAACTGTTGCTGATAGGAGATTTCTTCAGGACGAATTCCTCTCATCTCGATGAAGTTGTTCACGTTGTCGAAGAATGTCTGGAATTTGATTATTGGTAGTTAGATGAAGGCGTTCTGTCACAGAATCTCTGATTCAGGTCTATACAACTGTCCTGAATCTTTTCTGTATTCTTCCGAAAAACCCCCTTTTTATTTGAGAATACCGTAAAGTGCCACTGAGTTTCCATAGTTATTTTTGACCAATTTTTGACGATGACAGGAAAACACTGGGAATCATTAAGAAAAAATTACGGTACATGATGTTTTTTTGAAGTCTGCGCGTTTAACTAAAATTAGCCCTCTAGGTGCGTTGATTTTGGACAAGGTTTCCAGCCATGGTGTCCAGCGACTATCAATCTTTTAATAATTTCCTTCTTACTTACCTGAATCTCTTTCAACGGTCTTCCCATAAACTCCTTGACATATGCATCAATGTGTTCTTCTTTCAGCGCCTTCGCATCCTTCCTCTGTTGATCAAGACACGAAATCTTCAATTCTGACAGAGTTACTAAAAAAGAAAAATTAATTTAAAACTGATACACTTCAAACTGACAGTAAAGCTCGTGGTAGTTCTCAAACTTCACCACCGACGACGGCGATTTGCTGTATGGATTGGCTGCTGCTTTCTGGATTCCATCACAAACCGCACGGCACAGATTGAAATAGGCCTTCTCAAGATCGGTACGTCTCTCAGCGTTCTCGAAAATTGTCTCTGCGCGTCTGACAAACCCGGCAAAACGAGCGATGGATGGGAGGATACCGATTCTTGTCTTCTTCACGATACGGACTTCAGAGTATTGGCCACATTCCATTTGCTGAAAAAAATTATTGTTTTCTTTGAAATTATTCCTTAACAACTCACAATGAAAGCATCGAACTGACGTTTAATCAAAACTACCAAACTTCCGAAGGTGATTAAGAAGTAAGAGCTTGGGTCTTGAGGAAGCAACACTTTCTTCGACATGATCACAAACAATAGAAGGACATTGCTCGGATTATGCCTGCACACAGCTCTGCAGAAACTGTCCAAATGGATGTTGAGGGAGTCAAAGAGGTTGCCCATCACATGTCGGACCTGCTCGTTCATGTGCTTCTCCATACTGCGTCCTCCAAGACTGGAACTATCACCACTGCCAGTGGAAGTAGTATCAAATTGAGCCAACAGTTCGGAATTGATATGGAAGAAGCGGACAACGAATTTCTGTTCTGCATCAATGACAGCGCTCAATTCAGCAAGCACTGTCTCAATGAGTTGGGGCAAGACTTCAGTGTCGATTTCGCTAGATGTACTCATGAAGCTTTGATTGTCAGAGCGGAGGGATGTGTTCGCAGAGTCGGATGTTTCTGGAAAGTGGTAGATAAATGCTGACTGGTTTATTGCAAGCTCACTTGACTTCTTTTCCGACCCAATCGCTTTAGGAACTTTGCTGATGAGTGTGTCGAAGAAGTTATCGAAAAGACGCTTGTAAAGGAGGTTGGTGCTGTCGATATACTTCTGAAGGACAAGGTTGCATGCCTTGGGGCGATTGGTTTTCAGCCAGTTGATGAGGTCGGAGAGTGGTGAGAGGGCGCGGAAACGTTGAGATTGCTTTGGAATGCATAGCTCGTGCCATTCGTGGTCCAGGGACAAGTCGTTCTGGAATGAATTCGGTAATTATTGAACTATGTGGTTTTCCCAAAATTTATAATCAAACTGATCAAACTCTACCGTTAATTGAAAACTTTTGGGAAAATACTAGGTCATGCCACTGACGATTGAGCTACGCGGCCGCAAAACCGTCTCTCTATCTCAAAATGTGAAATTCCCAAAACTAGAATTTTAGAAAAATGTTCTCATCATTATTCTCAATGGGCCAATTTCAGGCTGGCACGGGTCGGCTGGTGACTCGCTTCAAATTTGAAACTGCGGATAAAACAATAGATCAGAAGATAGAGCTCGGGGAGCGCTACAATTTCCAGTAAAATTCAAGCAGTATTTGTTTCAGCCTAGGTTTATAGCACGCAGGGGAAAAATCATCGGCGCGTACCATAATGCAGCTTTTGTTTTTGGAAACACAACTAATCTTTAGATTTTCAGAAACACCAAAAACCTTGACCTACCAAGTTAGAAAACAATGCCGAGAGGTGAGACATAAGCCGATCCACAAATACGTCAATTGCCGCCAGTTCGTCGTTTCTATCCTGATAAGCTTTCATCTGGAGCATCGGCTTGGCGAATCGCCCGTGCCAGAAGTGAGCTACAGCACGAGCGGCGTCGGTGCATTTTTGCACACTGGAAAATACATGAATTGATTGGGTAAAAAGTGACGAGTAAACATGGATCACACGATAAACCATTACTCGAGAAAAATCATTACTGGCTACTTTGCCTCTGGAAAAACCAACCTCTCTGGATTACTGAAGTTCGCTTGTTTCAACGTTTCGATATGGGCATCAGTGACTTCTTGCAACGAATTGACAAATGAGATTATCTCTTCATTCAGACGCGCCTTGTTCTTCCTTTCCACTACGGACAAACTATCCTTCTCCTCAATCAATTCGATGCTGTTTCTCACAAACTGAAAAAATCATTTTCAACTAATTACCCTCTAAAACGTTCTCACCGCCAGAATATCATCGCAATTATCCAATTCCTTCTCCACAGATTCCACACCAGTCAGTGCTGCGTCAATACTGGACAACAACTGGTTAACCGAATTCTCGCTATCCATCATTGAATTGATATTGGCTCCATCCAACGACTGCAATTGCTCGGTGAGCATCTCGGCAAACGCATGAGCATCGCCAATTGTCAAGTTGGCTCTTTCAATGAGCTTTCGGAAATCCGCGTCTTCCTTTGCCGATACAGGTTGGTAGTCGCTGGCCATGGCGATGTCGTGCTCTGGGAGCTCAATGGGTATGATCGAGGCTTCTGCTTCGAGTTGTGGGAGAGAGAAGTTGCAAAAGTCGGGCATCTGGACAGGGAGATACTGGCAAGAGAGCTGAAATTGTCAAAATTTAGTTGGAATTGGAATGGAGAATTGTCACCTTATACAACTCTCGAATAAAATCATCCTTCTCGTTTGCTGATCCGGCAAGAATCACATATTGACGGTCTCCAATAGTTATGTGGAACTCGGGTGATGGCTAAAAAAAAAATCGAAATCTGACTAGGAATCTGCGGAAATCGTGTATTTTTAAGGTTAAGATCTACGATAAGAGCTCGCCCATGTGCTTATTAGAATCTGTCCACAATTTCATACCTTTTTTGGATTGATCCCATCAATTTCTCTGACTTCTCGAAGGTTGAACCGGTCTTTTTTCTTGAATGTATCATCCTTTTCTCCTTTGACAAAGTAGAGCCGTACAGCGATCGGGTGTTCGATAGTAACTACAACTGTGCAGTATTGTAGACAATCAATTCTTTAAAAAATTAAATTTTACCTGCCAAGCAGAGAAGCGTCTGATTTTTCTTCTTCTTTCCGTCCAATTTATTCACATTCACAATCGCCTGAATCCGTTCATCGTCCTTCTGGAAGAGTTGTCGTTGGATGATCTTCCTAATTGCAGACATTTGCTTCTGAAATAATTTTTAATGATGATTTTAACGATGAATCAGTGTAAAAAAAGACAAAATGAGCGAAACATTCAACAAGAATAAACAATGCAACATCCCGCATCACCAAATGTGTCCAAGATCGTCTCTGTGTCTCTCCCGTTTATGTATATATTTCTCCCGCGCACGCAACGCGCACCATGCATCGACTGCCTTGCGCGTTTCTCGTGCATGCTGGTCGCGACGCAGCACTGAATAAATTGAAATGAATACTGATTTGAAAGTCGATTCACTATGGGAAAAAATTATTCTTGCTTTCAGAGTAACAGAAGAACAATTTATTTTCATTTTTCATGTTTTCAGGTAACTTGTTCAATAGGAAAACGATGTGCGGAAGAGAAAACAATAAAAGATAATCGAAACAAACATGGAATTTCATTTTTCAGATCGAAATATAAGTTGAATCTTGTCGAAACGTTTATTTCTGGAGGCTGAGAGCTGGTGAGAGTGAAAATGAAAAAGAACTACTGGACTAATAAAAAGAAAATGCCTGAAAAACTGCTCTTTTCGATAGAATTATCAGATTTTTGGCTTCTGGAAGCCATTTGCTGTCCTGTGAAACGGATGGTATGGAATTACAGTCATCAAACATTGAAAATAAAAAAAAGGAAACTTGCTGAACACTTTTGGAATGAATTTGATAGAGAAAACGGAATATTTAGAAATGTGAAAAGAAGACTGGCGGTGGAAGAAGGCTTGGTAGTTGTGAAAAAAAACCGGTAAACACAATTAATATTCTGCTCAATCGCCTGAAAAAAATCTGGCACATTGAAGAATAAAATCGTGTGTCACCGGCAACTTCTGCTCGGATGTTGGTCAGATTCCGGATAACCGATACTAAAGTCGATTACTTTTGACAAGATTCTGACATATTGTTTCAAACATCTTGCGAGGCTACAATCGGACCATGTCCCGCTATACAGCCGTTTTCGGGAAATTTCTGACCAGAACCTGGCCATTATTTACGTCAAAAAGCCGAACCACCGTCAACTTCTGACTGGAAGTTACGAGCCGACAGCTAAGAAAATGGGAAATCGAAAAAAAAGAATAATTTTTCTAAATTACGGAAAATAACATAAGGCAAATTAACAAATTTAGCTCTGTATTACACGAACCGTACAATGACTATTTTCTTCTCTTCTGTAATGAATCAATTGCTCTATCTGTTTTTATCCATATCTCAAAAAATGAAGAAAAGATTTGCGCGGAAACCTGAAACTAGCTGCACTAGAAATGTACTGGAATTAGAAGTCACACTTGATCATAATACAAAACGGAGAATTTTCTTATACAGCTCTCCAGATTTATAGTTTTCAGACAATTCAATGTGACCGGCTGGCGGTAGATAACTGCTGGCCAGAATAATTTCCAGGTTCTAGTCGTAACTTGCCAAGAACGGCTGGATAGCGAGTCATGGTCAAATTTTAGTTGGAACCTCGTCATTAGTTTGTCGAAGTTTTGTCGGTTCTCGTACCGGTCGTATGCGGAATTTGACCAGGACCGGAAATTGGCGCAACTCTTTCGGACGGGTGTTTTGCACACTATTTGATGCTTTGTCGACTTAAACATCTTCTGGAAAACATGCTCAAATGCCGGAAGGACAGCCACGTGATCCTCCCTTAACGTTCTGTTAGTCTTTAAGTCATCCATCGTTTCACTGAAGGAAAGGCATAATACAAACAAAATTTTTCAAGGTCTTTGGTGATCATTTTGATCAAATTTAATTTTTAAACTCTGTAATTCCCATGTTTCATTCTTTTCTTTTCGATTATAGAAAAATCATTTGCAGTTTGGAAACGTCTACTGGCGTATTGGCATTTTTTTTAAATCTGTCGTGCAGACCATCCGAGCTTTGATTCTTTGCAAATTCTGGAAATATTTTCCCTGAAAATGCATAATGTCTTCGACCTGGAGATATTTATTAATTGCAATAAATATTATTGAAACGAAAAAGAAGGAAAACCTCAAAAAATACATGTGGAACGTGTTACAATTAAAGTATCTGTGGAGAGAGAATCATTGAGAAATAAATAGAAAGCAACATTGAAGACGAAAAAACAGAAGAAAGTACTGAAAATATGAGAATGATCCAGTTTTAAACAGATAGGAAAACATGTAAGGTTGTGGTTTTTTTGCTGTTTTGTTGAGAAAAAAACGAGACAAGAAGAGAGAGAAAGAAAAAAAAGATTATGGTTACAATTAAGTTGAAAAAATGATACTGAAAATGGGAGAAAAAAAAACGGGAGTGAAAATGTGAATAATGACGTTGTGGTTTATCGGGATGTGTTATTAGGAAGAAAAGAGATTAAATATGAGAATCAGGTTAAAGTGGGAAAAACACCTTCTTGCTGGTAGTAGTGGTGTTTGTAGTGGAGGGAGTGCGCCGAACAACAGTTTGTGGATTCTTAGTTGGGAGAGGAAGCACATATTGTTGATTGCGGGATGGTGGGGTTGGATGCTTTTTGTATGCCTGGAAAAATATTCTTTGAAAAATACAGCGACTGTTGAAACTTTTCTTACCGTTCGTGCTTGATTCATGCTAGTGTATGGATTAACACGGTATTGTCCCGCTCCATAGAACTGCTGACGAGTACCAGCGACACCAGTTATGGCTCTCATGCTTTGGGATTGACGAGGAGTTGGCTTCTTTCTGAAAAATAATAATTTGAGCTTAAAATACGCTTCTAATATTCACCTGTTTCGAACGTTGGTGTATGTCAACGTCTTATACACAGTAGTTGCTCCCATGTAGCCATCTAGCGGAACACGCTTGATGTACCGACCATAGATGAAGGTGCTTTTCAAGCATGAGATCAAATCCTCGAATTCGGAAGCATCAGCAGTGGTAAGAAGATCACTCTTTGCCTCGTTGTAGCAAGCCAAACTGACGTTTCCAGCAACCACTGCTTGCAGTTCGCATTTTGCAAACAGGTAGTAAGCAGTTGTCATGATGGTCTGCTTTCCACGAGTTTCCAGGAATTCCCTGATGAAATCCGACGAGCGACGAGTGATGATTTGTCCCAGCAACTGTCCTGACGGCTTCTTGACCGGATCATGAATGTTGCCAAACTGCAAGATTAATGTAAAAAATCACGTTTTACCTTTGAGTCACTCACCACTGGCATTCTACCACAACCATGAATCATGATCAAGTGGTCACTTGCTTGCTGCAACGCTTTGAAGCGAATATTGCATTCCGAGCAAAACCAATTGAAGAACTGTGGATGATGCTTGGTCTCATGGTATTCCAGAGCAAATTGGGAGACAAAATCTTCGTTGCATCCACAACGAAGCATTGGGAACTGACGAGTCTTGGTCACTGGTCTAACTGGCGCTTCCATTTTGAGTGTTGGCATTTCCGTGACTTTTGGTGGTGTTGGTTCTGGAGGTGAAATATCAAGTGGAGGTGTCAGTGGTAAGAAATCGAGCTGTGGAAGGGATGAGACGTCTGTGCAGAGCTTTCTGTCAAACAAGTTCTCATCTGTATACCAAGGATCATCCTTGGATAATGGTTCTTCTTCCTCTGGTTTGTCCTCCTCATCATCCGTGTCCATATACCGTTTGATTCCCTCGAAAATGTCCAGCAAAACATTCTCGAATGGCTCTGGCTCCAGTCCACTAATGAATGGATCATACCCCGGTCTGAGGTCCTCCATGAACATGATCACCCGGAATACTTCCTACAAAAAACTATATTGGTTGGCAATTACCGAAAAAAAAAACAGTAGTGGTGGTCAGAATAACGCCTGGGGGAGGGGAGCGAGAGAAAAATGGCGCGTAGAGGGGGAATGCAAAAAAAACGGGGACAACGAAGAACAGATGAAGATTGGGGCAGAGTGAAAAAGAGAGAGCGAGAAAATGAGAAAATTTGAGACGAGAGTGAAAAAACTAGGATAAACTGGGCGATGTGGGTACGAGGAAAACATCCAAGGAGTTACTATGAAACCATTTTTTTTCATTCACGGACACCTCATCGACAACAAATGTAAAAGAACAGCAAGGTCATGTGTGTGTGTTAAGGTTGATTCATCTCTATTCTCGAAACAAGTTATCAGTTGATTGGCTAGTAAAGTGCACCACTATCAATCGAGCCCCCAGGCTATCTGTTTGTGTAGATAAGTGTTAGAGGAACACACGCCGAGAAGGGTTTTTCTTTTCTTGGCGGGAAGAAGTGACCATGAAACAAACTTTTGAAATCGAAATCTAGTCTGTCTCATTTGAAAAATGGGAAAACTGGGAAGGGCAGGAGAAAAAGATGATGGACCTCTCCAACACTTTTAAGAAATTGCTTTCCTTTTGCCTCTTCCCATTTTCTAATATTCTAAGTGAAGAGTGGATCCTAGATTATGTATGTGCCATGAAGTGTGGGATTTGAGCAACCCCGGCCTCTTTCCTAACATTCTTTTTCTCTCTAACTAAGATTGAGAACTGCTGCTCTGTGTCACTCGACTCTTACGGTCCTACCCTGCGCTATCTCGCTTTATGGTGGAGGCCCTTCTGTCAGCGCGGCCACTATCGGTCATGTAAAAACAATCCTGTGCAGCCGACGAACTGGACAACGGCCACAACGGCCTTCCCTCGTCTCGCCGTCGCCCTTCCTATCGATCGACCCACGACAAACACACAGCCCCCGAGGACAGCCACGGGGTGGAGTGAGAGCTGCGGCGGGCCGACGTTGGCAACCGACGGGGCCTGAGAGAACCGTTCTGAGCGTTTGCGTGTGTTGTTGTGTGTGACCGAGTGAGCGTGTGTGAGTAGTAGAGACGTAGTGATTTGGGGTCTGGTCAACAGCAGCGAAAAAAGTAGTGGAGGGTCTGCTGAACGATTTCTGTGAGTGAGACGATAGAAAAAGGTCAACACGAGGATGGATAGGCAAGGTCTCATTTATTTTTGACAAAAGGAGCAAATGGTCATTGTTGCAAAACGGATGGAGATGAAAAGGGACATTTGAATTTGAATGGAACATAAGGTATCAAGGATTTGCATCAGAAGACATCATTTACAATATGGGAAATCATGAATTGGGTGGCTAAAGCTAAGTTGTACAGAGATATTTGAGCTAATTGTGAAAAGTAGAGTCGCTGAATGTGGTGTTTGTGATTTTTCGATGATTTGGAAAGGAATGAGAGATGGAAATGGTAAAAAACCAGCGGGTGAAGGAGAAAACGTTTGAAAAATGACAGAAAAATGACTAGAAATGGCTGGGAAATGAATTTGAATGCAGATGAGAATATGAGATTGATGAGTACAGTAGGGAAACGCAATGAAGCAAAATTAAACATGAAATTTTACTGGTTCTTGGAAGAATAATCATGGTCAACATGGGCGGAGGTGTTATTATAAACGATTGGCGGCATCTCCACTGGTCTGACTAGACGCCGCTGGACTGGACGAGCTGACATAGCATTGACTGGCCCATCTGGGAGCTGCCGAATAGGAGGAAAAGCTTGAAGAGCAGCGGTTCGAGCAGCTAGAATTTTCCCACCAGGACCATTGGTAACAATGTGCCCTTGACCAGTTCGGACCACACGAAATGGAAGGTTCGTGACGGGGCGCCCGACGAATTTCGGGAACGGACGAACTGAACGAATTGGCATTGGATTTGTTGAGATGGTGCTGGGTGGAATAGTGGATGGACGATATGGACGGTATGGAATGACACCATTTGGATGGATTCTGGCTTCTGGACGATATGTGTCTTCAAGAATGAGCGGTCCAGACTTCGGAATTTCCGGAAGAGTACGAGATACTGGGTAGGACATTTCCATCGTTGGGAATGATAATGGAGCCTTATGTCTTCCAGAAGAAATAGCACCGCCAGCCGAAGAGTGCTTTGGAACGACACGCACAAATCGAGGTACAGAAGAATGCACGACATGAGGCTCCGATCTGACTTGATGAATTGGTACTGGGGCTGGTGGTTGTGAAACACTTGTTGAATACCTAAAAAAAAGTTGAGGCAAGGAACCTAACAAGTAGATGCTCACTTTTGAAGAACAGGCATATCTGGCTCCAGCGGCAAAGCAAAACTGATTTTGTTTTGCAGACTCGCGTTGATATAATGACGTTTAGTGTTGGTTCCGTAGATGAATCGTTTCGTAATCAGTTCGAACATCGCGTCTGATTCTTCCAAACTCATTTTAAGGATAGGATCGTGTATAGTCGAATCGATTTCAACGTGGCTGCTCTCATTCGTGCTTACTGGAGCAGTGTCACCGTCCGGTGGCATGGGATATTTCTTTCCCTGTAAATAAATTGGTTTTTAGATAAACGTTTGCGGGTTTATTTCTTACAGAAAGAGTTGGGTGGAAGATGGTTCGTGCCAATTTCTTGATCTCCATATTTCTTTCTTCCAATACATGAGGAAGCAGTCCTTTCTCCTTGAGTTGATCTTTTAGGAATCCATAGATCAATCCGGAAACTACACGGTTCCACATACGGCGATTTTTCGGGTCGTCTGCCTTACCGGTGCCGGCTCCAAACACGGGATTCATATTCTGGAAAAAAAGTTAGTTGCGATCGTCTTGACTTTGCGCCTCACCAATGGCATTTGGTCGACGTTGTGAACCGCGACAAGATGCTTGCTCATAATATCAACGGTTCCAAAATACATTTTGTCTTCGCAAAGGAGACATTCATATGCAAAAAGCTCCGGGTGTCGCTCACATTCGTGGAACTCAATGGTCAATTGATTGGCGAACGCTGTCTCGCAAAACTTGCATTTGACTCGGTTGGATTGAATATCGCGAGTCATTGCTTTCCCTGAAATATAATAATTATGAAGAAGAGGTTTCCTAAAAATAATTACTCACTTTCATTCTCAATGTACTTAAGTTTCTTCTCGAGACATTTCTGCTGTTCCATGAGAATTTTGCCACATGCCGGTCCCTCATCCAAATCCAATTTTTCATCAAACCATTCCGCTTTTCTTTTCTTTGGGTAGCGCGGGTGGTTCTCCGTATCGGGAACGCCATACCCTTTAACTTTTACAGGAAGAACCAACGGTCTCTTTGGTGAGTTTTGAGTTTGACTGTCATTTTGAAGCGGTAATCCCATTTTTGCAGCTCTAGCTCGGATAAGCTCACGTTGTTGGTCAAATGACAATCCTTGTCTTTTTAGGACTGGTTTTCCACTATTTGGCTGTCCACAAGTTGACGGTACAGCAGTTATATATTGAACTGCAGAAGGACGTGTTTGAGTAACAACTTTGTGGACGGCGGGCGCAATGCTTCTGGCAATTCCTACCGGCGGAACGTGTCTAACAACAGTTGGAGCTGATTGAGCTGGCTGAACTGGCTCGGGAATCATCTCAGAAACAGATTTCGGTGGGGGTAGTTCATCAATGAATGCAGTGAACCGTTGCTGGACCTCTTTCGGTGTGTAACGAGGTTCAGGTGGCATTCCAAAATCAGAAATCGGCTCCGAACCACCCCATGATGGTTCTGAAACCTCCGTTTCCGATGGCGATACCATAGTTTGCGGCTGCATCTTCCCATTATTTGGCGCAATCGTGAGCATCTCATTGATATCCGACTGTCGTGCCATTGGAAACTGATGTCCAGTGTCTGCTGCCATTTCCAGTTCAGCAATCGGATCAATGCCGCTTGTGGTCGCAAAATTGAAATGGTCAAAGTAAGAGTTGTTCGGGTAATATCCGCTTAAACAGTCCTTTCCCATATCGGCAAACAGTGAATCTTCTGAACTGAACAATCCATATTCTTTCTCGTGTTCGGACGGTTCGGGGTCAGCGATTCTATGTGTTCCAAGAAAAGAGTCGTCAAAATAGTCTTTGAGTATTGATTCCTGATCAGACGTGTTGTAGATTAAGCCAGAGATAAATGGATCGTAGTTACTTTGTAGGTTAGAGTTACCCAGAGAATCGTTGCTGTTCAACATTTTTTTTATCTGCAAAAAAGAAGAATTTCACGGTGGGGTTAAACAAAGAAAAGAAAGGTAAGAGACCATGCAGAGGTGCAAAAATAATGGACAAGCTAATTATATAATGAAGAGCATCTGAGGTCAGCAGCTGAGATGCTAATAGGATACGTTCGAAAGGTCGTATCCATTAGCGTAAATGGCGGGATTTGTATGATTGCGCTACTGGAGAATGGTTTTTCTTATTTGAGACTCGAGAAAATGCAGAGAAATAAACTGTACACAAAATCGATGAACGGCAGGGAACACGTAAAAACAATCAGATTTATTAAAGAAATCTCTCGTGTTTTGTTGATCATCACAAAAAAATCTGACGCGGAAAGTCGAAGAAAACGCAAAAATCGATTGTGCACCACCAGAACAACCGAACACCACCCTTCACTGCCGTAGATAACTCATTTAAATGGCAGCGGCGGGAATAATCCAGTAGAGCGCGTTTGCACACTCTCTGTCCATGTCATCTCGTGTGTGCGTGTGTGACACAACGGAGAGCGCGAGACACTGGGGGCTTAGTGTACTCAACGTCTCCTAAACATAAACAGATACACACCACTTGCCATGTTTTTAATTAATAATTTGTCTTTCGAGAGAAATGAAATGACGGGAGAAAAATGGAAAGCTGTGTGCTTTATTGAAAATCAAGAGATGGAAAAACAACAGGGTGAATCAATAAGCATTTCATGTGATTTCGAATCGTACACAAAAATTGTCTGCGTGTGTGTATGTGAGACAAGTGCAAGAGGGGTTAGGTATAAGCCGAATAATTTATTATTTAGTGATGAAAAGAAAGTGAAATTTTATGCAAAAAAGTGAAGAAAACAAAACGGCGAACGTTTCTTCGTCTATAGAGAAGACGTCGTCCTATTCAACGACGGACATGCAGCGTCGAGACATGGATGGAGAGCGCGAGTTGTGTTGACTCCGAGCGAATAGAGAACTACGATTGTGGTTCTCGACTACGAATACGTTCTGCTTCATGACTTCGTCCTCTCCGATTCTGAATTAATGAGAATCAGATCCTGCTATACGAAAAGGCGGGCGTACCTATCAAAAATGAGACCATCTACATTCATTTCCTCTTTGAAATGTTTTTGAATATCTTTCGAATTGAGATCATCTCCCCATACGAACTTCACCAATCCATACTTTTCAGCGATTTCAATGGGGTTACGGTCCTAAAAACAATTTTTTTTTTAAACGTATTATTCAGTTGATTTTTGGCTTTTTCGGCCATTTTCAGGAGTCTGTAGCTTGCTTGTCAAGTTTCGAATCACTTTGAAATTTTTGGTAGAAGAAAAACAGACCTAGATTGATAGTTTTGCATCCACAAAGTACAAAAACGAGCAAAAAGGTTTGTTTATTAAAAATCTGCATAGAGCTGGAAATTTTAAAAATTTAAAAAATTCTGTGTATGCAACTTTTTCAATCTGGGTCTGTTTTACACTCTCCAGTTTTTCAAAATGACAAAAAACTTGACACAGGCGATCTTCTGACCTCTGAAAACGATCAAAATGGCCAACAATCAACGAAAAGTATGTTTTTGTAAATCATATTGTCTTTTTTTTAAGTGATATCTCCTTACATTCAATAATTCTTCACTATGAAAATTCACACCAAGGAGCTCACATCCAGCAGCAAAATTGGCTGCAATTTTAGAGCAATCAGATCGAATATCCTGAAATAAATATTCTCACTAATCTATGATTCTCTTTTCTATTGCATACTTGAAAAGGCATATATCTATTAGTGGCTCCCACGACGAGAAAGGAAACGGGATACTTGTGCTGCTTCTTGGTTATCCTGAAAAGAAATCTCGATTCAATGCAATTTCCTGCTTTCATTAGCAATTTACATCGTGCAGATGTCCGGCTCAAAGCAGGAAAACACAATTCTCCTGTTTCCGGCATGCTCGGCCACTTCTGCCAAGATGATGTCCACGAATTTGTTCTGCTCAAAGTATCCCTCGCATTCATGGCTTCCATCCTAGAAAATTGGTGTTTCATAATCCCCCTTTTAAATTCTTGTACCTTCATATACATTGGATATTTGATCTCAATATTCAATCCCACGTTCTCATCAACATTTCGCAGCACTTGTGCCAGTGAGGGAAAGGGTACGTGCAACTCGTCCGTCTCATTCTTGCTGGGTGTCACCGAGAGAGTCACGGGCGAGTCCGGCGCGGTGCCATTCGCACGAGAGATATGCTCAAAGTGCAGCAGTTTGAGTTGGGCCAGTGTCAGGTCCTGAAGAAAACAAAAAAGAGGTTGAGAAGAGAAAGGGGGATGAAAAACGAACTTTGATTGCAATCTCGTGTAGAGATTTGTTTTCACCGCCAGCTGTCGGTGTGCTTGATGGGGAGTCCCGGCCAGCAACAGTGACTAACAGATGAAAATCGTGGTACACGACAGTTTTGAGATCCTGGAAGTGTGTATTCCTTGATAAGTGGATGGAGTTAATACACCGTTAAAGGTGTAATGGAAGGGCTCCCACACTGTAAAACATGAGCTCAATTATCTCCATTCCTATGAAAGATATAGAAAAGGTGTCAACTAATACATATAATGTCCGTGATATTATGATAAAGAAGTAATCAGTTGAAAGCTTCTTTGTAGCTTTGAAAGGAACCGAAAAATATTGGCTCAAGCTTAAAGTTAGAGAGCTCTTCTGTTACAGGTTTACAGGTTTTATCGTATTACAATCTTTAGAATTTTCCAGATCATTCCTTTTCCAAACCAACTCACTTTTGTCAATTGTACATCCAATTCTACATAATCTGCACCTCTCCGAGCTGCCTCATTCAACGAGAAGATCGTGTTCTCCCGATGGTCAATGCTCCTAAACTCATTTTCAAAAAAAACTCGTCATTTCCAACTACAAACTTTGTATAGGAGCTGCCCATGCCGCGATGTCCAATTTGCAACATTCTGTTACGTTTTCTCCAATATCTTCCAAAAGTTTCTCTCATTGAATCAACTTCTGGATTCTTTTCAGCATACTGACTCCTTTTTACAATCATATAATTTACTGAAACTTTTAAATACGCTTAAAAGAGAAAATGTGGACCATACCATTAATATGTCCTACTGGAGCACTAGAGAGTCCAATAACCGGTGATACTGTAGCGCCATGAGTTCCTGACATGCTTGACGGAAGCACGTAGGACAGTGCACATCGCTTTTCTTTGTGGTAAAATTCTATACGGAAGGCTAGATTTTGCAGATTAACAGTTCTCGTCCGGAAAACCAAATAATCCAAGTCATTCCGGAAAACCGATCCATTGAAATATTGATCTCCAAAAATAGGGTCATCTCTTGTGAGCACCTACAAATATAGAAGGTTACATGAATGATTTATGATTTGCTCACAGAGAGGTCGGTGTTGGAAAAACATGGAAGTTCTGGAGTGGGCAAACTGACGACGTCTTCACCATCGATCTAAAAAATAAATTCTGAAAAATTAGGAAAACTGTGAGATGAGATGAATAGAGACTAGGTTCTTTTGCAACCACTAATCACAAGGACAACATTCAAACGTACAGACATCGAGGCATACACAGAGGAATGCCTCCAAATGCCACGTCTCCGGTCAGTAATATTTTTCGCTGAGTAAGAAAACATCTGGAAGTGTGGTTAGTTTTATTGAATCTGCTTTCAAAGTCTCCGAAGCTACCCACCTCACTGTATCTGACATCAAATGGTTCGACTTTCAGACGGTACTCTCGGTTCTGATAGCTTTTTGCGAAAAACTTGAGTGCCTCTCCATGAATCCGAAAATAGACAACACTTTCTTTATCGTTCAGTATCCATCCATCTGATATTTGTTTCCGTCCTCCATAACTTCCAAACTCATCTATCACATTTTCTCTAGCTATGAAATCCATACTTTCCACTCCAATCAGACATGACCGTGGATTATTCAGTGTTTCCCATCTGAAAATTACGTCCGAAACAGTTTTTAAAAAATTCAAAACTCACTTTGATAAAACCATAATTGGCTCGCATAAACTATTTTCCGAAGGATCTAAATACATCACCCGTAAGTATCGAAATTGGAATTCTTTCACTGTGCCAGGAACGCTGACCACTGCATGAAGGTGTCTCTGGAACAAATCGTTGTTAGTTGTTATTTCTTTTTTTAAAACATCGGAGTGGGCCTAATTTGTCTAAATTTGTAGAAAATCCGAAATTTTAGATTTTTTGGCTAGCTCATTTTTTGACAAAAAACGTTTAGTTATTATTGATGCATAAAATTTTATGAAAAAAAGGAAAAAAATTTACTAGAAACACAGCCCAAAAAAGACCGGACTGGGCTTAGAAACTTTTGAAAAAAAAGCCCGGCACGGATCTACGCACCCCGTTGCAAATATGTTCAAAACTTACTCCTCATATTCAGATTTTATCAGCGGAAACGATTTTCTGGGATTCCATTCTCCAAGGACAGGCAAGCTGCCCACCACATGGATTTTCTCCCATTCCTTAATTTCCGCACAGTGAACTTTGAAATGCGCTTTGTAGTCTTGGTCCATATATAAATCAGCTGCAAAAAAGTGTTGGAGTCAAAAATTTGGTCGATAAATTCTCGAGAATGAGAAGAAAGAATATGAAAATGTCATTCTCGGCAGCTGCGACACATTGATAAGAAGAGAGAAGTCGTTTTCTTATCGGAAATGACAAAGATATCATCTAGGAAGTGTCTAATGAGAAGGGAAACAAAGAATAGAAAAAAAGGTTCTATTCATTTTTTTCTTTCATTGGCTCTTCAAAACGCTTTGAATTGCGTCAAAAACAACGAACACAATTTATTAGGAGCCATTATGTGTTTTCAGAAGGATAGAAAGAGAGAGGATGTCTGGATGTCTCTTTTCGTGAAAACAAAATGAAGTTAGTATCTTTTTGCGGCCAGAGGGAAGTGGTGAAAGTGCTTATAAAATATATCGAATTTCAATTTTTCCCGGCTAACCGAATTTTTTGACGTCACAAACATTTTTCATGGGGAAATAGATTAGAGGAGCACAATTTTCATCTATTTATTTCTCGCTAAACGCTTCTTTTTCTTTCTTTTTTTGCTTCTTCCATTCGTCACGAGCCACCAGTTAGTTTTTATTTTTCTGGATCGATGAAACGAAAAAAAAGAAAAAAGAAAAAAGGATGATGGACTCTAGGGAGTTGGAAGCACCAAGTCCAAGCGCAAAAGCATAAAAAAGAAGAAAAAGCATAGAAGACAGAGGAAGAAATAGAAGAAGACGAAAAAACCGCGTGAAGACGCCTTGTGTATGCTTCATTTTAAATGTACCCGTAGACGAAGCCTAGAATTGGACTGTCATGCGTACATCATTTTCCTCATTTTCCACGCGGTGAGAGGAGGTTTAAAATGAGTGAGGGAAGTGGACAAAACGTGTCACGAACAACAGGTTGATGGATTTCAGTCGCCACGTGACTATATCATTCACGTTTTTTGTCCCAAATGACATTGACAAAGATTAGCGTGACCCAACAAAAAGGAATTTGCTGGAACTTGATTTTTCTGATCCTTTTCAAGGTTTCAAAACGTCAAATTTGTAGACATTCAGCCTAGTCGAAACGCGAAAGAACCCGGCGATTTCTGAGTACACCCTGTCCTCAACATTAAACACTTGAATCAACACTTCTCTTCTTCCCAGTCTCCATGCAAATACGACAACTGTTGCCCGTCCGAAAATTTTTGATTTTGACAAAAAAACCCCCACCCTGAAAACTTTTTACTGACTTTGAAAAGCAGAGTTACGAGACTTCTTGCTCGTTATGAAGCAAAAATTGAGTCAAAAATTCTTTTTTGAGAAGCTACACGATTTATTCTTGAATAAGAAAAAAAATCAGCATTACATTAGTGGAGAGAATCAGCTTTACATTTTTTTTGGGTTCAATAAAAATTAGAAGAGACATTTGCTTTGAGAAATAGACAGTTCATGAGACATTTAAGCCTTGGTGGCGATGTAGGAGATGAGGTCGACGACTCTGTTGGAGTATCCGAACTCGTTGTCGTACCAAGAGATGAGCTTGACGAAGTTTGGATTGAGAATGATGGATGCTCCAGCGTCGAAGATGGAAGAGTGAGTATCAGAAACAAAGTCGGTGGAGACGACCTGGTCTTCGGTGTAGGCGAGAACTCCCTTGAGTGGTCCCTCGGCGGCAGCCTTGACAACCTTCTTGATGTCATCAAGGGAAGCTGGCTTCTCGAGACGAGCAGTGAGATCAACGACGGAAACGTCTGGGGTTGGGACACGGAAAGCCATTCCGGTGAGCTTTCCGTTAAGCTCTGGGATGACCTTTCCGACGGCCTTGGCAGCTCCAGTCGAAGCTGGGATGATGTTTTGTCCAGCTCCACGTCCGTCTCTCCAGAGCTTTCCTGATGGCCCGTCGACGGTCTTCTGAGTAGCGGTGACGGCGTGGACGGTGGTCATGAGTCCCTCGATGATTCCGAAGTTGTCGTTGATGACCTTAGCGAGTGGAGCAAGGCAGTTGGTGGTGCACGAGGCGTTGGAGATGATGTGATCATTGGCATGATCGTACTTCTCGTGGTTGACTCCGACGACGAACATTGGGGCGTCAGCAGATGGAGCAGAGATGATGACCTGAAGATGAAATAGATTTAAGAGATTCCTAAGCAGTCTGAATAATACCTTCTTGGCTCCTCCCTTCAAGTGAGCGTTGGCCTTCTCGATGGTGGTGAAGACTCCAGTGGACTCAACTACGTAATCGGCTCCAGCGGATCCCCATTGGATCTCAGCTGGGTCTCTCGAGTTGTAAACCTGAAAATTACCAAGTTTCCGAGGAAGGGGAGTTTTCTATGTTACCTTGATCTTGTGCTGGGACTTTCCTTCCTTGGCGACAAGGAGGTAGTCTCCTTCGTGGGCGACGGTTCCCTTGAAGCGTCCGTGGGTGGAATCGTATTGGAACAAGTAGACCATGTAGTCGATCGAGATGAATGGATCGTTGACGGCAACGACGTTGACGCTGTCTTTCTCGACGGCGGCGCGGAGGACGAGACGTCCGATTCTTCCGAATCCGTTGATTCCAACACTTGGCTTCGACATGGCGGCACGTAAAAACAGTTTCCCTAAATAACAGATTAGAAATAAGAACGGTAAACAAGAGACAAATCAAAAGATGCAAAGGTAAAAATTCTCGAGACAAACGAGTGAAAAAAGAAATTGATAAATGGCAATAATACAATATACAACCTTTATTGGAGAAGAGACCATATAAATACTTGTAAGCATCTACTGGAAAGTAAGAAGCTGAAGAGAAAACGCATAGCGCGTGTAAGAAGCGGGTATCTATCGGTGGGTTGGTGGGAAGAATGGGCTTAGGCCTTGGTGGCGATGTAGGAGATGAGGTCGACGACTCTGTTGGAGTATCCGAACTCGTTGTCGTACCAAGAGATGAGCTTGACGAAGTTTGGATTGAGAATGATGGATGCTCCAGCGTCGAAGATGGAAGAATGAGTATCAGAAACAAAGTCGGTGGAGACGACCTGGTCCTCGGTATAGGCGAGAACTCCCTTGAGTGGTCCCTCGGCGGCAGCCTTGATGACTCTCTTGATGTCGTCAAGGGAAGCTGGCTTCTCGAGACGAGCAGTGAGATCAACGACGGAAACGTCTGGGGTTGGGACACGGAAAGCCATTCCGGTGAGCTTTCCGTTAAGCTCTGGGATGACTTTTCCTACGGCCTTGGCAGCTCCAGTCGAAGCTGGGATGATGTTCTGTCCAGCTCCACGTCCGTCTCTCCAGAGCTTTCCGGATGGTCCGTCGACGGTCTTTTGGGTGGCGGTGACGGCGTGGACGGTGGTCATAAGTCCCTCGATGATTCCGAAGTTGTCGTTGATGACCTTAGCAAGTGGAGCAAGGCAGTTGGTGGTGCACGAAGCGTTTGAGATGATGTGGTCATTAGCATGATCGTACTTCTCGTGGTTCACTCCGACGACGAACATTGGAGCGTCAGCAGATGGAGCAGAGATGATAACCTGGAAACGGAATACGTTAGAGGATTTTCTCGTAATGTGCTTGAAATACCTTTTTGGCTCCTCCCTTCAAGTGAGCGTTGGCCTTCTCGATGGTGGTGAAGACTCCAGTAGACTCGACAACGTAGTCGGCTCCAGCGGCTCCCCATTGGATCTCAGCGGGGTCCTTAGAGTTGTAAACCTGCAAAGGGTAGAGTTTTGACTCAGCCATGAAGTCATGTAGCTTACCTTGATCTTGTGCTGGGATTTGCCTTCATTGGCAACAATGAGATAGTCTCCCTCGTGTTTGACGGTTCCCTTAAAACGTCCGTGGGTAGAGTCGTATTGGAACAAGTAGACCATGTAGTCGATCGAGATGAATGGATCGTTGACGGCAACAACGTTGACGCTGTCCTTCTCGACAGCAGCGCGGAGGACGAGACGTCCGATTCTTCCGAATCCGTTGATTCCAACAGTTGGCTTCGACATGATGGCTGAAAAATGCCACTACTACAATCACATCTAAAGGCACACAGACACACGAGGGTTGAAAGTACGAGCGATCGAAGTGTGAATCGAATGGAAATGATGAAAAAGAATATGCGAAAAGAAACCATGAAAACATGTTTACTGGTTGAGAGAAAACATGGGGCCGAAGGCAAAAAATGATGCAATGGGATGAAGGCAAGATGAAGAAATTCGGATGGAGACTAGAAAAAAAGAGGAGAAGAGAAAAGTATGCATAAGAAGAGAAAGCGAAAAACTGAAAAAGAAGAAAAGAATGATGCAAAATAGAACTGCGCCTTTCTGGGAAAAATGGCTGGCTCTCGTTCTATTTCCCGTGTCCTTTCTCAATCTCCTTCAGGCGTTGTTGATGTTGTTGAAGAACCTGCAAAAAAACTTGGCATTGAAAAATATAAGTGACGAGATGGATGGATTGTTTGTGAAAACCGAAACGACTGCCTGCTCTAGTTCTATCTGTCTCTCCGGTCATTTCTCTAACGTATCAAGGTCAACTAGTGTAAACGAGAGTCCCCGCTAGTCTGTTTTGAAGTTTCTAGAACACGCCACATTTCGCAGATAAGAGTTTAGTGTGTGTACGTCAGGTGACATCAAAGATTGCAAATTGATTATCTTTTAATGATAATAAAACAATTTCTAAACAACACACCTTGTCATGATCCTGAATCTCTTTTTGGCGTTGGTTCATATCTGATTGCAGCTTGCTCTTCAGGTTGTCCAACTGCTCCTTTTGTTGCCGTCGGAAGTATTCCTCTTCTCTAGTGGCACCTAGCATCCCGAGTGATCCTCCAGCTTCTCGAATCGCACCACCGTAGCCTCCTCCACGACCAACACCACTTCCACTACCAGAGCCGGACATGTTTTCAGATTAATCTTCTGAAAAACTAGATGTTGTTAATCCGCTTATCTCGTTTCTATGGAGCGAAATTGGATAAGAAGCTACTGCGAGTCGTAAACAAGTTTAGCCTCTTGTAGGCTAGAGAGCAAAGGCTTTTCTATATTAAACGAAGCAAAAAAGGAGAAACGAGAAAATCGCTTGGAGCAAAAAGAGAGCAGCAGATGTTTAGCGGGCCCCACACTCACACACAGACAACAATCTCAAGGAATAGTGGAAAAGGTTTGCCGAAGATGATGCAAACAGGCACCCCGAAAACAAATTTCACAATGCGAGTGGTGTTTCAATGGCCGGGGGAGACCTCCCGAGAGGACAGCGACCGCCCATTTTTTGCCGTCCCCAATCGATTTTGTTTTTTAAACACAAAAAAAACGTCGCTCCTCCCCGGTGGGGCACCGAACGCGCATACTCGTGTGTAAACTCTCTGTGACTCTCTGACGGAGTAGAAAATAGTACGCAAAATTCGGAGGGCAAGACACTTGAGAGAAATTTTGGGGGCGCCCGTGAAACTACTCTTATCAACACAAACAACGTTGAAGGCTGACGCGAACAAAAGAGAATTCGTAAACATCTTTTTTCTCATAGTGAAACATCAAAAATGACCAACCTCACAATCCATTGTATTGAAAGTGTGTTTCCGGAGCAGCTCCTTTTTGAAAAAGTTGGTTGCTTGGAAGAAGTCAAAGCGGACAGTGGGGAGCCGTCGTCTGGAGACGAGGGGAACATAGAGAGTGAGAGTGAGTGGAGCGGCTGGGGCGGGCAGCCACACAACCAATCTACTGCGAAAAAAAAACAGAGAGGGCCAACTGCGAGAGTGTGCCTGCAGTTGGCCAATCGATGTGGGATGCCCAGCGACGTCGCCGCTCACGATTGCTGGTCATTGGCACGTACGCTTCGGCACAGAGAAGTGACAGGAAGACGGCGAGAATAAGAAGAAGAGATTTGAGCCAGCTCTTCGAGCAACTTGGTTTCACTATTCTTTTCTTCTTTACAGAAAAAAAGTTGATGATAAAAGACAAGAGAGAATAACAAAATATTCGAGAAGAAAGGGGTTGTCGAAAGATCAAACCCGGGTGGAGAAGATTGGGAATAAAGGAGGCGGGGAGAAAAAAGAAGAACCGAGAAGAAAAAAGTTAATTTCGGTGACCACAGAGAATGTTCGATATCACTTATCACAGATCACAGAATGCTGATCAGACAAACAAGGTTTTTAAATCACATAAAAAACAAGATATAAGCAAAAAACTTTTTTTATTCATCTCGGTTTTTTTTTGGATCTCACAATATACCGTAAATGCTTTAATGGAAACCCACCCGATAATTTTGAGCTCAATTATCTTTGTTCCTGAGAAAAATATCAAAATTCTGTCAACTGATAAACTATTGGTGATGTTATTATGAATAATTTATCAGTTTACAACATTTCGATATCTTTCTCATAAATCGAGATGAACTGGCTGGAAGATGACGGTTTGGTAATGGTAAATAATCTGATGGACCCTGTACTTTGAGCTCAATTATTTCAAATTCCAAGCAATATGTCAAAATGTGTCAACTGATGAAATATTGGGGATATTATGATAAACAGTTTATCAGTTGACAACTTTTTATATTTTCGACAGAAAATGAGATAAGTTTGTTCAAATTTATCTGTTCGGAGTGATATCTAAAAAAAGACAACTAAAATAACAACAAAAACGTGAGAAACTGAAAATATTGTTTAGTGAGACTGAACTTTTCATTATTTCAGACTAGTGGAGTTAATACTATTTGAGTATACGTGAAAAAATCAAAAAAAAACTAACAGCTGTCATAAAAATGTGTTTTGCACTTTTTTCTCGTCAAAAAAAGAAGATTATAAAACCAAAAACACGAGATCAAGAAATCACTGACTAATTCAGTATTCTAGTTTCAAGCTAAATCAGATGAAAATTTGAAAATCTAATCTTCAAAGATCAGAAGATCAATTCGATCGAATTCACTGAAATTCAACCGGTTTTCTCTGATGTTTCAATGACATCAAAGAATAACAATTGTGTGCAGAAGATACAAAAACACACCATTAATCGAAATTTGATAACAAGTGTTGATGTTTCATTTCTATTCTCGTATCATTTTGAATAGAGGTCATCAGCATTGGCAGCTATAAATATTTATTCCATCTTCTTCATCGTTATATGTGTGCGAAAGCTTTAGTCAAGTTAAAGAAAATAAATCAGCATTGAATTTTAGAGAAAAGGAGTACTGGAAAAAGCATATACAACAAAACGAAAAACGACAAATTTCATCACGGAATGGGGGGACAACATGAGAAATTGGTCAGATTGGTTTTTGTATGGACAGTACTGGAAAACGGTGGCAGGATTTGTTCTCGAGAAATGGAATCCATTCATAAAATCAAGATTAGTGCTTTGTAGTGTGAAAACTATGCTAACATTTTCAGAGAAGAATGTGGAGGTGTGGATTTTCAGATGAGTCATATAAAGGGACAATAATATAGCGATAGGGCAAATAAGCATACTTTTGCATTTTTTGTAGAGGGAAATTTGACAAAGCTAAAGAAAAATGTGTTGTTAGGGGAAGGAAAGGAGAGAAACAAGTGACCAGTGAGAGGAAGAAGAACATTAACGAAGAAAACAATTTGTATATGACACAGGCGATTAGCTCTGGAACAAGGCGTGCACGAATTGCTCGTAGTCGAGACCTCCTTGGATGGCACGTCCCGAAATAGTGTCCGTGTACGGCTTCATTCGCTTTATGCAGAATTCGGCTTGTTCCGGTGTTAGGTTCTGAAAAATAACAATTGAAACGATCCTATGAAAATAAGTGCTTACCGCGTAGAGCTCCTCTGCCGTGACATATGGTCGGAATTCCTTCGAGAGCGCTCTGAATGCCATCTCGATTTCCTCCGACGATTGAATGTTCTCGGTTTCCTTGCTGATCATGAATGCCATGTACTCTTGCAGAGTCACATAACCATCTCTGTTCGGGTCGACAATATCCAGAATTCTCTGGAACTCTGGTTCTGGCTGTCCTTCGTCCACCATCGGCAGATCGTATCCAAGCGCTCGCAGACAGCTCTTGAATTGTTGGTGGTCGAGTCTTCCAGTCTTCTCCTTGTCGAAATGTTTGAACATCATTGAGAATTCTCTGAGGGCTTCTTCTGTGACTCCTGATTGGTTTCTGGCTTGGATCTGTTGTTCTAAATTGTGCTGCATTCGCATTGCCAACTGATCTAACTGGTCCCATGCTTGTGCAATACCGACTGTCGAATGTTCAGTGTACCTGGAAAGAAAGTTGAACGTATTGGTTTTTTCTGGCAATTTTTATTTACCTATTGTCCAGGATAAGGTTTCTTTCTAACATTGCTCCCTTGTCTTCAATCTGTCGCAGCTGAACTTTGTTTGCCTTGATTTCCTTGGCTTTCTTCTCAACTGCATCCAATTGTTCTTCTAGGGTACCTCCGGCTTCCATCATCTGAAAAATAACAAAGATCATAATCAAAACTTTTTGCACTTGCAGTACAAACCTCTTGTCTTGTGTTTGTCAACCAGGTGTGGAAAGCATTGGCCAACTTGGCGAACTCGCGTCGAAGTTTGTCGTTCTCCTCCTGTCTTTGATGCTCTTTGGCAAGCTCCTGCTCGCGCTCTTTGATGATTCTCTGCAGATTGCGCCACGTGTCTTCGAGGGCATCCATGGTGAACCATGTGTAAGGGTTTGGACCCACATTGAACGACTTGATCCGACGATCAAGATCTTGGAGTTGGCGGAAGTCCTCTTCAGCGGAGGACAATGAGCGCTGGAACTCAGCATGGGCGTCGCGCAAAGCACGGATCTCTTCCAAAGAGTTGCATCGGACTGGATCGGTCAAGTCCTCCTCAGCGTTCTCAAACCACGAGTTGAAGGTGGATGCCTTCTTGGCGAATGCCAAGTAGAGCTCCTCGATTTGCTTGAATTGCTGTTGCATCTTCAACAACTTCTGGCGGCGGGCCTCGGAATGGGAGAGAAGGTTTTGCCAGCGTTGGATAACATTGGTATGGCGTTTCTCGATAGCTGGGGATTGTTGGTGGGAGCTGTGGACAAGTTGGTCCTTGAGCTCGGTGATTCTGAAAATAAAAGCGTTGCATTAAGAATTTACTATGATAAAACAAACCTCTGAATTCCCTCGTGCTCAAAAGCATTGAGACCAGCGTCGAAGGCTTCTTGCTTGGTGAGAAGGATCTGGACGGATGAGAGATCTCTTCCGAAATCCTCGGAGCGGACTTGTTGCTCCTTCTCGGCGATCCACGACTCAACGACGTCGCACTTCCACATGAATTGAAGGTAAGCAGAGTTGTCGCGAAGCTTGGCAAGACGTTTCTCGGCCATGCTCTCAATCTCAACGAGACGAGCCCGGAGTTGATCGCATCTTTGTCTGATGTGTGGAGCGTGATGATTTCCATTCTGGATGAGATCGTCCCCCTTGCCAATCAAGTCAGCAACACGTTGCTTGTGAAGCTCCAAATCGACTTGGAAGGTGTCGTGTTTCTTGAGAAGTCCTTGAACTCCGGCCATGTTGTCTCCAAAGTTGTCGGATCCCAAGATTTGTTGCTTCTCGTTCATCCATGCTTCCTCCTCTTCGACATCTCCCAAAAACGCTTGGAAGGCCTCGGACTCATCAAGACGTTGGTGACGGTTTCCAGTGAGATCACGGATTTGTCCCCAGCTTTGTTCCAAATCTTCCATACGCTTCTTGATTTGATCTTCTCCAACTCCAGCTTCAGCAGCGGATCTCAATAGTTCCTCTCCCTTCAGCTTGACAAGAGAAACTTGTGGCTCGTGAGAAGCCAATTCGGTGTCAATACGACGATGCTTGCGGCGGAGGTTTTGAACTCCAGGAAGATCACGTCCGTAGTCATCAGAAGAAACAAGAAGCTTTTTCTCCTTGATCCATGACTCCTCATCATCAATATCACGGAAGAATTGATGAACATTGAGAGCCTTGCTCAACTTGTCCCGACGATCGGCAGCCATCTTCTTCACTCCGTCGTAACGGTCAGCAATCAACTTTCTTCTCTCAGCAATTTGTTGTCCTTGGAATTGGTCATTTTCAAGGAGGGAGTCAGCTTGCTCGTTCATTTCTCCGACACGATCTTGATGAGCGGTGATGTCAGCTTCAAGAAGGGAATGCTTCTTGAGAAGGTTCTCGACTGAAGCCAAGTCCTTTCCATAGTCCGCAGATTGAAGTAGAATCTCAACTTCTCCCAACCAGAACTCGAGGTCCTTGACAGCAGCCATGAAACTCTTTTGCTTGTTGGCTTCCTTGAGGCGGTAACTCTTCTCGGTGGTGGTCTTGACAAGAAGGTCCCATTGATCGTTGAGGGCCTTCAGACGAGCACTGACAGCAGCTTCACCACCTCCACACTTGGCATTCTCAATAAGGTTGTTTCCAGCTTGGATGATAGCGGCGATTCTGTCCGAGTTGGCGTGGAGCTCTGCTTCGAAGGCTTGTTGCTTCTGGTGTTTCTGTTGGATGTTGGTTGGGTCGCGGTAGTTCTCCTCTTGAGCAATTTGGAACTTCTCGGTCATCCAGTTCTCGATCTCATCAGCATCACGACTGAATTGTTGAAGAGTTTGAGACTCTCCAAGCTTGGATCTCTTCTGAATGAGAGCCTCCTTGAGTCCATTCCATCTATCAAGGATTTGATCACGCTTGCGAGTGACAGCTGGTGAGTCGTAGTGGTTATTCTTGATGAGCGACTCAGCGAACAGTTTCAATCCCTTGATCTTCTCCTCTTGAGTGTTGATGGCCTTGTCGAAGTCCTCGTGCTTCTTGATCAAAGACTCAACATTGTCTCCAGATGGGTCTTCTTGAGCCAAGAAAGCTTCACGAGCAGACATCCAGGTATCAGCTTGCTCGCAATCACGGTAGAAGAGTTGCAGCTCCAAGCATTGGTCGAGGATGTTACGACGAGCAACCCAGGCGTCCTCAAGTCCCTTGCGAGCCTCGTTGACACCTTGAAGACGGTTCTCAATGTCACCTGCAGCGTAGTGGTGGCTGTTAAGAAGTTGGTTTCCAAATTGGTCGAAAGCTTGGAAGGTAGCTGCACGGGAGTCAATCTCGGTACGGTACTCTTGATGACGTTCGAGAAGTGCTTCGGCTCCAGTAACGTCATTGGCTAGTTCTTGACTGCTAACGAGTTGGTTCATGGAAGCAATCCATTGCATCAAGTCACGGTAATCAGACAAGAAGCGTTGGTAGTCATACGAATCGAGAAGCTTCTCCTTGCGGTTGTTGGCCTTAGAGGTAAGGCGGTTCCATTGCTCATTGAGCTCACGTTGCAAATCATAGATCTGCTCGGCGGCTTCTGGGTGGGATTGGCGAAGACGATTGGCCTTCTCATCCAAAGACTTGATCTTGTCTCCGAGAGCAGCCAAATCACGCTCGACTCCTTCATGCTTACGCTGGAGAGCCTGAACGGAACGGAGGTCACGTCCAAAGTCCTCGCTGTCAAGGGCATCATCCTTCTCTTGTATCCAGTCACGAGTCTCATCGACATCACGGTGGAAGCGTTGGACTTCGTGGGCAGATCCGAGTTGTTGCTCACGTTGCTCGGTTTGCTCCTCCAATGCACGCCATCTGTAATTCAAACATTGTCTTCAATTCCATATTTCATCATTATTACCTGGCATTAAGGTCTTCGATTTGTTGACGAATGCGGACAGCGGTCTCGGTTTGTCCAACAGAAGTGAGAGCGGTGGCAATTTGGTTCATCTCTTGGAGACGGACCTCATTAGCCTTGAGATCTCCCTTGAAGTCATCAAACTTCTTTTGGAGCACCTCGACTTGCTCGAGATCAGTACCAATTTCTTGTTGAGCGGCAACAGCCTCCTGAAAACAGAAAAATGATCATTCTCATTTTCAACACATCACGAGCATCAAGTCCACAAAGCTTGGATACACAAGTCAAAAATGTTTGACCACAAATTAGAATAAATAATTTCTTTTACACAAAGCTTGAATGATCGTTCCCAAAAAAATTCACAAATAATAATAAAAAGAGAGCCACCATATCATACTTATTCATAAATTTACACACCACTGCCTTTCCAAATAATATTCAAAATCATATATAGAAAAATATGGAGACAATGTATAACCAAAATTCGATTTGAAAAAATTTCTTTCATTTTCTCCCAAACTTACTTCTGCCATGTTAGTCTAAAATTTGGTTAGAAGGGTTAGTAATAATGTTATAGTTCACGATAGTTCACTCACGCGGCTCTTGATCCATTCAGCAAGATCGTTGGCCTCACGAAGAAGTTGGTATCCCTTGCAGGCTTCCTCGAGCTTGCGCTTTCTGGTCTCTCCGAGCATCATAAGACGTTGGTACTTGTCCTCGATTTCAGATTGTTTTCCTCCGATGGAGTTGACCTGAAAAAGACAAAAAATGAGCTGAAATTTGAACCTGTTGTATATATACCTGTTGTTGAGCATGTTGTTGAGCAGTTCCTGGCTCGATTCTCTTCACATAAGCAGCTGGAACGAATCCTTGACGATCGTTGACCTCAACCTTCCACCAGTCCTTGTTGCTAGCGTTGAGAAGAGTGAGAACGTCTCCCTTCTTCATGGAAACCTCACGTGGAGATTTCTCCTGGTAGTCGTACAAAGCCAAGACACAGTCACGTCCCAACTGTCCCATTGGTTGCTCCTGGTACTTGCATTGAGAAGCTTGCTTACGAAGATCCTCAATGGTTCCCTTGAAAGCTTCCAAGTCAGACAACAGAGCACGGTGCTTCTTGAGAAGGGCCTCAGCCGAGTCTTCATCCTTTCCATAGTCGGTGGATCCAACGATTGGTTCCTTCTCACTCATCCAAGCGTCAGCCTCGTTGGCATCAGACAAGTATTGATGGGCTTGAAGGGAGTCATCGAGTTCTCCACGTCTCTTTTCAGCCTTGCTCTTGAGGATTCTCCAGTTGTCGCGGAGTTGAGCAAGCTTGTCACGGATTTCTGGAGCCAAGAAGTGACCTTGTTGGATCATATCATTGGCAGCGCTGCTAACGCTCTCGATTTGGCTGTCATGGTTGGCAATCTCAGCGATCAGAGCCTGTTGTTTTTTGATCAAGTTTTGAACTCCGATCAAGTCACGTCCACGGTTGGTCGATCCAGCAACCTGCTCCTTCTCACGAATCCAAGCCAACTCGTCTTCGATGTCACGGAAGAGTTGGTTACCTTGAAGAGATTCTCCAAGCTTTCTCTTTCTCTTCTCGAGTGGATCACGCAGAGCATTGTAGCGTTGTTGGAGAGCCTCCTGCTTGCGAATGATGACTGGAGCGTTGAAGTGTTCCTCCTGATGGAATTGTTGAGCGAGGTTCCTGATTCCGTCAACACGATCGTTGTGAGCGTTGAAATCAGACTCGAGGAGTCCAATCTTCTTCTGCAGGTTTTGAACCGACACCAAGTCCTTTCCATAGTCCTCCGAAGCAACTTGTCCTTCAAGCTCGCTGAGCCACAACTCAACATCCTCAATGTTGCGGTTGAATTGTTGCTCGTTTCCAGCTTCACGGAGTTTGGCTCCCTTCTTATTAGTGGCATCGACCAACTCATTCCAGAGGTTGTTCACTTGGCGAAGACGGTCACCGATCTGAAATTCGTAACACTAATTTCTAAAAGAAAAAAATTCAAACTTACATGGTCAGCGGCAAAGTGTCCACTCTCAATGATCTGTTCTCCAGTAGAGCGAATGTCATCAAGACGGTTCTCATTAGCTCTGAGCTCTTGCTCGAAGTTGATATGCTTCTGGAGCTTTCCACGAATGTTTGTTGGGTCCAAATAAGAATCGTCACGAGCGGTCGAGAGCTTCTCGGTGATCCAGCTGACCATCTCGTCGCAGTCACGGTCGAAGGTCTGACGCTTGTAGCTTTCTTTGAGAGCATTTCCACGTTGACGAGCTCTGTCGAGAAGACGACGACGGCGGTCAAGAAGGGCCTGACGTCTCTTAGCGACATCATCAGCGGCGTAGTGTTGTCCTTGAATGAGCTTTGTAGCAAATTCATCAAGAGCGTTGATCTTCTCCTCTTGAGCAGCAAGAGACTTCTCAAAGTCCTCGTGTTTCTTGATGAGATGCTCGACAGAGTCCAATGAGTCTCCCAAGTCAGTGTTAGCAAGGAAGGCTTCCTGCTTGTTCATCCAAGTCTCGGCTTGCTCGGTGTCACGGTAGAACAGTTGAAGGTCCATGCATTGCTCGTAGAGAATGCGGCGTTCCTCCCACAATCCAAGAAGAGAAGACTTCTCAGCTTCGAGCTTCTCAAGTTTCTCTCTCACTTCTGGGCTTTCTGGAATTCCCATCTCGACAAGCTTCTGTCCAGCAGCAGCAGTCTGGTTGAAGGAATCAGCACGAGCATCGATTTCTCCCTTGTGCTCCTGATGGCTTTCAAGGAGGGCTTCAGCTCCGGCGACGTCCTTGGCCAACTCATCGGCTCCAATGACAGCCTTCATGTCTCCAATCCAACTGATCAAGTCACGATAGTCAGCGAGGAAGCGGTGAAGTTGGAAGCTTCTCTCGAGACCATCCTTACGGTGCTGTGCTTTGTTCTTGAGTGCATTCCACGCTGATCTGGTGCTATCATTCTTCTGGTGGATAGCCTCTCCACGGTCTGGATGAGTCTCGGCAAGCTTGACAGCTTCCTTCTCGAGCTGAAGCATCTTTCCTTCCAAAGCAGCAAGATCACGTTCGGTTCCCTCGTGCTTACGTTGAAGGGCTTGAACGTTGTTGAGGTCTCTTCCATAGTCGTCACTTGACAAAGCCAAGTCCTTCTCTCCAATCCATGCTAGAGTCTCATCGGCATCACGGTTGAATCTTTGTACCTGATGAGCTCCAAAAAGTCCTTCCTTGCGGGTGACGGCAAGGGTATTCAAACGGTGCCAGGCGTCGTTGACATCGTCACGTTTCTTGTAAATCTGATCATGCTCGGAGTGTCCCTCCTCGACGAGCTTATCAGCGGCACCGTTAATTTCATTAATTCTATATTGATGGTTGTTGAGTTCTTTCAAAAAGTCGTCAAATTTGCGTTGAAGGATCTCAACGTGCTCGAGATCCATTCCCATGTCTTCTGCGGTGACATAGGTTTCTTTCTCTCGAATCCAGTAGAGAACTTCGTCGCATTGACGAATAAAATGCAAAAGTTTAAGAGCTTGTTGTAGCTTAATTCCCTTGTCCTTCAGTTTGAAGAAGAGCTTGTCCCATAAAGCGTGCAACTCTTCCAAACGTCTCTGAAAATATTAGAATGACGGTTGGTCTGGAATAGTTTCTAGTCTACCTTGATGTGATCGCTTGCGAAATGATTATGTTGGATCATGGCGTTTCCGGTCTTATCGAGGTTGGCAATGGTCTTGGCGTGAGCCTGCACCTCAGCTTCGAACGCTTCATGCTTTTGAATCTTGGCCTGAAAATCATTTTTGTTGTTTTGTTGTTCTTTTTTTGCTTCAGCTTAATCCGATTTCTTTCTTTCTTCTAAAACCAGTTCTCTCTTCCAATCCACTTATGTGTACGTCAGTTACTCTAAATCAAAAAATTATAATCGCCTTTCATCTACTACCGAGTAAGATACTCGGAGGGACGCTTATCACTCCACCAGTTTCGTATCCAATAGGATCAAGAGGGGTCACAATAGTTCCGATTACGCTGTTTGGTATGTGTCAAGGACGACTACTCCGTTCGTCTTTTTCATCCGTACCGTTCCCATCCGTCAGATCGGGATTTCCGATTAGAAAACTGTCGGAAGAGACAGGGGAAATTGTAATTATGAATAACGGAGGATTTATATAATTTGGCCATTCAAAAATACTTTTCCATCTTAATCAAGTTAGATGGGGGACCCTCTTTTCTCTTTCGGTGAAACCCAATTGTTTATACATGAAGTACATTTTCAAGGCTCTAATCTTCAGCAAGTGGTTGTGTCCCTTCGCTGCTCACAAAATCTGTTTTCCCCTCAGAAAAAGAATAAAAAGAGAATGGGACCCCCTAATACTTTTTGTTGGTGCGTGTGTATGTGTGTGTGCGCTGCGCCTCTATCTGTGTCCCCATTGCCCAAAAACGATGGCGGCTGAGCTCCCCATGCTCTACAACAACGTTTCACTACGCCCACAAACAAGGAAAGAAAGAATGGAACCCAAAAGCTGGAGTCTCAAGGGAAAATAAACGAAGAGGAAGAAGAGGAGTTGGTGTGCGCGGAAAGAAGAGTTGTCGTCAAAAAAAGAGAGGGGACCAAAAACATTTTCAATTTTCTGGAGCTGGTGAATGATGAATGATTTGGATTGGGAGAGAGAGTTTTGGCGGGAAGATGATCAATTTTTTGAACTAACCTGAAGATTGCTAGGATCTCTGAAGTTCTCCTCTTGGGCTGTCTGAAGCTTCTCGAGAATCCAAACATTCAACTCATCAGCATCTCTGAAACACAAATTCTTTAAGAAAGCAAGTCAAAACACTCACCTTTTGAAGTATTGAAACTGACGAGCCTCCTCGAGACGATCCCTCTTGGTCTGCGAATGATCCTTGAACAGCGAATAGTGTCCCAGCACTTCCTGACGACGCTGTTGGATGTCGTCCGCTGTCTCTAAAATTCGAATCTCCTGTGGTGGTGGAACTTCGAGCACCGGCTCCGGTGGAGCATGAGTATCATTCGAATCGGCCATAATCTTATTTCGCTGAAAAACACAGAAACGGTTCGATGAGAAAGAAGAAAAAGAGGAAGAGAAACCAGGAAGAGACTATAAAAGAACCCGAAACAGAAACAAATGAGCAAATAAATGATGCCAAGAGCTTCATAGAGGGATAGATACAACGTGGAAACAAATACTGTGGAAAAAAAGAGAGAAAGAGAATGCTCAAATTAGATGAGCAAGAGAAGAAAACAAAGCTGGAGGAAATAGAGAAAAAAAATGCGGAAACGCTTTTATTCATCTCTCCACTCTCAGCCGGTGACATGTAAAACAAAAGGAATGCTCGAAAAAGAGTTGAAATGAGAGAGCACCGGAAAAGGGAGTGTTTCCTGCCCACTCACTTGCCATTTTGAATTTTTTTCACTGCATACACGATAACATTGTTTGTATGACTCACTAGGAAAAGAAACGATTTCAAAATAATTATTTCAAAAAAAGCTCACAGCTGTTGAACATTAAAACTGGTAGCATTGCCATTGTTCATCATGAAAGGAGAGAGAAAGAGGGGTCCGTTGCAAACTGGTTCAAGTACAAGAAGAGCTGGCAGGCTATCGATCGGGGGGGGGGGGGCCAAAGTCCTCCGTTTTCCCTCTTCTCCTCCTCCTTCTCCACAACACCAACACAAAACCGAATGCGGCGAGAGAGTGTGGTTTACGGTGGAGTGCAGCAGCCACACAAGACAGTGAGCAGAGTGAAGAGAGACATTTGGCCCTGGGACGCGCGCTCGCTTAGTGTATGTGTGTGCGCGCGCTCGTCCCGCTCTTTCCCTGTCTCACTCACCAATAGAAAAATGTTTGCCCTCTCTTCGACATGCACACTATTTCTGCATTTGCCGGGGGTTACTCTATTTCTTTTGACTCGCTCTAGGAGAATAGAGGCGAGGAAGTCTCCACCATCACTCTCCCTGCATACAACGCCACCACAACCCCCTCCGACGACACTTTTATGTATATATTCGGAGAGAAAAGAGTATATAGAGTATGTCCTCTAAATATTTGCAAGTTCCATTGATGTGTTGTCAATATAAAGTTGGGTAATCGATTCGGAACGGGGCAGAAGTAATTGGAAATGGAAAGTGACAAACAACAGGCGAGGGGAAACACTTTTTTGATGAAAAAAGTGATTCAATTAGGAAAATGTAGTGGTTGGTCTAGAAAATACTATACGACAGAGTTTTTGAATAATTCAGAGCAATAGAAAAGGCTTCAATGGAATCCTGTAAGACAATAAACATGGTCAAGCATTGGTTCAGAGAGCCCTCCTCGAAAAAACTAATAAAACAAACACCGGAAACGGGAGCCAAATCTGTCAAGTGCCGGATGGAGGCCACCTGTGCGCCGTTCCTACGTTTAAAAACTTCCTGTGGACCGAAGGACATTTTTCATGTGGTCGGAAGAACTTGAGGATTGAAGAGAAAAAGAAGACAAATGAAAACTATTAGTTTTTCCTATGAGTTGAAGAAGAATAAGAAGAAACGAAATCCGATACAAAACGATGGGAAACGTTTCATATAAGTGAAAAGGGAGCATCTTCTAGAAGGACAGCTATATAGAGTCAGTAGTGGAGCAGCATCAAATGATAGAATTCAAATTCTTTCTGCGCGAAACCTTCTCGAAATAAAACAATTAAATAGAATCTGAATTTTGAGGCTCAGAGTTTTCAAATATTCATCTCAAACTTCATTTTTTTGATGACTAATTAGTACAGTTAACAAACTAACACATCGGCAATAGTACAATCTAAGCCTGTCAGGACCAATCAATCTTTATCACATCTTGACAGTTTCTTCTATCATCTTTTAAAATATACGTGAATGTAGAGCGCCCGCAAAAACGAAGAGTGATAATTTGAAATTACATAGCGCATGAGAATAAGATTCCATTAAAATGTTGAAAATAAAGGTTTCAGTGTAATCGGTGATTTTAGAAATGACACGATGTACCATATCTGCTCTATTTTAAGCCCGCCCTATACGTGCACTTTCAGGTCAATTATCTCGGTTCTTTCAAAAGATATCAAAAATGTGTCAATTGATAAAATGTTTTTGATATTATGATGCATTACTAATCAGTTAACAATTTTTTATATATTCAACAGGAACCGATATAGGTTGGGCCAAAGTTAAATGATTTTACATTTTTTGCACAAAATTTGAATTAGGCTAACAATACATTATTCAAAAAAGATCGAAAATGTTCTAATATGATTTTTTATATCATTCTCATCAGGTGAGCTCAAACTGCCAGTACCGTAAATGCTCTGGTAGAGGCAAACCCTATTCGTGCACTTTGAGCTCAGTTATTCGGTTCTTTCGAAAGGTATCTAAATTTTGTCAATTGATGAAATGTGGATTATTTTATGAAAAATATTTTCGCAGTCGACAAATTTTTGATATCTTTTGTAGGGACCGAGATAATTTAATTTAGTGCATAGGCAGTGCGCTTTTATTAAAACATTCACGGATTCATTGGCTTTTTTAGATGAATTTTTGGAGAATTAAGCTTATCAGAAATCAAAATACTCAATCACAACACAACTGAGAAATAGTGGTAATGTGGCCTAGATTTGAGAAGAAGTAAACAAAGAAAACAAGACAAATGACTTCAATATGAAAGATGGGAACACAAGGCGTTAACAAAGTGAGAAATCAAAACAAGAAAACGTTAATCCTAGATGGTAGAAACATATGGTGGCAGTAAAAACTGGAGAGTGTCTGTGAGCAATTACATTCTTGCATTTGAAATACAAATGCTCCACACCAATTATTCAGAAGATTCAAAGACACCGGTCAGATGATTCATCAGATGTAAAAAAACCGAAAAATGCCGTTGTTCAACACATAGTACTGATTTCAAATGAACGGGAGTAGATACGGGCGGCAGAAAAGTGGGCAGAAGAAAAGAGGAAAATGAGGAGGATATTATCTTGAGGTCATTTGTCGTTTCGCATCTCCAATGACACTCACTTCCCATAAGTTTGAAAAGAGGTGAATGCCATGTGTCGAGAAGATATGATTCAGAGCTTTTGTGAGGGTGTCATTGCTTGGAGTGTTTGTCGAATGCACAGAAAAATTCTTATCAAACAAACCTTACCTTTGTGTTTGAATGCTTCTATGAGTGACAAAGGTATTAGGTTCTGATGGAAGTGAAACAGTGGTAAGTTGATAGAAATTTCAGTAATTTTGATAAGTAGTTAGACCAGTTTGTTATTTCACTCTCTCATGCATGAAAATGTTGCTTCCGAATGAATGTTCCTTTAGAACGAACAAAAAAGAATTAAGAAATATATAATTACTGCGAGAAAAATCTCCCGGTATGTGACCGTATCCATCTTGCCGGGAACTATCTGACGGAAATGACTGGTCACATATTTGTAAGGAATGTGTTGATCTATTGGAAGAGATAGCGGTAGGGAGGCGGCCGAAAATGACAAATGTATGCAAATGCCGCCGGCATAAACACCTGAATTAGTCATCACACAAAGGACAGAGGTTCAAGAACTAGGAAAGGGCAATGAAGCTAAACAAAAACCGAGCTTTGAAAAAAGTTTGAAACTTTCGAAAGATACGCGACGTCGCAGCAGAGTATAAAATTTCGAATTTTTATAGGGGGAATTCCATCAATTCGTTTCTGATTTTTGGCAAATAAATATTCGAAAAGTTACTCATTTTCAAGAAATCCTTTTGAATGAAGAAAGAGTTTGAAATCCCTGAAAACGCTGTTGAGAATGCAAGCGCGCTCCGTTCTTGCCTAAGTTGTTTTCTTGCATTTTCTCAGCCATTTCTGATAGAGGTTTTGTTATTTTCAGTGATTTTCAAAAAAAATACTTGCATCGATAAAAAAATACAGAAAAAAACGACCGTGAACTTTGAAAACTCTGAAGGTTTGTACAAAAAGAGCACACATTGTGGTCTTGACAAATCGTTTTTTAAAATTTCGAACGTCTTTCTGAATTGGTTTCCAGAGTAACAATATGAGCATAACAACTTTGGAAACGTTTCAATGCATAAACAATTTTTTTCGAATTCCCTCAAAATATATTTTGAACATTAAAGATTCTTAAGTGTTGTTAAGCTATTACTCAACGGTCCCATTTTTCCCAAATTCCAGATTTTTCACACAAAAAATCAGAAAAATATCGGGAAAGTCAAAATAGTTTGAAGCGCGTTTAAATATTCAAGGTTTCTATTCGGAATGTCTGTAACATTTCTCTGATTCTCAAATTGTTTTAAAACCCTTTCAAATTGAGAATGAATGTTTGTCATTAGATATTTAAAAATAGAATGGTTCTTTTTTTTCCTCTGTAATCTCTCAAGGTGAGAGTTAGTCCTCTAAAAACTTATATCTAGATTTGAACAATAATATATTCTCTCATAATTTGAGTCTGTTCATTTCTAAAACATTGAACAGAGCTAACAAACTATCTGAAGCTGTTGTGGCGTGACCGTCCTGGAGAACGTCAAGCCTCAGATCTACGTGGCGATAACAACTGCCTTTAAAAGCTTATTGAACTCTGTATTAAATGGTTCTCTCTATGTAAATAAACTAGTAGTTTATCCCTCGTCTCATACACCGCAAGGACATAACAGAAACTTTCACATTTCAAGGTCCCTTTCCTTTTTTTCAATTCATTTTTTTTCACATAATCAGTTTCCCTGCAAATGAGGAACAGTAGTAGTAGTAGTAGCCAATAATACAATTAACACAAAGAATCGTATACTTCTTTTTTATGAGTGACCGGAATTTCAAGTGACCACGTTAGGAAGATGTCTAGTGAAGACCCAAAAACCGATAAAAATTTTCTGACTGAATTCTGACCGAGAGAGAATTTTAGAAAAAAAGAAGTCATATCTCCTCTTTCTTTAGAAAAGATAACCTCACGGACAACTATAAGAAGAAATGTCATAGGAATTGGGAATGTAGAAAAAAGTTTCGACATATTTGAATCTAACAACTCAAAAGTATAATCAGCTG